GAGTGAATTCACTGAAAGATGTGCCATAGACTTCATAGACTACAAATTATAAACGTTACAACGACTCAGTGCCGTAGCAAGGGGAGGGGCCGGGGGGGCCCGTGCCCCCCCCCCCAGTTTTTTTTCCTAAAAAGTAAAAACAGACTTGTATAAAATGTTCAAAATAAAAATAAAATATTATCTAAATATTATCCCTCGAGAGGTTTGAAACAATAACATTTGTACTTCTTTTCATGTTTTAACATACGTAGGGTAATGCACAACAAAACTAAAACAAACCAGAAAGTGATTCGTGGCAACAATGTGAAAAAATGTCCACAAGGAATTGGCAGATGGTATTGACATGGTGGAGGTCGCCAATTTGTTTGTGGGGGACAACCAGCGGCGCAAGTAACTGTTTGGGAAGTTTTCAAAAAACGACCTGCCGATGAAGTCTACGTTTGCCTCTAAGGCAACTCAGACAGTTTAATAACTACGAACTCACTATGATGACTCTGAAAGGTGAAACATTTGCTGGTTTCAAAATACAGAGATAGGTCGGTTTTCTATTTTGTAATTGACGTTGCAAGTGTTATACTCTCAATCAGTGCATTGGTTTGCTGAGACACTGTATGAAGTAAATAATTCGCGATATGCGTAAATCACAAATAGATCTTGGAGAACGCTGGAAATATAACTGGAAATAGCATTTCCAAGCGCTAGCCTCTAGATTTCAAAATTTTCTGGGGGAGCATGCCCCCAGACCCCCCTAGCGGCTCTCGCCTCCGCCGCTCGCGTGCCCCCACCCCCACTTATATTACCCTTGGTACGGCACTGCGACTTAAAACTTTTTTGTAAAATGGCCGACTCGGTCTCGAAAAGCTACGAGTCTGTAGGCAACCTCGTTCCCAGGGTTCTCTCCAACCCGCCCAGGGAGAGCGGGCGGGTAAGAGGGAACCCTGGGAACGAGGTTGGTCTGTCGGAAGAAGAAACGAGAAATCTTTCATATTTAGAAACGTTTTCGGCAAATATAAAGAAAGTGATAAAAGGCGCATCAAACTTCATTCAAGCGGCATTCAAGGCGTGAATTACGGAAAGAAGTCAGAATAATCAAAAGAAAGGCGAAAAGTGTCTGAAGGCTGTCATGGACCGGATGAACGTTCCTCGAAGCAAGACTTTCGCTTTGCTTTTTTTACAACTAAGACGGAACGACGGAAACGGGCGTTTACTGGAGAGCAGGCATTTAAAAGGGTCATGTAGCAGCTGCTCGGAAGAGAAGTCGCTAATGGTGCCTAACCCTGACCCCAAACAAGACAATTGAAAGAATGACATATCATTGTTTCCTGCGACCAATAAGGAGACCAGCCTTACGAGAAGCTCCTACACTACTCGTTTAAAAGAGAGAGGTGACTAGGTGGTAAAAGTTTTTTTCTTATACGAATCCTTTTAATTTTCTGCGGCCGTGGCAATCGCTACTTTCGAGATATACGGTTGAAAACTAACAGGTTACCTTATTTTAATATGCTCTTTAGGCTCTTGCTAACAAAATTTTTTAAAAACGAACTATTTTCGTGTTTACTGAAAGTTGATCACGTGATCAACTAATGCCAAAAGCCTGTTAGAAAAAGGACAACAAACCGTCATTTAATTCATTCAGTTTCTTGTTTGACTAACAGGGCTTTCATTGCGTATTTCATCTTGTTTAAAGTCAAGTTCAAAGTTATGATAGCTAAAGGGGTTCTGTCATCGACGTTGGGATATGAATCGATATGCTCGGCTATTCTTAAATTCTCTTGATATTTTTGCCGTGAGCATATTAGTTTTTTGAGCTTTTTACAGTTATGAGAATATACCCCTCTCCCTTTTAAACGCATCCTCTCTGAACGCCCCAGGGTATACCCCTCAAATTATATAGACGCTAGATCATTTGGATGTGCTTTTAGTTTGGTCACACTCTAGGACCAATTTACATCTCGTCGCAGATTGGTCAAAGTTTTGACAGGTGAATTCATTTTGTTTATCTACAACTGAAACGTCGTGTACTTTTAAGTTTTAAACTCTTTATGTCTTGTTCAGAGCTGGTTTGATGGTTTGTTTACTTATTTGTGGTTGCCAGGAGCAGGAGGAAATCGGGAGCGTAAGCTTAGATGACAGCGTTTTGGAAAGTTCATACAGGCTTTTACTGACCTAATTAATTGTCTTTCAGGACCTGTTTCTCAGGTATCAAGGTTGATTTTTACTGTTTTCAGTGTCTGGTTTACTTTCTTTATGATGTTGGGCGCAATTATTTCCTGTCACTTAATAGTTACGATACATGTTTTCAAGATTTGACTGAGACGTACAATAAACGGGTTCCTATCACAGGTTGTAAACAGTTATTCTGGTTGCCATTTAAGTCAAACGAACAAGTTCTTATAGTTGTAAAAAAAGGATTAAGCGAAACTCTTGCTTCGAGGAACGTTTATATATGATAGGCTTTAAATCCTTTCCGCCTTTCTTTTGATTATTCTGACTTTTTTTCCATAATCCATGCTTTGAATACCGCAGCTTGGTGCACCTGTTTACGTAGATTGAGAGTGATTGGTAAACTGATTTGTGTTTCTTTTGATTTTGCTTTTATGGTAATCCAATAAAAAATTACTGTGTTATTCAGTGTATTCCTGAGTTTGACGGTTAATTGTTCGATGAAAATTCCTGTAGTTCTTGGCTTATTCGTTTGATATGGTGATCACTGAGTATTAAAAGACTTCCCCTTCCTTATAATCATCAATTATTATTATTATTATTGTTTTTATTAACTTGCATTGTATACAAGTCAAAGATGACGTTACCAGTGTTCTCACCAATAGCGTAGCTCCACCATTCGACATTTTCACACGCATGACCCGCACTGAATCAATCCCGGGTTGGAATCCGCTCGTCATGACCGGGAAGAGCTTCAGCTTTAGATTCTTTTTCTATGGTTGACAATTTGCTTTTAAAATAACTTGAATGATTAAAACAATTTTGTTTCCATTTTACTTCAACTAGGGCAAAAAGTAGAGTTAACTCAGTTCATTCTATTAGCTTTCTATCTACATTATCCTTCCAGCTACCCATGTAATCTGCCTTATTTCTCCTGAGAATCTTCGTTATTATTACTAGTCAGTAATTGTAATTATTCACTTTGTACTTAGTATTCAGCTTATTTTAATGTATTGAGCGATAATAATTAATTGTATTTAGTATTGTTATTGTAATTATTCTATTTAGTGTCAAGCCACTGCTCGCCTCGAATAGCTATAGCTAACTGCGAGCAGTGGTACATCATATTTTGTATTTTCTCAATTTTTCTTAATAAACTTGAACTTGAACTTGAACTTGTTTGAACTCATTCATTTTTAGTAAATTACATATGTTAAACTGTTTTACTGGTTCACACTTTGGTCGGGCGCTTCAAAGCAGAATCCCCGAATATGTTAAAGCAAGAGCATGGCTCTTGGCTAAAGTAATTTACAATAGTTTCAAAACTTCGCCGCTAGGATTGTTACTGGCGTTAGGAAATATGAAGACTACACCAGCACGTAAAGAATTTGTTTGGTCCTCTATTGAAAGACAACTTCGAATCAGACTCGCAATTATGGTGTTCCACCTTACCCATCTGAGAAACTGTCAATTCGCTCGCAAGTCCATATAGGTATAATACAAGACAAAATAATAAACTCAAAGTACTTTTCTGTCGCACCAAGACAAAATAATGAACTCGATGTACTTTTCTGTCGCACCAAGACAGCGTAAAGTTCCTTTTCCTATCATGCAGCATTTAAGACATATAAGGCCCTAAGCTCAGACACAAGAAATCCAACATCACCACTGCAGAGCGACTTCAAAAGGAGACGAAAATGAAAGGGAGGTATGAGCTGATAAAAAAATTATGAAGTATTACGTTTATTATTTGATTTTATATATTATTAAATTTTAGATTTTACACTTTTTCAAATTAATAAACTTTAAGATTTTATGTCAAGTTTTTTTTTTATCAAGTTATTTTAGAATATTTTGGAGTTTTTTTAAAGTATTTGTAAATTAATTCTAAAATATAATGTATGATTTTCTGCTAGTAGCATTCGTCGTTGATTAGACGAACGCGGTAAGATTAAAAGAAATATATAAAATTCTGCCTGCAGGGAGGGACTTTATAGTTAATCGCTCCTTTGATTCAATTTGATGGATACGAAGCTGAGAGAATTCTTTATTCCTTTCGTAATCCTAAATTATTTAAAAGGCCTTGATGATATATATTGTTCTTCAGCTGTAAAGTACTTCGGTGGCGTTTGTCATAGCCTAACACCGTTTACAATATTTCTGATCAATAATGAAGTTAGGCGAAAAAGGTCAAATCGCAAATCCGCGAAGGACTTCGGATCAGTCTTTCAGGCATAAAAAGAAAAGAATTGCAAGGCAAGTAATAAGATCGTTTGAATAATGGTAAATGCAGATAATATGGAAGCGCATTGGCTTTTATGTGTAAGAACGGTTTATAAAACTAGGCAGTGTTAAAGTGATTCATAGTTTTTGCCACTCAGTTTGTCACTGATCGGGGCCGAAGTTGAAGCAAGCCAATTTAGCTGTATTCTGGTGATCATTCATACTTAATTTATTTGAGAGCAAGTGCATAAATTTTGAATTAATTGTTTGAAATAGGAAGTTTTCAACAAATTTCATTATAAACGGGTTATTTTGGTTATTTTTCCAGCGATCGGCGCTTTTTTGCTGGTGATACCGGCAAAAAATCAAGACATCAAAGATACAGCGTTCACTGGTGATTGGTAATGTTTAATTCTTCTCTCTTTCATCCGTCAAGGTTTCCATAGCGGAAACCTCTGAAACTAAATACAACACGCAGCACATGATTATCTATGCAATCTGTTTTTCACTCAGGTCTCTTATTCGCTCGCTTGAAAACAAATAAAGCCTCCGGTGACATCAGTACAGCTGGGATTCTATCCACTTAGTGCCGTAAATATCAGCGGCCCGGAAAAATGGCGACATCCACACAGCCACATCACCGATTATTCCCTGAAAACATCGAGTTAAATGTCGGGGGAAAGTTTTATTCCACTTCAGTCCTTACACTGACGAGGGAGCCAGACTCGCTTCTTGGCCGCATTTTCAGTGGGAGGCAGACTGTAGACAAAGACAGAACTGGAAAATATTTCATTGATCGCGATGGAGCGCTCTTTCGTTACATTCTGGATTTTCTCCGAACAAAAAGGCTTCATCTTCCAGAAGACTTTTGCGAAATTGCGAGGCTTAGAAACGAGGCCGAATTTTTTGAAATAGAGGGTTTAGAACTACAGCTCGATTTGTACAGCAGAACACGGGAAAGAGCCGCCACGATAATGAACGAACGCTTTGGTTACATCACGTTACACATTCGGAGTACTTACGCATTCGGAAGAGTCGGTCAAGCAGACGTGAATTTTCGCAAACTGCAAAGAATCGTAGTGTGTGGAAGAGTTTCTTTGTGTCGTGAAGTCTTCGGAGAAACTCTTAACGAAAACCGGGACCCAAACCCCGAGGGGAACAGGTACACAAACAGATTTTATCTCAAGCATAATTACGTTGAAAAGGCATTTATGCGACTTCAAGATTGTGACTTTCAACTGGTTTCAAGCAGCGGTGGTGAAAGTGGAAACTGTACTACTGACAGCATTAAAAGCGATGAAGACAAATGGGACCATTTTACCATCCATGTGTTCCTGCGTCGATAAAGAAGAATGAAATGACGCATTGGAAATTAAAGATTAAAAAGGGCAAGACCTTGAACAAAACAAAACGGTAAAGAAACTGAGCAGTTCATTTCAGAAAGGACTTTTTGTATCTAATAGTTTCAATTTGCCTAACATGTGGCAACATAAATAACCGTTGAGTTGTGTGAACCGCTTTAGTTTTTGGTTTAATTACAGAAAATAAACCAGTGTGAGAAAATAGTGTGAGAAAATACATTAAAAAGGATGTTTTTTCCAGGACTGATTTTGAAAATCCGCACAAGTGAAATATACAGCCGTTGCGGCCCGCATACTGATTCGTAGCGGCGCTCTACACTTAAAAAGATCGACATTATATTAAATGGAATCGATTCATGTCGTCTATAGTCTAAGACGAGCGTAAATAAATAACACGAACCGGGAATAACCAATACGATTAATGACTGTCGTTAACAGTTTGGCAAATAATTGCCATTTACTTGCAAATTTTAGAGTTTTAAGACATTATTACTAAGTGAGTAACAGAAAATTGTAGCCAGAAGCGTTAATTCTTAATTTGACGTCAACGAGAAAACCTTTATCGTTAAGTTATCAAAATTTCAGCTGCTTTAGGAAATTTGAAAGAGAGTTTGAGATCCCTTCCTATATTATTATTATTAGAAATTCACTAATTCATCTGCCGGTAAATTGATTTCAAACCAAGTTGTCATAACGTTGAGACATTATATTTCAGTCCTCTTTTCCTAATCTAGATAAATCTCTGTCAGGAAAAAATATTTCCTTTTTTTTTCAAGGCAGTCTGGACGAATCGAATATAAGAGAACGTTGTCAACCTTTTTCAATGTTAATTCTTAGTGGCGTTAAGAAGTAGAGGAAGTTTCGAGAGACGAAGGAAAATAAAAGGCAAATACAGTAAAAGCAGGTGGAGTAAGAGACAATTGAGTTCCAGCTGACATGACGGTTGTGTTGAGTACATCGAGAAAGACATCCTCTGAGGATCTGAATGGGGGTATATTCGATATACAACTAAACACTTTAGCGCTCTGTAATATGACACAGTTAAATTTTAGGCCTTTTAACACTAACAGTAAAAAATTCAGAAAGAAACAAAAACGTCTCCAGCATATCAAGGAGTTTTCGGCCATTTTCCGATTATAATTATTTCTGAAGATTTCAGAAGATTCCCAAACTTCTTAAGATTGCCGAAGACCACCGTAAATCCCCGAAGAATGCCGAAGATGTCCTAAGACTACCGAAAATTCTCGACTTTATTTACGCAGGTTATACTCACTTGTGGATTTTACCTTTAATGTTTTTTTAGTGAGAGAAATGCTCCCTTCTTACATGAAAATTAGAGTCAATAACTTTTATTGACGGGTTGGTTACCACGAAATGTCGGAGAAAGAGCCGTCATATATAAAAAGCCATCCACGATTACCCATATACTTTGCCCCGATTTTTATAGAGACGAAAACGCTACAACTGTTAGTGAGCACCGATAGCAACTGAAAGAGATCTACTCTCGTCGCCCTTAATTTCGAAATGAACATAACGGTTATTTGTCACGTCTTGAAGCCTCGTGGTGTGTACAGTAGAACCTAGCTCGATAACTCGAACTCGGATAACTGGAATTCCCTGCTAACTCGAACCAAATTTCTTTTCCCTCGATCAAAATTTCATTGAAATTTATCCCGATAACTCGAATTCCCGGCTAACTTGACCTGTTTTCGTTTCCCTTCAGAGTTCGAGTCACTGGGGTTCTACTGTAGTCTACCTTAAATTCCTTCGCTAAAACGGGCGGAAGCCACAGTTTAACTGAAATAAGCTCGTCATCACGGACTCTTTTTTATTACCCCAAAAGCACAATTTCTTTCTCAGTTCGATAACAATTTAAATTTCTTCTTCTCCGTCTTAAGACAAACTTTCTAGTCTCGCTTACATAAATAACGTTCGCCTAACCATCGTGCTTCCAAATATTTTCCATAGAGTTGGTTCTACAATCATTTTTAGGCAGATTTAGCAACGACTATAGAGTGTTTTCACTCACATGGCCAGTATCTATGCAAATTTATTGGAACAAAAGAAAGCGTTTGCGTAAGAAAAGAGTTCAACTCCCACAGGATTGGTTTGGGACACCAACATGGCCGCCGTTTCATTGTTATGGCTGCTGTGACGTCATGTGAAAACACCCTGCGGCGGGATGCTTCGAAGGTCGAAGCCACTATTAAGACGTAACCAGAAAAAGCGCATGAATAGTCTCATGGCGACAAGGGTACAAAGGCTATGCAAAGTCAAAACGCGAAAGCACGCAGAAAGAACTGAACGCGACCTTGGGAGCTTAATTTCCCGCTCTGCTATTGGTCAAGCCGCTTTATCGATCTGCGAACGTCTCCTTCTCTTTTCTAACTCTGCCTAAACTGCCACCAAAACTATAAACTTTATATAAAGACACGCCATCATTTTGGCCATTAACATGCAGAAGTTGATAGCATTTTCTCTAATCAGTATTGACTATTCTCAGCGAATCATAATTGCAAACTATTTTATGTGATTCAGTTGAAACGTCATAAGATCTGTGAAGATAAGCTGTATTTCATTAGTTTTATGTCTTTTTTTCTGTGGTCTGAGCGTATGTAACTTTGTGGCTTTGTATTGCAGGGGCCAATAAGGTTGGAGGTAGTATGAGTTGATGCTAGGAACCAATGAGATTTTGGCATCTAAACATGACATTGCTAAAGGTCAAAGAAGGTCACTTTGAGACCTCCATCTTGGTTCTTTTCAATTTTTCGTCTTTTCTAACGGTTGTTTAGAAGCATAACATATTTATCTCTATGATTCAAACATGTATTTCATAATTTATGAGTTCTGTTTCACCAACTTCTAGGTAGAGTATAAAAGATCATTTATTATATACATACTGAGAAATACTCACCAAAAAGCTATGTCGTAAATTTTCGTACGCAAATTAGTTCTAGCCAATCAGAGGAGCGAACGATGGTTTTCACACGTGAAAAAAATGATACGTCCAATCAGAATCGCGAACGATGTTTTTTCACGTGTGAGAAAAATGATACGTCCAATCAGAGGCCACAGAGGTGTGTGAGTTTCGCGCCAAAATTCCCGCCTCTTATTGCAGTTTGCAGCGCCGCTTCGCACACATTCAACGAGAAAAATTTTACTCAAAGAGTTTTTCGCTAAAAAAGTGAAAAACATTTCGGAAATGGAGTGGAATAGTTTCGTTTGTTTCACTGTCGATAAAGAAAACGGTAGAGAGCCGGCGAAACAACAGCGGAAAGGGAAAAACAGAACGAGACGTAAGCTTTTGTTGTGCTTTTTGTCGGAGCTACTTTGCCTTTCATTTAAGCTTAAGCTTATATTGAAACCGGCCATTTTACTTAAATTTACTCATTTTCAATTGTGCATTGACAACAAACAGTTAAGATTACTTATAGTTCTTGGATTACCTCATATCCTTACCGTCATTTATGTTTTTAACAAACGTTTGTACTAAAAAGCTGATACTTCGTTTTCTTTGTCATTTTGCGGCAAGTGTGTAGCGGCAAATAAGCATTTTTGAAAGATTTAAAATAAAAAGGCCGCCAAAATGATGAATGTCTCGGTATGTATATAATAAACACAATACCACATGGAAAGTGCTTTGTACGATATTTACGCACTCGTTTTTGTATCAGAAATCTTACTCGTTCGCTGCGCTCACTCGTTCGATTTCTGATACGTCAACAACTCGTGCGTAAATACCGTACGCCAGCACTTTCCATGAAGTATTCTCTATATATTTTTCAAAGTTCTTCCAGTGAAACGTCAATAATTGATATTAGATATGGACTTTACCTCGGAAGTATGTGGCCTATAAATTGTGGTTTTAAAAGTTTCAAAGAAAACGCTTATTTTTTAGCGGAGCCTCCGCAAAACGGCTCAGCGGAGCCCCATAGCTAAGAGAAAATGGGAAGTTATCCATGCGAGAAAATTTGGCTATGACGTCAGCGTACGCCTACCCGTACGTAAGGACTGGCAGGGAGGTACTAAGTAGACTCTGCAGAGGTGGGGGTGGGGAATTCAAGACATGTAGCTTGCGTTTGTCTTGGCGAAACTTTGGCCAGTTAACCTACAGGCAGCCTATGTAGTTTTTCCAATGTTAAAAAAAGATATTAAAATTCCGTTTGTTTGACTGACGACAAAAAAATTTAAAAAATATAGTTTTAAGGATGTGCTTTTAGCTTGGTCACGCTTTTTAAAAAAATCACACCAAGTAAACATAAAGGTGACGTTACACGGGACGATTCGCAACGACCATTTTTAGCGCAATACATCGTTGCAATGTTGGAACAATGTTGTAACTATTTGAAACAATGTCGCCACAATGTTGCAACCCAGTGTTGCGCCACAAATCGTCGTTGCGAATCGTCTCAAGTAACATCACCTTAACTTTGAGGAGCAATGGTGGCGCAGTGGTGAGAGCACTCGCCTCTCACCAATGTGACGCGGGTTTTAGTCCCGGGTTTTAGTCCCGGCGTCGACACCACATGTTGGTTGAGTTTGTTGTTGGTTCTCTCCTTTGCGCCGAGAGGTTTTTCTCCGGGTACTCCGGTTTTCCCCTCTCCTCAAAAACCAACATTTCCAAATTCCAATTCGACAAGGAATCAGGTAAACGAAGAACCACTTTGTGGATGTGCTATCTCCAAATCGTTAGTATTTATTCATTTATTTATAACTGTTCCATTCGGGACCCGATAGAAGAAAACATAATAAACTTATGGCGAATACAATAGTCGGCCAGATTTTCTTTTAGGTCTTTGCCATTTAATTAAGGAGCTTTAGCAACCACGACGGCGACGGCAACGAGATCGTCAAGAAGCAATAGGTTTGTTAAGCAAAACAACAACTTTGCACGTGCATCACGCTTTTTTTGTGCATTTCTTTGCCATCACTGCATGACTTCGACGTGAAAATGCCTAACTGCACGTTTTATGGAGGACGTAAACCAGCGAAGACGAATTTTTCTTTCTCTATCTAAACTTGAGTGCGGTCCCCAAAAAATCAATTCCTGGAATACATTTGACACTTTCAGCGAATTGACATAAACGCAATAAGAAGTTTGACGAAACGCGAATTCATCTTAAAGGTGACGTTTTCGCTGGCGTCGCCTTTGTCGATGCTAAAGCTCCATTTTGACTCTAGAAATAGCATTGGCTGCTACCAAAGAGCATTGTGCTGTAAACAAATAACTTTTAGCCTGATGGGAGATTTTGAATTTCAGGTGTTTTTTCTTAATACGTTATCTTAATCACCCAGCGCCCGCCCCCCCCCCCCCCCACAAAAACAAAACAAAAAAAAACAGAGATCACATCTCCACTAAAATATTTTTTTTTCGTGTTAGATGGGGTTAGTCTTTTTTATAANACTTTTATTGGCTTAAAGTTTCTTTTACTTGAGTTAGGAGAGGTTTCTTGTAATATATCAAACATGAGATGCAGTGTTTCATCACCAGATGAAACACCGAGAAGAGAGTTGAAAATACGACGCGCAGCGGAGTATTTTTGACGAAATTCGAGGTGTTTCATCTGGTGATGAAACACCGTGTCGAATGTTTGATATTTCTTCTCAAACAAAATCATTTTTGAAGGAGAAATTAAGGATGCAAAAATGAGCAGTTTTTCATCTGATATCCAAACACTCATTAAATATTAATTTCCTTTGAATTTTCTTTATGAATTATTAATGAGTTTGAGAATTACAGGTCACTGTTTCATTGATAATTAAGTAAATCAAGTCATTTCTCCTCGATCAAAAACAAGATTTTGGATAAGGATTGGGGCTAAGTGACGCTTCTGGTCTTCCTTATTTATCTGTAGTACGGTGTCCTGTATTGTGATCTGTGGAATATGACCTGTAAAAAATACCTGCTGTTTGAGTTAATGTATTAAAAGCTGTACCAAGTAAGTTCATCCTGTAAACAAGCTTTATTCTTTAGCTTACAAAAGTTCAATAGACCTTTTTCGTTGCACCAAACATGAATTAAGTGAACAATGTGACACATGCTTGCTGCGTAAGAGTCATTATTAGTCATTGAAACGTATTTTCTTTACCCAGGGGCTTTAGTAGAGATGCGTAACTTTAGCAGAAACAATCAGCGTGAACAATAGCAGGACTTGGGGAATAAAATTGGAAGAAGCCAGTTGACAAAGTAATTAGATATTGTCTAATGGAGTGGAATAACATGAGATGAGTAGAAATATATTTCGGCATTGTTTTGGTATTGTTTTCAGATATATTCTGTTGGTGGAAAAAGACGACCTCTTGTGCTCTTATCAGAATTCTCATTCGCCAATGGCGGATCATGCGTTGTCGGTGGCACGTGACAGACCAAACCACATGAACAGCTCGTGCTGAGATTATGTAGTACCATGGTCACATGATGCATAATATCATCTGTAGAAATATCTATGCTGTTTCTCACTTTAAGGGAATTTGAGGTCGAGCTGTATCTTTTAACAATGTGGCACGGCGGAAGGTGATAGTTCGTCCTGAAAAGTCTCCCTGGAAATAGATATATCAAATTATGCTAATATTAATTAAATAGGTTTATTTATTGTTCAAAGTTACTAGAGCTACTAACCAGTGAAAACCCTACCTGTCAAACAGTGGGAAATAATGATAAACAATGATGTGTTATTGTTTTCTGCGACCAATGAGGAAACACCTTACGAGCAGCTCTTACATTAACGTCTAGTTTCACCTGACATGTTCCAAGTCGTCTCTTCTCATTTGTAGGCGGTTAAGGAAAGGTCGCGGGAGACTATGATGAGACAAAAGAGACGACTGGGAACGGACAAGTCAGTAGTTTCACTATTATTTATTTTTTTTATCACTAAACGGCAAACATGAACGAAACGACTTTTTCTTCAAATCGTCACTCACCTCCAGGAAAAATTAAATGATTTTCTGTTTTGTACCATTTGTGATAAAACAAAGAATAAATAATGTATAGTCTTGAAATTTCTGTTGAACACGGAATTACTTTTATTTTAGTGAGCAGTTTTTTGACTCTTCATCTCAGGGATTCTTGGAAATGAACGTGTTAACGCTACGACAAAAGCTAAACGGGTTAGTTTAAACTGATCAGCATCGCCTTTTCTTTCATTACCTTCCGTTAGGATTCCGAGGAAGGTTAGTCAAGTTCACCCGCAAGATATTTTTCCCATTCTCCAAGTCGCTGTTCTCGTTCCTGATCTGTTTCTTCCACTTTGTAACTAGTTACACCGTCCCATCGCTCAGCTGATATTCTGCGACCAGCAAACCACCGTCCATTCATCACCTAAAAATAAACTTTGTTAACACCAGTATGGCTTCTCTGGCCGGCAGCATGAGCTCAACTGGAACATACCCACGAGAGAACGAGCCAGAAACGTTAGTTAGGATTAAGTATAATCGTCCGGGTGAACGTGGTAGTCCTGAATAGGACTGTTGTTGTTGACAGTGACTCATGTTTCGACAACCTGTGCAGTAGTCATTTTCAGAGTTAAAGTGAGTTGTATCACGTCAGTTGATGGTATTAAACTCAATTAAGTCGCAATGTTGTTGGTCGTCTGTCAGTTAAGCCGTGATGTTCAGTATTGGCTAAAATCGAAACACACCTATGACATTTCGAGTCTTCATAGCCAATAACATCACGACGAAAAGTCAGTGACTGTCAACAACAGTCCTATTCAGGACTAAGTTCACCCGGGCGATCATGCTCAACCTACTTATGAAATGACCCCTGGGTTCAAATCTTTCACAGTTACACTCATGTAATGTGGAAAAGTATCAAAAGCATCATATTTTAAAGTTGTGTAACATACTCACAGGTAAACAAGCGTCGGCTGCTTCAAAGGTTGTAAATGCCACAGAACAAACTCCCTCTTTGTTGCGCTAAATCATTGAATAAACATATAAAAATAAAACAACGTCAAACTAAAACGAGACAATTGACAGGACAACAGTCCTTTTTACAAGGGACGATTAACTCCGGCAACAATGATTATCATCAATATTATTATTACGTGTTATCATCAAATTTCGTTGTACACGAATAAGGTTCTAAAGTAATGGAGACCTGTCTGAAACGGCTTCCTTTCACCGCTCACAGAGCTTTACTAAAACTTCCCAGCAAACCTAACCTTTGATTCAATGTTTGTGAGTCTGGTTGGAAACATACTTACATCAAATACAATCACTTTTCTCACTTCTCCAAATTTGTCTTCACATTCCTTTTTAAGGTCATTACGGAGGTCTGTAATTAGAACAGGATTTTTCTGCCAAAAAAGTTAACAAAATTATCAATGCATAGCTTAAAATATGATATTACAAAGTATTTTTCAGGCAATTAACTAACATAAGAAAAATCTGATATTAATTAAGACTGTTTGTCTGTCGCACTAACCTTAAAATCTTCAAGATTAAACATATTTTTAAAAACAATGATCCTTTCTTTCTTCTGTCTTGAATCTCTATCAACCCAGTCCAGTAATCTGAAAAAATTAATCGCATTATGTTGTTATAATAATCCAAAATAACATGTACAGTGCAATGTTGCGCTCTATCTAAAAAAAAACATTAACAGAGACTGAGACTGAGAGCCGGCTTCTCTTATTTTTCTTGAAGCAAAGATAAAGGGGTACCACGTGAGTGACAAGGACGCGAAACGCGAGAAACGAGAGCGACGCCAGGAGTAAAGATATATAAAGGATGGCGTCTTTGCATCTCGCGCGTAAGAACGTGCTACCACGCTGAACGTTTTAATGAAAAAATAAGGGAAGGCTCACAGTCTACATATTACTGCAATAATAATAAATTTGGTTAAGTGTAATTTAACTAAGTTAACCAAAGTTAACCACAAGCTTAGCGGTCAAGCGGTTCACAAGCTTAGCGGTCAAGCAGTTCACAAGCTAAGCGGTCAAGCGGTCCACAAGCTTATTGGTCAAGCGGTTCACAAGCTTAGCGGTCAAGCGGTTTACAAGCTTAGCGGTCAAGCGGTTCACAAACTTAGCGGTCAAGCGGTCCACAAGCTTAGCGGTCAAGCGGTTCAGAAGCTTAGCGGTCAAGCGGTTTACAAGCTTAGCGGTCAAGCGGTTCACAAGCTTACCGGTCAAGCGGTCCACAAGCTTAGCGGTCAATCGGTTCAGAAGCTTAGCGGTTAAGCGGTTCACAAGCTTAGCGGTTAAGCGGTCCACAAGCTTAGCGGTCAAGCGGTTCAGAAGCTTAGCGGTCAAGCGGTTCACAAGCTTAGCGGTTAAGCGGCCCACAAGCTTAGCGGTTAAGCGGTTCACAAGCTTAGCGGTCAAGCGGTTCACAAGCTTAGCGGTCAAGCGGTTCACAAGTTAGCGGTCAAGCGGTTCACAAGCTTAGCGGTCAAGCGGTTCACAAGCTTAGCCGTCAAGCGGTTCACAAGCTTAGCCGTCAAGCGGTTCACAAGACAAGGTTAGCGGTCAAGCGGTTCACAAGCTTAGCGGTCAAGCGGTTCACAAGCTTAGCCGTCAAGCGGTTCACAAGCTTAGCCGTCAAGCGGTTCACAAGCTTAGCGGTCAAGCGGTTCACAAGCTTAGCCGTCAAGCGGTTCACAAGATTAGCGGTCAAGCGGTTCACAAGCTTAGCGGTTAAGCGGTTCACAAGCTTAACGGTCAAGCGGTTCATAAGCTTGGCGGTCCACCAATTAATAAAGATCACTGGGTTTCTTAACTTTCGTTATCGGTATTTATTGGTCATGGCAAATTATATCAAATCATTCCTTAGATTTAATATTATAAGTACCGCCCCGCTTTTCTTAAACTATAGAGGTAAAATGGTAGCTGACAAAATGTTCTCAAAGGTTCAGTCATAGCGGAAAGTGCACTAAGATGATCCAGCTCAGTAGTTTACAGGCATTTTACTCAAATAGTTCTGAAAAAATAATCCAAACAGAACATAAGAGGTATAAAAACCCCAAGTAGCAGAACAAAACCAGTTGGCTAGCGTGGCCAAGGATATGAACAACAAATCCAGCAAGTGGCTGGAGCGGGATCCAAACTCGGGACCGCCGGATTGGTATTGCGAGTCCGCAGGACACACTGATCACTTGGCCACGCAACCTCCAGGTTAGAAATGCAAAACTACTCACTTTTCTTGTCCTTTTCCCGCTTTTTTCTTTTTATTCTTTTTCTTTTTCTTTAGCGCTGGATTGTATTCACCTTTAAGATGAAATTCAGCCTGGACAAAAAATAAAAAGAGCGAGAAAGCTAAATTATTACCACTAAAGAATCTTAGTTAAGTCACAAAACTGTTGCCAGGCCCGGTTCAGCTTTAACTTGTTTGAGGAAGGAGGGTAAGCTAGAGAAAATTAACATTGAAAACGTTCTGATAGTATAACTTCTGGACAAAAAGATGTGCCAGATACAGTAAATACCCCTGACTAAGAACCTTGTTTTTAAGAACCTTTTAGGCTAAAATTTGCCAGTTAGCTAGGCCCCTTCGATACAAGAACCAGTTAAGCCTAAAATCTGAAACAGGTTCTTATGTTCTAAAATCTATAAAAAGAAATAGAGTAAGATTGAGCAAACAAGTTAGCAATCAGGATCCTCTTTGAAGACTTGTCCATCCAATTGCAATGCAAGCAATGCAGATTTTATTAGGGAATCGGAGCTGAATACCTATGCAGATTTTATAAAGCTGAATACCTGTAAATACTCTTAGCTACAATCTATTTTTTCTTTAGAAAATAAGAACCCAATTAAGAACCTACATAGGCTAAATTTGTGCTAATTACAGTTTCTGTAAGAACCTGTTTAGGCTAACTTGTAAAAATGCAGGTTCTTAGTCGCGGGTTTTTACTGTATATTTCTGTCAGGGCAGTTTAGAGTCCAAGAAATTTTAATGAAAATACTTTACCTGTTCAACATGTACTGTGCTGCCTTTGAAATCTGCCTCATCTAGAAGTTTGATAGCTAGATCAACACTTTCACGCTGTAAAAGAAAGCAATTTTTTTCATGAATGTTATGGGCATACTGTGTCACTATATCTAGGGTATTCATTATGCTATTTGTGGTTCAATTTCTTTTATTTACGGGCTTTAAATTTTTTCTTTTGTGTCTGGTGAAGAGACAAAAGAAATACGAATTTGAAAATTGGCTGATAATTTCCAAAAAAAATTGAAGTCGAAAATATTGTTAATGTTGAAGGAGTCAGTTCTAATAAAACTGTAGTATAGTGTCAATGAGGGATAGAAACATTAAATGCTTTGATTTTTGAAGAGAGTGACAGAGGTCACACAATAACAGGCGAAAATACCGACTAGGAATACATCAAAGGTAAGTCTCCTTTATTAATTTTATAGAAAAAAAGTAAAAATAAAATGATATTTAGGGTTTGGGGACCTCAGTATTTTATTTCCCATACAAAGTCTCAACGGTCGCTTGTAACACAACACTGACTCTAAAAAATATACATGACACTCTTGTAAGGTAAGCTTGGACTGCCTGTGCTTCTACTTGAAACCTATGACCATGAATCTTAACTCCACAAGAGCATTGTTAGTGAGAAGAAAGTGCTCCAAATGTTGAATCAATGAATACTAGAATCTTAGGAGGACATGAACTAGCTAAAGATTAAATTTATATGTGGAAGTGAAATAGAATATTGTTAGTTTAGTCACACAAGCCAGCACTGTGGATGTAAATCACCTTGAGATAACAGCATCTTCCATCACCTTTAATCTGTCCATTAGCATCCCTGTAAAGCTTTATTTTTGGCTTATCTACAACAAGACAATTCAACCTATATGAATACTGGAATTTCAAAGTACATTTCCATTATAAAGGCACTTAACACTCTCGGTATTCCTCTGGATTTATTGTTGTATTGTAATGCAGAGTTGGTATCTTGTTAGTCTTCCAGATATGGCATACCTAAATAATCATGCTGTTTTCAAAACATGACAGTTACTAATATCATACATGTGGCTATAGAGCTTTTTTGGCAATATAACAAGGTTATTCCAGAATAAATATCTTGAGCTGAGGTGTGGAAACAACTAAAAGTTGTGCCATAGTGAGGATTTTACAATAAACCTACTTGTATCAGGGTCTTGCATTATGATGCCATACTTGCTCATCAGTTCAACAAATTCCTCTTCTGTTATATCCAATGGTAATCCTGTTGTCAAGGAAGAACCAGTGGATATCAGCTTAATCCTCAAAGTCAAATAGCACCATAACTATAGTACTATATTTGACGTTTGAATAACTCACCAGAAACATAAACATTCGGGTTTTTCTGCTCGTCAACTTCAAACCATCCTAAACAGTAGTGAAGAGAAGCAATACATATAACATGTGATTAAAACCTCAGATTACATCAAATGACCACAAAAGACCTTACTATAACACAAGAAGGATAATATTGATGGAACTACCCAAACACCAACAGAATAATACTGCAGATACCACTAAACGATGTAGACGCAGCCAAGAAATGCTATCAGATGTTTAACTGTATGGGTGCAGGCAACTGACAAAACAGTCTTTTTGAGTGTGACTGTGTTTAATATTATATAGTTGCTAATGCAAACTGCTGATACCAATGAACAAGGAACAGGAAAACTTTCCCAATTATTTTGGCAGTTTAAGGTTCAGATATACAACCCACTGCCAGTGAATTAATCTCTTTTGATCTGCCAACAAGAAATATTTAACACCTTCATCTGCCTTCCGCTTTTTCTTCTTCACATCTGTTGGCGGTTCCTCTTCTAGTTTATTGGTCTAAGAAAAAAAAACAATGGTTGGCATCAATTTTAATGCATTCTTTGATGGATACACTTACACAATATAGCAGAATAATGCTCTGATGATTCAACCTCAGTAATTAAGCAGTCCAACATTGTATTAAGAGTGAGAGACTGGTGATGTTCCTGAGCTACTTTCACTGCATACAACATATCCTTATTTGATCAAGCAAGTTGGATAAAAGGCTGATGTGGTGATGTGGACCTCACTTTGCCACATGTACTGACCGGTAAGCATACATAAAAATCTATCTGTACAAACTAAGAACATCTCATCTCACATGTAAATTTAAAACAATATATTTTATTACATTCTGATAGCCAAGAACTGCTCACTGTGCAAATGGCTAAACTTCAGACTAAGATGGAGACTGCCCAGGTGATCAGTAATGCTGATTCAAGACTATGGAATAACTCGCCTCTCAGCATTCAAAAATCCCATGTCAGTTGCTATGTTACTATAAACACTTGGAAACTTATCTTTTTAAAGAAGCCTATGACTTTTAAGTTTTATTTCTGATACATGTATTTGCATTTTTATTCTGTGTAAATTTATCTTTTTTTATTTGTAGAGTGTGGATCAACAACATTATTTGATTGTATTTAATTGGCCACTATTTTTGTCTCCAAACTCAATCTAATAATCTGTGTGACATTTTTGGGTGATCTAGTCATTTTAGTCAATATAAATTAAAATTAAGCTACTGACAATATTTCTTACCTCATTTTTTGCTGTTTGAGTGGTGTCTGGCAAAGTAGTAGGAGTTGAATTAGTTTCTGTGGTAGTAGTATCTGCTTGCTCGCCATCTGGTGTAAAACCATAGTTCATTTGATATGCTGCTATGAAATCTTCATCAACCTGCAGAGGTTTGGATTTTATATACTGATGAGTTTGACCTCTGAAACGTGTATCAACATCAATATTCTCCAGACCATTTTCCATCCGTCTCTTATTATAAAGATCAGGTGCCAGTTGTTCAAACGCTGGATAGTGCTATCCACCGCATAAATCACATATCCAGTGGATAAGTATTAGGGAAACCAATTGCACTATTCACTGGATAGAGATTTATTCACTGGATAACACTATCCACCTTTTGAACAGCTGGGGCCAGAAGAATTTGTTAACAAATCAAGGAAGTTTATCATTGATGATTTTCAAATAGAGGAAACAGCAAGAAGAGGTTTTCTCGCCACATTTCCCAGTCTGTTCTCCTTTTCATATCATCCCTTACCTTACTACACGTACATATAATTTTCTGAATATCTGGAAAATTTCTTGCCAGGGGCAATTAATGACGTCTCTACTGCCAAATATTTTAGATATTGACTTGACTGGCAGTTTTTAACTTATGGTAATCTGGCTGATATGAAACCTGCTGACTTTTAAGGGTGACCCGAACCTATCTACATGCACTTTGGTTCTGTTTTTGAATTGCGTTTTCAGCCCCTCCCCCCCCCCCCCCCCCCCCCCCCAATACCCCCCGCTTGTTTTTGGTAAACCTCGGGCTTTTTTTTTAAATTTTTTTTTTTTGCCCCTTCTTTTTGTGTTTTGCCCCCCCCCTCCACTTCATCTACACTCGTCCCCCCCCCCCTTCCACCCACCACCTAAATTTATAATCTCAGAACACACAATTATTCTAACGAAGCACAAGCATGTTTATGTAGTCTTCTTCTTTTTTGTTGACCCTCACCTACTTACAATCTCTCTTGTTTTCTTTTTTGTTTTTTTTGTTGCGCCTCCCCCCCCCCCCCCCCCGCCCCCTGAGATGACCTGTGGCTTAGTTCTGATACAACTGGTATTCTGTGTTAAAATTTGCTTACGTCACCAGTCTTTATAGTGGTGTACCCCCTCCTAACAAATATCCTGGATGCGCCCTCCCCCATTATCCAGCAAATGCATGATATAAAGACTTGACAAATAAAATTAATTGCAACGGTCTTGAAAGTCATTAGTTTGCATCTAGCCTCTTTGATTGATATAAACTTGTTTTAAGCGTCAGTAGTTACATTTTAAAAAGTAATGGTGTATATAACTTGTATGAACTGATAATTGGGAAATTAAATGTATAAATACCTTAGGAAACCAGCCTTTTTTGTCTGAATCCCACTCATAAACAGTCCCATCAGACGGGTCCACATATGTCAGCTCGTCATTTTCGGCTCTACTTTCCGCGCTCTTGGCCTGTTCTTTGAGCTCCTCTAAAAATTCTTTAGTATCTGAATTACTCATTTTTAAAATTTGGATGAAGGAACTTAAGGTTTTAAAGTATAAAAATTATCTCAGTGCACAGCAACTGCACGAAGTTTAACGTTGATGTTTCCCGTCATATAAAATGTACTGAAGGGTCAGGGAGGCTTGGTAGCAAAGTCCCCAACATGGCGGTCACATGAACAACGCAAATACAAGCTGTAACGCTAAGTTTTATAAAATCTTCGACATAACTACGAGTGGCTTACTACTAGCATTCACCACCTAGCTTGTCAAGGTAATGGTACAGCTACGGCTATTGTATTACATTGGTTGCTCAATGCTACCGCGACTACAACAGTGCGAGCCCTCTTTATTTGGTAAAATTTCCGTATAGCCCCATAAAGCGTACATTTTAGTATGCATGCAGCAATTTCATACTTTTTATCACAAACAGTTTAATATGAATAGAGTCGAAACATGTGTGCATAATAAATTTATGGGGTTACGCGAAAGTCTTACCAACTACTACTACTTTCCTTTTGTAAAAGCCCAGGGCGCCCACACAATCTGTTTGTGTAGCTGATTGTTATTATATAGTAAATGTACTAGGTTTACCATTTGCCTCACCTATAGCGATATATCGCCATAAACTATGCATATAAATCAATGAAAAATAAACGTTGAATTACCTTACCTGTGGTATATAGTCGTCCTTTTGCCTCCAAAGCGTTTTTTTGAGCGATTTTGAAGGAGTTTGAGTTCGCCATTGACTGTTCCCTATAATAGAAGGACGAGGGTGGAATCCATGTTTTGAAAGGGGTCCAGCGCCGCAGCAATTTTTCCCCCCAAAAGTCACATCATTCTGCTTTCAAACTTCGTAGCAAAAAGATTCACGTTTCTCCTCATACCTTCCGATCGAAAATCCATCCAAACGCCCTGGAGCTAGCACAGTATTTGAGCGGCAGGAATGCGCAAAAGCAAGATTCATACATGCCAGCCAGAAACCGTCCCGCTGATTGCTTCTTTTTGATTGGATGCATTGTTAAAGAATAAACACTTACCAAGTCTTCTTTAAATCAGTTATTATTTAACTTTTGGTTAACGACGTCTAATAAAAAAAAGGCAATCAGCGGGAACAGTCAATGGCAAACTCAAACTCTTTCAAAACTGCTCAAAAAACCGCTTTTGAGGCAAAAGGACGACTATATACCACAGGCAAGGAAATTCAACGTTTAAATAATTTATCATTGATTTATATACATACCAGTAGTTAGCGATATATCGCTATAGGTGAGGCAAATGGTAAATCCAGAACATTTACTATAAAATAACAATTGGCTACAAAAACAGATTTTGTGGGCTCCCTGTGGTGAAAGCTGAAAAGCAGTGTTCTACAAAAACTTGAAGTAATAAATTCCATGACTGCACAGGTAATCAATGAGAGTTTTTTGGCAATCTCACTGTTGCATGGCTGCAAAAACGAAGAAATTTATTTAAACCTAGACTACTATGGGAAACTTCTAAAAAACATGTATTTGTTTTAGGTAATGCATGATTATTTGTAGTGATGGCTGTGTCATTTCAAACCCGTGGTCGTCATGGATATGCTGTAAAGTTTTCACCATACTTTGGTCCCAGACTTCTCTGTGTCACCTCACAGCATTATGGGATTGCAGGCAAGTCATGCAAGTGACTAATTAATATGATTTAGCAGTTAATGAATGAGGCTGAGTAGGATATGAAGAATTAAGCAGATCAAGGTGGATGACACCCTCTGAGGACATCACCTAACCAAAATATATTAAACAGTTTAACTTTTTACTTTGCAGGCCGTGGTACTCTCCTTATTTTGGATGTTCTTCCCTCTGGGGTTCAGGTACTAGGCAGGTATAATGATTTTATGAACATAATGCTATTTTATTATTATATCAAAACTGCTCTTCAAAAAGTCCCAAAGCTCACTAACATGTATGTGTGACTGTGTATTTACAGTTGTTTTTCATGATAAGAGATTTAAGAATTACAGTATTGGTCAGATTGATGACCCCCACTCTGTGCTGACATCTCACTGGATTTCAGTGATTTTGTACAAATAGTTATGGTGAGTCCTGAGACTCAACTTACGAAAAATCATGAGTCCCAGTCCAGAACCAATGAGTCCCAGTTAAAAAACATGAGTCCCTGAGTCTTCATGTAACCACACAGTTGATCTAAAGAGAGACTCCAAAACTCTGCATTACAGTTTACTGAAAAAAAAAAATACTCCAACTGCCACAAGAACAGCCCGCCACAGAAATCACACAAACAGGATATTCTACAAAAACATCTTTAGATCGATCAATCGATCTTTGCGTCCTACGGGACGCATACCACAAATTATTTTCGTTGTTGGGTATTTTTATTCGTCAGGGATGCAGGATGCAGAGGTAACAAAATCACTGGGATTTATATATATATATATATATATGCATGTATATTGCATCATTCTTTTACAACTTTGTTCCTCCCTGCAGGTGGGAGTGGAGTGAGGGTCTTTTTGACTGCTCATGGAGTGAACACAATCCAGATTTTAATGTGACGGCCAGTGGAGATGGTTCACTACAGGTCTGGGATCTCAAAAACCCAAAGGTAAATATTATACTCAAATTTTTTATAAGATAGCTCTTCATTTGCCTGTTGTTGCATTCAATCATAATATTAGAAACTAACTTCTAATAAAACATGTATATCTATGTAGGGTCCTGTAAAAGTTTTCAAAGAGCACAGTGCAGAGGTAAATAAACAATATTAATTCATTGTTTTGAAAAAAAAATAATGATGACTAGTGTATCTAGTTCTTGCTTTAGTGGCTACATTTTAGTGTGACACTCGGATATTTTTCTCACAGGTTTATGGAGTTGACTGGAGCTGTAGTCGGCAAACTGATCAATTTCTGAGTGCATCATGGGATCATAGCATAAAATTGGTACCGTAAAGTTTGTAATGTACAAATGTAAAATGTATTAAACTGAAAATGTTTGTTTTGCTTTAGTTAATTACAATACTACATGTACATGTATTAGTTATAAGACAGTGGACAGTGGGGTTTCTTAAACGCACTTACACTTAATAAAGAAGGTCTTTCATAGCTCATAAATAACATCATGTTATACTAGATCATGCTACCATTACCAGTTAAACAAAGTTTTTGACAGCTTTCTGAAAGGCCTTATAAATGTAAATGTTTGATAACATTAGTGGGTTCCTTATAATACAAAACCAATCAAAATCCAACATAGCAACGTCAGTACAATTTTCAGTGTAAGATTGGTATACCAAATATTTTATACCATAATGGTACAATGTAAATATTTTACATCATGTACAGCTTTATTTCTGATACAGTGGGATCCAAAACAGTCACAGTCGCTGGCAACATTTACTGATCATGAACATGTGGTCTACAGTGCTATATGGTCTCCTCATATAGCAAGAACATTTGCTTCAGCTTCAGGTACAAACTTCTTTTTATTTCTTTATTCAAATGTTTCAAATGTGATAATTTATTAGAAATACATTACCAGGATAAAATTCTTTGTATACAGATAGTGGTGGGCAGTTAACATAAAATGTTACCCATTCGCTCCTAGTGGAGCTGTTTTCTGGTCACTCATCATCACCATCATTGGTCGACCTAAAAGCAGTTGACTGTAAGTTGTCTCCAACTGGCTTGGTCTTGGGCAGTGCACACAATGTCTTCCTCTGAGAAATGCTTTTTGGGGTCAATTCTGGTCACTACCTGGCTGAAAAGAATCAAAAATGCCCCAAATGCTGTTTACGAGTTAAGAACTTCACAGCCCTTTGTTTATTGAAATTTTTGTGTCAGCTGTACTTTGTTTTTGTGTTCTTCACTGGCCTGTTTCATTGAATCATACTAATTTGGATATGGTTTGAAAGATCTCTTCCCCCTGCCTAAGTTAGATGTCAGTGATCTCTTAGATAATTTGAAGTGAAGATATCACAAGCAGCTTTTTATATTTGATCAGTGTTAGGTTACATAAGACATTACTTCCCATAGTCAGTTTATTACACTGAACATGTGAATATAATAATTTCCTATAGTTATACACGATTCATTCTTTGTAGGCGATAATACCCTCAGAATATGGGACGTTTCAGCTCCTCCAGCTGCACAGCAGACCATCAGAGCACATAGTGGAGAAGTACTGACTTGTGATTGGGCAAAGTATGATCCAGTGAGTATATCAGAGGATAACCTGACACCCTTGAATAACATACAGGAGCATCAATTAGCCCCTCCATATACCCAACATATATAGTAAATTATATCAGAGCAAAATTAATGATACAGACGTGTAACTTGCTTTTTGATTCAACAATTAATGTTATCCTGTTTCTATCAGCTATGTGAGATATTATTGGATACATGTAATATGGGATACGTCTATGGTAGCAGCAGCAGTTAACCATTCTGCATAGGCCATCCACATAAAAGTCACCCTCAGCTGCACTCCCAGCTTTTACCCAGTTGCTATTGTCTCTTGGCGCATGAGAGAGAACTGGATGTAAAGAGGCACAAATGCACCTCTTTTGCACTACGCAGTCTGCAAAAACAACAAAAACATCAACAAAACTTTATTTATCCCTGTCTGCCTCTCTAAATAGTGCATTCCCAAGAAGCCTGCTCTTACCTTGTTCTCCTAAACAAATAGATGGTCTTGGTGGTGTACATGTAAACTACAAAAGTTAAAAAAAAAAAAAATTACGAATAAAATATCAATCACCTGTCTTTTCTTGTTGTTTTGTTATTTTTTGTTTTATTTTTTGCATTGATGTAGAATCTTATTGTCACAGGATCGGTGGATACTCAAATTCGGTACGATACTTTTTATTTATTTATTTTTTTGTTGTTGTTTGTTATCTTTTATGTCAGTTATGTTTGGGAATCAAGGGCTGCTTAGAAATAAACTGCAATAAGACTTCTAATAAACCTCCCACTTCTCTTTCCAAATTCCTATTTATGTTGTGGTTTAATTTTCATCTTGGATCATTTAATTTTGTTTACAAGTATATTTTTGTCAAACCAGTTATTTTATTTTTTTTGAATCCAGTTCCTGTTTTTGGTCTTATTTTGTTTTGTTTTGTTTTTTTGTAATTTAAGGGGCTGGGATTTACGTAACACAATGGCTCCAGTCTTTAATCTTGAAGGACACCAGTATGCAGTGAGGCGAGTCAAGGTAAGATTATGATACATGTAACAGGTTCTTATATGGATATTTACACTAAGTTTGCTGTAGATAAATTGTGGTATTGATCTTGTGGTGGCATACAATACATGTACATGTACACTAACACATTACACTTCAATGTTCTCTTTATCAAAGCTCCAAGATGTTGAATTTTAATTACTAGTAAATACGATCCCCTGTCATGTCATCATTACCCTTATTTCATGCATCATTGGAGTGGACTGGACCCTGTGTCTCACTATTGGAAATGACAAAAGGTTAGGGTTAAGGGTTATGGGATTGATCAAAACCAGTCAGATACAGACTTTGTCAATGGCCCCTTATTTTTTTTAGGAGAAACATGACTGAATTTACCTTTTCTCTGTAGTGCTCCCCTCATAACAGATCATTGCTTGCATCCTGTTCATATGACTTTACAGTAAGAACCTGGGACATTAAGAGGGGACCACACCCACTTGAGAGTATTGAGCACCATACAGAATTTGTTGTAGGACTGGATTTCAACCTTCATATTCCAGGACAGGTATGGATGGATTACAACAGAATTATTAAATCCTGTTTGTTTACTTAGAGCCTGTTTACACGATGGAGGTGGGGGACCCCAGGTATGTGACCCCCTTAGGTGGGGTGACCCACCTGTCCATGTACATTGTAACCTCTCATTTTAATTTGATCATGTTTACATGATTGGTGGAGTGACCATATGAGAGATGATATGAACAGCCAGGTTATCTCACCTAAGTAGCTTGCCCTACAGCTGTACCTGGGGCCCCCCACCTCTAAGTAAATAGGCCCTAGGTCATGTACGTTTTATTATTATTATTAACCAGAGGTTTTTGTAACAGAATTTATCAATTAAAATTATTATGTAGTGATGAATGGCACTGCACATGTCAAACATTTTGCTGCAGTTAATCATAAAAAGAGTTCTGGTTTCCATACAATCATTTGGGATCATATTAAACTTCACAAAAGTATACCTTACAGACCTCAGTTCTATTCAGACAATACAATGTATATTGTAGCCACCCCAACTGTTCAGATTGTCCTGATCAGGACAATGTCTCCTGAATCCAGAGAAATACTGTGAGTGCAAAAAAAGGCTAAAGGACATTCAAGGCAGGCTTGAATGCAAGAACTTGGAGCAAAAATAATCATGTCCACTGACAAATCTTGATAAACAGACCATAAGAAGGTTAGGGCCAGCCACTAACGCTTTCATCAATTCTTAATTCTCTCCAGATTGCAGACTGTTCATGGGATGAATACATCAAAATTCACAGTCCAGCATCTTTACTCCCAAGATAACCATAAATTATTAATTTTATATAGTTTTTACAAATCAATATTGAAGACAATCATGATGGTAACAGACGTCAGTAACATAGTGATAAAGCAAAATACTGTAAGCAGATAGTAAAGGTAAGATAATATCCTGGTGGTAAATGACTGTGTTTGTGAAATTAATAGGAGACTGTGCAAAGTGAAGAATTAAACCCATGGAATGATTCTAAAAAATAATTCACAGTTGTCCTCAAAGCCTCCGGCCTACACAGCCACCTGTTCAGGTTTTAGTCTGTTTATTTCCAATTACCGTACTAGCAGCTGGTGAGATTTAATTACACTTTTTTTTTACATTCTGGTTAGAAATACTTGTACAAACACTCGACATTGACGTTAAAACTGTATATGTTTGTAATGCTGTGGTCACCTTTTTTTTCACTGTGAAAGATTCAGCGTCGCATTCATGTGAGCAAAAAAGTTTGTGAACCCCAAGAAAACACAGCTGCAATGCAGACTACAAGTCTATTGCTCTACCGGCCTGTTTGACCATGCTGCCTGAGTCTATCTACACACTGTAAAGTGTGTTGAACCGTATAGCTGTAGTGACTTTGGTTAGTTCTTATAATCCAAACTTTTTTTTGGCATTTAAAAATACCATCTCTAAGACTACGATGATGACCATTAACACTCCTCTTCAATAATTATTGAATAATTATTGAATAATTATTATTGGCAAGCATTTCGTGGTCTTATTTTGAAATACCTTTTATTAAGAAACTTAAACCCACTCTTTCTGTACAAATTCATTTGCTAATGTTTTTAATGTAATTTGCTTTCCAGCATGCTAATTTTACTGTTATTTTTATTACACAACTTTTTATACATTTTTATACACTCTATATTTTTACACATAAATAGTTTAATCCTCTATATTAATAAAAGTGAACTTACGCAAAAGAATGGGAGAGGAGGGAAGACGACAAACATTGAGTGACAAGCATGACAAATATTTTGTTTAAAAATGTTCTGCCAAATTTCACCCTCCTTTAAACAGATTTTTTAGGAAAAGACCAGAAAACATTAACTTGTGAAGATCATGACAAAACACAAAAGTAATAGCCCTGTCACGTTTGTCACACACAAGTGTTTTGCCGTCCTCTTCTTTCTGCCATCCTGTTGCATTAACTCACTAAAATCTTAAACTTGATAATGACTGAAGGGTTACTGGTTGAACCGTTGTTTCGTACCATCTCGTCCATTGGTACTTTTTTTTAGCTAGAAAGTGTATTGATAAAAACAGATTCAGTGATGTATAATTGACAGCCTGTCCCCTAACAGTCAGTATCAGTATAATTTGTTGATTCTTGCTTTGAGTATATTGAATAATAATTTCAGGGTGTTCATTAGGCACCGGAGATTGGAGAATTTTCTGTTTATTACGCAGAATTCCTCAGCTAACGTTCGGCTAAAATAATATTCTCTTGTGATGTTACGCCTTTCTCCTGCTAGTGGACTTTTTAATGAACACCCTGTTATTTTAAATGAGAATTTAGTAATCATGGATTGTATATCCACAAAGAGATGTCTTCCTAGAAAATTAGGAATTTATGCATGGTACATTTTTGAAATAGTTTGTAAAGAATGCTCCATCCTAAGAGCTGAGACTACTCAAGTTTAAAGGTGAGCTAGAGTTGTGTTTGAAGCATTAAAATTGCCTGCAACCGCAGCATGTTTGTGCAAGTGTGCATTGAAGTTTGGAGGTCTATTATTTGCAGGGCATAAATTTTATTTTATTTTGCTTTTTACCTTTTTAACTCGCCCACAAAACAATCCACAGGAACTGATAGTAGTGTATTTTTTAATGCCAGAATATTGTCAATAATTATATCCATTGTCTGACAATAAGTTTAAAATTTTACTTTTGCCTGTCCCACCAGAACAAAAAAATATGAATACAAATTTTTAAATTTGAGTATCCCCTAGGGATGTCAGTCATTTTTTTTCTCTCTCTTGGCTTTTGTTAGATACCTATCGGTAGGATAAAGTATCATGATTAAAACACCAGTTGCAGCTATGGTAGCACCAATACTACCTGGTGCATATGCACTAATTTCCTGAACAAACCCACCTAAGGCAGGTGAAATCATGCGTGCTAAAGACAGTAATGAGTTGCCCACTCCTAAGATCACTCCTTTCTCATCTTTTCGTGATCGGCGGAAAGTTAGGTTTGTCAAGCAGACCCTAGACACAGCACTTGATACTGCAAGTGGGGTGATAAAGGCTGCTACAAAGTAAATACTTGGAGAAAATGTTATGCCAAGGATTGATACCGTGATGAGACATGAGAAGTGAAGAAGCATTTTTGAATCGTTATGATTGTAGAAGTCTGCGATTGAACCCATTAGAATCCCAGAAAAGCCACTAACTAATGCATTATATGACATTATGTAGCCATTTGTTTTTGGGCTGGTATTAAAGTGAAATTCTAACATGGACATGAAATTGCTGCGGAACACTAGCATTGAAAATCCCATAAGAAAACGAAGGACCAACAAGTCCATTATGGAACTGACCGATGCAAGTTTACTAATACTACTGACTTCCTCAGTAATTCTTTTTGCATCTCCATTTGACACATTTCCAAGGTTATCTTGAACAGATTCTCTGTCTGTTGGACGATCATCTCTTTTATTTTCAGTTTCCTCAGCACCACCTCTGTTAAGGACTATTTCTTGTCTTGAGTTGTGAGTGTGGTAAGCTGTAATTTCTTCAACTTGTTTCACAAAAAACCACACAAAGAAAAAATTTACAATAAAAATTGTAGCAGCCACGTAAGCCACTTTGAAAAAGCCATTTGATTGCATCGCTAAGTGACCACCAATCAAAGGACCAATCACAAAGCCAAGGTTAGAAAAAGCATTGAAATTACCAAACACTTTGGGGTGATCAACAGGTTCTGAAATATCAGCTAGATATGTCTTGGCAACACTCTGACTGTGCTTGAAAATTCCTGTGAAAAAATGAAGAGATATCAAAAAAATTAGGTGACCCTGGAATTTTGAGAAACTGCTATGTTCTCCTTCAAATTTGCATTGTATAAATCACAAGAAGATCAGGAGCCAGGTCCTTAAATATTGCACACCTATTATTAAGGATTTTTCAATATTGTTTCCTCTGGAGTACAAATTACAGATGATATAAAGCCACAAGTGCATACATGTACAAAATGCTACATGTATGTTTCAGTTTGTGCCATTGGTTGAAATTTATTTTCCTTTGCAATTGTTTTGGGGTGTGGCAATAATGAGCCTTCTCTATGGGTACAGTATTTCCTCGAATAATAGTCGGGGGTGATTCTTTGGGGGAAGGCAATTATTCAAGGGAGGCGATTATTTCAAATATTGCTCACCGGAAGTTGTGCCTTAAATATTATGTATCATTATCCCATTAAATCAAATAATTATCATATAAAATAAACTGAACATGGGCTTTTTAAGTGTTCCAAATTTGGTTCCTTGATTAATTTTCAGAGCTTGAATCATCACTGATCCGTTTTGCTGGATCAGATTCCACTTCAACTTGACATGGAGGCTGAGGGGATAAAAGAAAGAGAAGATGGCGAGAGGGTTGGGGGGGGGGCGATTATTATAAACATTTCCATCAAAGGGGGGTGTCTATTCAAGGGAGACGAGTAATCAAGCGACGTCGCGCATTTCTCAACAAATCGTTTATTTTTTTCAACGAAATCATTGCATATCAAGAAATTTTTGTGCAGCAACCAAGATGACAAAGAAGGAAACAAGAAAATAAAAAGTGAGCAATAGGTTTAATATGCAAAACAAAAACTTTTAACATGCAGCAAACTTTGCTATCATAATCATTGCACGACTAACATTGTCAAACTCGATTGCATGACAATGTTATCGTTGCTATATAATCCCTACATTCATTGTTTCATCCACAGCAATGGCCCCGGCTTCAATTTCATCGCAAATACTCATACATAGGCTTAGTACAATGAGTTTGAAACAAAGGAGAGTAAAATTTCAACGAAGGATTGAGCACATTTTCGAGCCTCAAATATACATGTAGTACTAAGCATAATGAACCTTTCTTTGCAAAAAATTCCTAGTAAATATTCTGTAATGTTTTTAACACTGCAGTACAGCAGCATGTCTGTGTTGGGATACCGTAAAATTCCAAAAATAACCCCCTCCATGTATAAGCCCCTCCAAATATAAGCCCCCCAAACCGGTAACGCAAAAAACCCTCCGTTAAATCGCCCCTCCAAATATAAGCCCCCACGGGGGCTTGTACTTGGAAAATTGCCCTCATATACAAAGAAAAACAAAGCAAAAATGGTAAATTTACTTCCAACTATATGGCTAGCCCAATTGATTTTGAAACGCAAATCTCCCTCCGAATATAAGCCCCTCCAAAAATAAGCCCCTCAAAAAGGGCCTTTGAAAAATATAAGCCCCAGGGCTTATTTTCGGAATTTTATGGTATCTCAATGAATTTAATCTTCATTTCTTTATTTTTTCTTTTATTGTTCTCCTTTTGCAGCACAATAAACATTGTTCATGTTCGCTAAAGGTCTAATTTGCAGAAGCAACTTTTTCAGTTGCCATTTGAAAGGTGTTTAAGGTTGAGTTACAGCGGGTAGGTCACACCTGGCTAGCTGTACACCTGCAAGTTAAACTGTCTATGAGTTCACATACACACGGTACCTGCAGGAATCCTACTGAGTGCCAGGAAAAGTAAAGTTGTTGGAAGAGAAGTCATATAATAACCCATTGCAGTGCCCAGGAGGCTCACCAAAAGAAGCTGCTTTCTTCCAAAAACATCGCTGAGCTTGCCCTGGTGGAAAATAAAATAATGGAGCTTTTAAATATTGTTTGAGAGAGGCCTTTAACTGCTGTAATTAAAAATTAAAATAAAAATTGGCCAAGCTTTTGCTGATCAACGGCATCATCAGGGAGCAATGAGTAATACATTGCAAGGCCAACAGAATAAGAAAAGGCTAATTATTGTGATAAGCAGCAATGCTAATTTATAGTTAAGACAGAGACTTGTACTGGTGGAGATTAATTTCATTGTATTGATTTTTAGGCTCTATCTGTCTACGAAACCTCTAGCTTGTGATTTTGCAGAAGAAGTTACAAGCTGGCAAGTCAGCTACCCACACTGAGTTGACACAAAGTTGTCACAAGTTTAAATTTGACAATCAACAGCTCCATGCCATCTCTCTTTAAATCTTTTTGTTAAATAACTTTAAACTGAATATTTGTGCAGGATTTTTTTTTAAAATAGGGGACTTTCATATTCTTGCTAAGTAAAAATTGAATATTTTAAAATTTATTCTCACCATGATAGGACTGGAAAATAACTGAAGACCACCATAGACAGAACCTGTCAAAAAATTTTTTTCATCATTAATATTATTATTTGTTCATCCATGGCAAAGCTATTGGGCACAGCTGGAATTGACTGATGCATTATTTCTCAATCAATTTTCCCACAAATAACAATTATCGCATCAATCCCACATGCAACCAGTTAGCAAAAAACAGTTCAAAAAATAGTTTTCCTACATTTTTAATGACATTTAACCATACCAGTGCAGATGCAACTAATGATCAATAGTTCAGCATTTTTATGGGAGACAGGGCTTTCAACCCCGTCTAAAATAAACTAGTCTGTGAAAATGCCAAGGCTCAAAATGGCGCAGTACACTCTGCACAGATACAGTGTAGATATTAAGTCTATGAGATCTACAGTCACTTCTCTTCATTTTATAGATAACAGGGAGGGCAGTGGGGTGGTAGCAGTTACAAATAAATTGAAAAACCTTCACATGGAGTTCTATATTATCCCATAAACTATTTAGTAGTGTAGACAGTGAATTTAGTTTTTTGTTTCCATTAGCCTTAAAAAGGCAGGTCAAAAGGATCTTATAGATATATACAGGCAAATAATTTGACCTCATTATCACCATATACTTCTGTGTTGTTACACGTATGTTCTCTGATTTGATATAGAAATTAGAGCTGGCTGTTTTTTTTTTGTTTTTTTGTTTTTTGTTTTGATACTTTTTAGATGCTAAAGTTACCAACCGATAAGTCCAACAAGTGACGGCGATGCTCCTAATTCCCTGGCTCGGTGGGTTAGTAATGGTATCAGACAACTAACAGCAAATAGATCCTGTTATGGTAACCAAAAAGAGCAAGGGTCAAAATAACACGTGTGTTGATCAACAAAAACTTCCTTCATAGACTAATACTGTACATCTCTTACCAAAAATCCCACACAGTATAGGCAGTAGACATAAAATATTTCCTCTTTGACCTTGAGGAATGGCGGTAGATTAATTTTGGGCCACACTGAGCCGAGAATGCCGTGCATTTTCCCGTTAAATTGCTTTGTAACTTTTTCACACCGGTATTCTTGATCTTTTTCATCAAATACTTTGCAGTGAGCCTGGTAACCACTTTGCTTCAAGCGTTGAATCTTTTGTGGGGAGGGGGGTGCTTGTCAGAATTGTCAAAAAATGGAAAACACGTTTTCTAAGAATTATTGTCGATTTATTTTTATTTTGTTTTTATTTTTTAGAATGAGGGTATAAATTTCTATTTTTTAATCCATATAGTTAGCTTCTTCATTTGACCTCTTTTTTTTCAAGGTCTTCTTTCCTAGTTTGAAACCTCTCCCTACCCTACCCTACTAAGTTCTGATTTCCCTCTTCAAGGATTCACATGCATCATGGCCGATCTCGAGGAAGAGGAAGACATGGATAGCGAAACTCTGGCTGCGTATCGTGCCGAGCCAGAGACGGAGCTGTCCATCATGATCACTGAGTGCAATGATGACCAAGAAGGCAGAGGTCTAGTTGAAGCGTATATGTTTATGAGAAATGCTTTAGGAAAACTGAACATTAATGAAAAAGACAAGCTTGGTTTTACTGCTTTACACTACGCTGTCACACAGAAAAAACTTGGCATGGTTAAGTTACTTATAAAATACAAAGCCTCCGTAGAGGTAAAAGACTCTCTTGGATTTACACCGCTGTTTTATGCGTGTGGGAGAGCTGCGAACGTAGAAATAGCCAAGTATCTAATTGAACAATGCAATGCCTCCTTCGTTGCTCGGACATATGCCGGCATGACTTGTCTGCACTGTGCTGCCTATGTTGGTAAGTATAGTTAGCGTGCGTCAGAAGCATAAATAACCCTGAAGAGTCTAAATTCTCCTTATTGGTTTAGAACCATGCTGGGATTTTTTAGTCATCCAATCAGAAGCACGGGAAATATTTTGGCCAAATATGGAATCAGAGAATTGAAGGCTTACCTATCAGAAAATAGCTAATTACAAATCTTCCTGTTCTTAAAATTCTCCAAGTACATTCATAACTCAATAGTACAAGCTTAGCTGTTTACTTTTGTTACATAATATAATCAACATACAAAAACATTTACATAATTTCACAGGTAATGGTGCCAACAAGTTTGTTGTTATTTGCATGTACTAAGCTGTGCCAATTGTAGTTACTAAAACATGGAACGACCTAAAACCATCTACAACCACCTAAAACCACCTACAACCACCTCAAAAAATTCAACAACCACCTACAACCATCTACAACCACCTCAAAAACATCTACAACCACTCGCAAACAATCTAAAACCATCTAAAACAAGGTATAAATGTCTGAAATAATTTCACATAAATGTATGTAGTCCCGCAGAATCCTTTAGTCTAGTGTGAACGTGTCTCACTTGTAGAGCCTGATTTTATATAGCTATTAACCCGTTTACTTACCCGTTTTCTGTGTGTATTCATTCACCAGGCTAGCCACCACTTGTGAGAGTGTGAGAAAGAACTCAGTTATTGTAAAAATATCCAATGCCATTATTTTTTTAGGTTCTGTAGATGTTGTTAAACTGCTGTTGAAGTATGGTGCAGATCCCCAAGCTACTTGCAGTGAGGGTAGAACACCATTTGATCAAGCTAAGACTTCACCAGAGATCAGGAAATTATTGCACAAGGCAAACAGAAATGTTGATTCTTCTGTGGCAAAACGATCAGCAAGCTGTGCTAATTGTGGTCTGTAGAACATTGTTGTTATAGTGCTAGAAATTAAGACTCGCTTCCTCTTGGGATTTTGAATTATCTGGAAATATTATTCTTTAGTGTATATCACTTGAGTGAATAACCCTTTTGCATGCACTGATTGGCTATCTCAGAGGTGATTAGCCTAGTAGGTCCTAGTACTATTCTCCCCCAAGCAGCTGGCACAGTAGAAACCAAAATTTCAAGACATTTGGTCTGCACGTTTGTTAGGTACTCAGCTTGTGTGGTATATACTGAAACAATAACAGATCAGCCCTCTGTGCCAGTAAAAGTGGTAGATATTCACCTTGCACTTCAGTAAAAGTAGTAAAAAACTATGTCAGTGTGTATTGGGGTAGGAGTGAATGAAGTCTCGTTTTTTGACAGTGTCGTTAAGACCAAGATAAAGCAGCTATGCCAGCAAATATCAAGAAAGCAGGGAAATTTGGCGGCCAGTGCAAAACTACCAGCCCTAAGATGTCAAAATCCACTCAAGTTACCAATACATTGCTGCTTTCCATCTCTATAAGACAAATATATCTCAAAGACAGACACTTAGTAATGGTCGCAAAGGTGTCCATCTTAGAGAGAGTTGACTATTTATTTCCTGTAATCCAATTGGTCAACTTTTTTGTCTATGTGGCCTTGGTTATAGTAGTAACACTGTTTATCATCATTTTTACTGTTATGTGACCTTTCAAATCAACAAACCACTTTGAAAAAGATTTTCATCAGTCAAAGGATACAAACAGTGCTGGCTTTAATACAAAAAATATGGGTTTATGCACATTCACAAAGAATATGTTGGATAATAACCTGTCAGCAAGAGTTTTATTCAAAAATAAATAGAAATGAAGCAAATAAATGTCAGAATAAATTTCTGTTAGAGTAAGTTGTTGAATCGTTGTTGGTCTTACTCAAACCACCAACTACAGCTGCAAATTGAAGTAAATCATTAACCTTTATCAACTTAATAAATCTTGAATGAATAGAATAATATTGTTGGTGGAGTATTTACCGGTAACATGTTTCCTGTGAATTTCGAACCTTGTTCTGGCGGCCCCGTTACCATACAAGGTTTTTTGTTTGACTGATAAGGGCTGATGGAAACCTATTTGCAAGAGTTTTGAAAGTTTTTTTGAAAATTGCATAGTAGTGAAAAATAATGGTAGGTGTTTTCCCAATGCATGTTACTTTGGCAGATAGCAGTGATGATAGGGCAGTTTTGTATATGGGAAAGAACTGATTTTTTTCCCTGCTGTTGTGTCTATTCAAGGCCTGTATCCCAGGGTTCCAGCACATCATTTTTGTGTGAAAAGTGGGGTTTTGGTTCCTGTTTCCCAAGAGCAAAACCAAGTCTCAAGGGACCACCATCCCTCTTCGACCAAACCAAAACAATAAGTTTGATTGGAAATCATTTTTGGTAATTTCAGATTAAATGTTGGTTGATGTCTTATTTTAAAGGTCAATCTGTTGAGAAGTTGAAGCGTTGCGCTCGATGTCATGTGACTTTATACTGTGGGAAAGAATGTCAGAAAGAACATTGGAAGAAAGGTGGCCATAAGGAACGGTGTGAAGAGGGGGTGTTGGCACACCCTAGTAGATACCCTTACATGACAACTATTAGCAATGTACTCAAAGCTGAGCGTCCAACAGTGTCACTGAGTGCCGCTACGACAGAAGATTCTACTGCCTCTCAAAGCTCTGTTCCTGTTAGCAAGACATTTGTTGTCAAAGTACAAAGACCTATGACTATGATGGATCCAGATGCACCTAAAGATTTAATGGTTTATAATGTGGATAAATCAGTGCATGTTTTCATACGGGAGGAAACCCCAGGCTATGCAAGCCTTGTAAAGAAGATCACTGAGGAAGGAATTTATGGACTGAAAGGATTCTTTTGGGCTGAAAGGGCGCCGTCTCTGGGTGAAGGAATGGTGAGAGTGTTTCCTGGTCAGTTTGCTCCTGTACAGGACTGGTGATATACTACAACCACCCTCACATAAGACACTTTTCTAAGGACTGTTTATTGAGAATATGTATTTAACGTTCAACTTGGATTAAACTTTGTATGTTGATGGTCAGGGTGTGCCATGATCAGTTTCACTATGTAGGACAAAATAATGATAGTTAGTAACTGATGATACTGAACCTAAAACAAACGCATGGACTTTGATGGACTGTAGCATGCAGAGTACTTACTACCGGTACCATGAAATAAAAGTAATATTGGCCAATGTTAAATCTTTGTATGACTGGATATTACTTTAGAGCCTTATTTGCAAGGCAAGTCTCAAGTGGAACTTTTTAGGGGTTCATAAATATTATTTATATAGGCGAGCGCTATTGTCTTTAACGACAAAGACAACATGATTGGGAATGCTAATACACTGTAGATCTTTTCCTCTCTTTCTCTCTTACAGTCAGTCAGTTTACAAACGTCAAAAAAAGTCTCTTTAAAACTAATCATCCACAATTTTCTATTGTCTGTTGTGTACCAGTTAACAACTAGATGCTTAATGCTGCAATTAGTCCTTTAAAGAATTGTTTTTTTGGAAACAAAAAACGGTATTTGGGAAAGCTAAAGAAAAAGGGTGGGATGTGGGTCTGCAGCATCAGGACCTCCCCTTCCAGACTCTGGATTATGCCACCGCTTAATGACTTGATCATCTGAATTTAAAAAGGGTTTTAAATCACAGCTACAACCAGTTGCAAAAGTACTTGAGACACTGTACGGTATTTTGACATAAATGGCCTTACTATGATCTTGTGCTTGTCATCCCCCTCTACCCCTTTTCAAAGTTGCTAGCAATACAAGACCATGCAAAGACTTGGAGGAACAACTTTGTATGAGAGGGAGGAGAGAGGTCAGTATTATATCTCACTGACCTGTGACCAGGAGCGATTTGAAGCAAGAAAGGTCGTTTTTTCGTGGGAGTGTCTCAACTTTTTTGCAAGTGGTTGTGGCATCATCTCACCAATTTTTCACACCTCGGTTGGTTCTTTGGTGGTCAGGCCGGGCTTGGACTTACGGCTTCCAGCTCAGCAGACCGGCATTCTTTATACACCTAGTTGACAGCTAGCAGTCCCTCCACATCACCCCCCCCCCCCCCCCCCCCCCCCCCCCCCCCCCCCACCCCCCCCCCCCCTCCGGCCTGTGAGTCTTGGTACTTCGTCGTGTTGTGGGTGTGGGTGTTCTAGTAATTTATAACAAAAATAAAATAAAAGAAATTCATTACGTCGAAACGATATTAAATCAAAAAAAAGATAAAAAAAATAACACAAAAAATCTTAACNTTTGTATGAGAGGGAGGAGAGAGGTCAGTATTATATCTCACTGACCTGTGACCAGGAGCGATTTGAAGCAAGAAAGGTCGTTTTTTCGTGGGAGTGTCTCAACTTTTTTGCAAGTGGTTGTGGCACCGTCTCACCAATTTTTCACACCTCGGTTGGTTCTTTGGGGGGCAGGGCGGGCTTTGACTTACCGCTTCCAGCTCAGGAGACCGGCCTTCTTTATACCCCTAGTTGGCCGCTAACAGTCCCTTCACAACCCCCCCCCCCCCCACCCTTTAACTGGAGCCTGATTATCAGGCTTGCTTGACTGGGCAATGTAATGGAGTGAAGTCCGATTTGTAGAGGCTTGGGCTATTCAGTCAATTATCAATAAATTTAAATAGCTGTATTACGGGTACGTCTCAAGAATGTAATAGACAAGAGATCATAATCTCTTAAAATGGGCCCGAGATTTTGCCCGCCAAACCACGCGTGAACAGGTACACGCTCCTTCTAAGATAGTGCCAGTCCCTCCGCATCTGATCGGTCAGCTTGACACAAAGTGACACTTTTAAAAAAGTACATCTCAGGAAGAGGCGGGAGGTACAGAAAGGTAAATCTCTCTCCTCCCTACTTTTTGGGGCAATTTTTCCCTCCTCCCTAAACTTGGTGTAAAAATTGATAGCGGGCAATACACGACTCCTGCACTTAGTAGTAAAGGAAGTACAATGTTCAGAGCTTCGCCTGTACACCAACATGGAGAGGGAATAACCACCGAATGTATGCATACAAAGATTTTTATGGAGGTAAAGCCCATATACCTACCCCGGAGGGTACTCCCTTATATAAGCCATATAGGTATGAACCGCCCCAAAGAGTAGGGTTTTTGCGCCGTTTCGGTCTGAAAACGGGTATAAATTTTGCCCATATTGTTCTGGAATTGGGTATGGTTTTCGAGGAAACTACGGGAGTGTATAAACGTATTTGTCGTTTCAATTCCAAATGAAAAATGAGGAAGAAAGATTAATAAGTGAATTCGAAATAGATTTTAAGAAATTGTTGGGGTAAATTTTTTTCTTTTGTTTTCGTTATCTCACTTACTTGTTATCGTGTATTCTGTTTCTTTTCGCTCTAAGGTATTTTGTTAATTACGCTAGTTTGTTACGTGGTGTATGTAAATTTCCTTATAGTTTGTTATCTCGCCCCCCCCCCCCTTTTTTTTATTTTTTTTTTTTTTGTTTTTTTTGTTTCGTTTTTTTTTTAATTTTCTTTTTTTTTTTTTTTTTCTCCCCCCCCCCCCTTTTTTTTTTACCAGTTTACGTGTCTATAAGTGTAACAGCATTTGTGGAAGTGGATTTTTTTTCCCTCGGTTTCCCTTAACACCAACCCTGTCTTGCATTTGGTAAGCAGCTTCGTTTTCATCGTTTTTCATTAATTTCATTTTGCAGTCGCCTTAAAGTAGTTTTTCTGTATTGTAACTATTATTTTTTCGCTCTTTGTAGGAATGTGGAAAATAACACTTTTTAATCTGAAATAGGGTCAGGATTTGGAGAGCAGGGCGGCACACACCCACCAAAAATTCCCGGGAATACCCCCCCTCCCCCGGTTACCTACCAAGTATCTTATATGTCCCCTTTATCCTCTCTTGCTCTTAAAAACATAACATTTTTTCTCTCTTTTAAGAAAAACCGGTTTATCCCATACTTGCCTGTGTGCAGACGTCTCCTATTTACTTTTTTGCAAGGAAATAGGAGACGTCTGCACGCAGGCAAATCCCATACAAGCCTTTGTAACTAACCCTTTGTAACACAACACCGCTCGCAAGCAAGAGTCACGTCCGCGTTCCTGTAGTGAGCTTGGGCTCGGCTGTGGCTTACCGCTTCCCAATGTACCACGCGCGCCAGGCCTAAGATAGAGTCACGAAATCGGCGTGACATCAAAATTGATACATGTCGAGATTGGTGCACAGCATCTTTGTTAAGGTTCTAATCACGGCTTTTGGTAAACTTAAGAATGTGAGCTGTTTGAGGAAGTGAGGGCGAGCATGAAAACACGGAGGGAACTGTTGTTTTGTTCTCTCTTTTATATGTCCATTTCTCCACTGTTAGCTCGTGATTTGAAAGGGCATTTAGAGCCATTGTTCTCTCATGGTAAGAGATTAGAAGTTGAAGTGTACGAGGGATTTCCAACACCCGAGGAATTCTACAAGAAGTTCGTCATCATGCCGAAGCCCGTTCTCTTTCGTGGCGGGGCTATGTTGTCTCCTGCCTACAGACTATGGAATGAGGAGTATTTTCTTTCTTTCCCTGAAAGTGAGGAGCATTTAGTGGTAGTTGAGGCAGAAAAAAAGGAAAATCGCACAACCCCAGGAGAAGAGGTTTTTTTTGCAAAGTTTGTTCGAGATTTGCATTCTTCTGGACAGTACATGGTCAGTTCAGTACCACAGTTTCTCAGGTAGGACTTTACTTCCGGTTTAAGCTAATATACTTTGTTTTCATCGTTAAATGAGTGGTAGCTGCAGAAGAACATCAGTTGTAAAAATTACTTGAAACCTCTCTTTCTTTCCTGGATAAATATGTACAATCTGAGATATGTCATTACACTATAGCTATTCAATTTTGGTACCTAATTTCGCGGGTACTTAATTTAACTTAATGCCTGGGGTGGAGGGGGGGGGGCGGGTACTTCCCTACAAGAGAGGGTAATAGGGATGTGCCGCTGGATGAGGTCGCATTTTCACGACTGGATTGACTATAATGGGGTTGCATTTTCAATAGAGTTACTATAGTGGGGTCGCACATTTTCGGATTATTTACGGTTAGCAAACGTACCATGATGTTTGTGCTGTAGGTGAAAAGTTAAGTGTTCTTCATTCAATTTAAGACTGAATGTGTCATTTCCTTTTAGGATGACCTATTTAAAGGATTGATAAGGTAGATACATAAACAGAAAGTGACTTAACTTGGGATCGCAAAAGTTACATTTTCCCAAAAGTGACTTAAAGATGGGGTCTATAATTGGCCACAGAATAGACTTTAATGGGGTAGGGGTTCTGAGAGGCCAGCGGCACATATTCGGCAAAAATTAACCCAAATACTTCCCCCAGGCCATGTGTGACATCTTTGCAAATTACCATTTATTTCACATAATAAGGTACAAAATGGAGCTTACCAATAAAGCCAGTAAGCAATTTGTGTATTTGTCCACACACATCCTGTATTTGTTATTGCTATTACATGTTCATTGCAATTTGAATTTCAAGATGGGTATTAAATTTTGCCAGGATTAATTTCGCGAGCCTTCAATTTCACTATTTTTTTTGCAATCGCAAAAAACGTAGCCTGCCATCACAGCCATTTCTCCTCACTCCTCGTTTGGGACATTTTGCCAGGAGAGACCCCTGCTCCTCATCGACAGGAATTCCATACTGATGACGTAAAATCTGTCCAGATTCTGGTCAGGATCTCTGATTGGTTGACACAGTAGTTACATTGTTTTAGCCTTGCTTATGAATGACAGACAAAAGACAAAAGGCCACAAAGGTCAGATGTAAACAGGATAAATCTATGACAAAAAACAGTCAATGTTCATGGAATATACTCTTCTATAAAAGAAGCATTTGAGTTTTGCTGAAGCCTATTCGCAGATAAACACAAACGTTTACCACAATTGACCAGGAGAAACATAAAATCGAGCAAATTTGAATTTGGAACCCCATGACTACCAATTTACATCATCAGTATGGAATTTCTGTTGCTGAGTATACGAAAAACACAAAATTAAGTACCAATGAGGTATTTGGTTTTGATTACGATCTTTTTTAGACAAGATGTCTATCTTCCAGTTCCAATTTCTTGCCCAAATATAATTCAAGGAAACCTTGTACAAGATGTAAGTATGATTAAAAAGCTAGTCTAACTAGAACTCCTAAACCTAGACTGGTGGGGATAGGAACTGGATGCATGACCATCCCTCCAGGGAGATGACCTGCAGTTTTCTAATACAACTGGTATTCTGCAACAAAACAAACTATATGGTTTATTGGTGTTGAAGTAGACGACTGCACCCTTTCCTAATAAAAATCCTGGATCCGCCCCTTGTAAGGGACTTTACTCTATGAGGGTGACACGTAACAGTAACTGAACATTACTGATCAACTTGTGGCCCTCTCAAAATATAAAAATACAATTTATAAAAACTACATTAGCAATAAATTATTATTTCCAATAAAAATATTTCTATTTTTATTTTTATTGAATTATTGGTAAAAATTAAAAATAAAAAACTCTTAAAAACGAAGAGCATCCAATATCCATCTATTGTCATTAATAATTTATATCAAACAATCCCTTTGACTTCTGCGAATTTAAAACTATTTTCCATAATTCAGCCTTAAAGGATTTCAAAGACAGTTTGTCTTTAGTGATCGGGGTAGATTGTTCCAGTCCTTTACAGTTGTTACAGCAAAGGTGTGTCCTCCCTCCGAGATGTTCCTGTGAAGAGGGCACAATATACAACTTCACACTACGATTTCTCGTGTTTCTTGAGTTTCTCAGGGAATACCCATTGCCCCACCAACCTTATCCCAGGTTTTCCATCTTGCTACACGCGAGGAGGGGTTAGATGAAAGACAAAACTGTTGCAGTGAGATAAAAGACCACTTTGCGACTCTAGCTTCTTGAGTGCTTAGCAAACCTCCCAAGTGCATCCATAACTCGATGGTTGCATGCTGCACATTTGCCATTTCTTAAATATACCTGAACGCTTCTAAGTTATATAACACGTTTCCCACATTGGGAATACCCATTGCTTCACCAACCTTATCCCAGGTTTTCCATCTTCCTACCCACAAGGGAGGGGTTAGATTAAAGACAGAACTGTTGCAGTGAGATAAAAGACCACTTTGGGGTAGGGGCAAGGATGGTTCCTGACTCTTGTTGACTTCCTTTCCCACCTTCTTGGAGGGTTCCTCCCCTCTAGATTGTCCCATATGCCCATTGCATGCAGGGTTTCAGCTGGAGTGATTATGAGTCCCTATAATGGCCAATACAGGGAGGCTCTGCACTAAAGGGGTACCTTTTCCAACATGCCTCTGGTGTATTTAAGCAACAGAACACACTTTCTATGGGTTTAAGCTTGTAAATCATGAGCCTCAGGGAGACTCCTGCACTGTGAAGGAGTGATGTACAAGCTTTTAGGGTGTTCTCCCAACATCCCAAGTGGGTTATCACGCCAGTAAACCCACAGAAAGTGTGCTGTATTTTTTTTATAAAATAACTTCAAGTTTTCTATGAGTTTACCGGCACAATAAACAATAGGTTTTAATCAATCAGAATGCATGTACTATCTTAGTTATTTTACAAAAAAGGGTGGGGAAATCTGCCATTTCCATCTTTAAAAGGACCTAAAATGGCTAATGGTTGTAAAAAAGTCAAGAAAATTTCCTGGTTGTGTGATTTTTTTTTTCCATATTTTTAAAGAGAGTAAATTTACAGCACTTAAAAGGGATGCAGCTTCTAAACTAGGTATGTGAAAGTAGTACCATTTATCAATGGAAGGTACACGAAAGGTTCACCCATTCTGTCAGAAATGGTATATATTAGGGTAAAGGGCTGGACCTCAGGCGGAGCCTCCCCGTATAAAACTTTGTTGAGTACGGTATATCAGGCAGGATTAAAGTGTTTGTTACAGACTGTACTCCCCTTCCCAGGTTATGAGGCCTTATGGCTGTACTTGATCTCTTTTAGATGATGTGGCTTAGCAGTGGTGGAACCAAGTCTGTCCTTCACAATGATCATGCAGAAAACATTATGTGTGTTTTCAAAGGAACCAAGGAGTTTTTCTTGATAGACGAAAAATACCAGGATTTGGTAAAAAGTAGTTCTTTATTACTTTAATAGTGTAGTTGTATAACTCATATGGTTTGAAGTAGGTGAAATGTGATAGTTCAGGTTAATGTTGCATAATGAGCCTTGTGCTCTTAGCAACCAAAAAAACCCTTGGTATCCAGCTGAGCTGATCAGGGACTTTTAGACTTCAATCTCTGCTGGATACCCAGTAGCTTGCAAAATTCATACAGTTTTCCATTATTGAACAACTACCTTTATTTTGACGGGCTCAAAATGCAAAACGTGTTATATATCATCACCAGAAAGAATATACAGGGGCACCCAACGTCAATTTTCGGAAAATATCTGTTCGGAAGACGATTTGAGATCTAGAATTTTCGGAACATTTTTTGTAAAATATCTTGCTTGCCTACCTCTCCTAGGATTTTCGAACATCTAAAAATTTGTGTAATTGCCAATTTTTAACGGATTTTTACCCTAAAAAGCTCACCTAGAATTTTCGGAGCCTTTTTACTGGCTGAAATTTTCGAAAAGATAAGTTTTGATCCCTATGATTTTCGGATCTCGAGACTTTCAGCTAGGAAATCCAACCAGATGAAAAATTTTTAGGGGATAAAAATATGCCTATATCTACCGTTTAAATACTAAAATACGTTTGACAATGCTATGTTTAAGTGGTTTTGAACTATATTCTCGTTGGGTGCCCCTGAATATAGAACAACTGCTATATTGTTATTTTTTGTGGGCACGAAATGATAAATGTGTATCCTGGAAGCGTTCAGGCAAAATAATGTGAAAGGGCTTACTATTCTGCGTGGATTAACCAGAAAGGATATAGAACAACTGTCTAAAGGTTTGTTTTATGGGTCAAAATGCTAAACGTGTTATAACCTAGAAACATTCAGGCATATTTAAGGTGGCCCGAACCTATTTATTTGCGCGTTGGTTATGTTTTTAAATCGGTTTTTCGGTAGAAATGATTTAACCGATTTCTATGATTTTTGGCGTCCTTAATAAAGAATGGTCGAACTTTAAGAAAATTTTATTTATTTTCTTATAGGTATAAAAACGTTTGAGATATCGGCATATGTTTAAAACCGGATTTTTACAAAAAATGGCAATAATTTCGAAACCCTAAGACAGATTTTTCTCTAACTACAGCAAATAAGCCTCAGCTAGGCTCGATTTCCGCCGTCTCCCAGGTCCGGTCTTTGATAGTGCGGGCTCATTTTCCCGAACAGCGGCTGGTAATCGAGCCTAAGCCTCAGCGCTCTCTAGTTTTATATCTGCAACAGGAGGGAGTCATAAACTTAGGCCTGGGCACTAGAGCAGATATTGGCGAATGAAAATCCGATGTGTCTGGCCATCGTGACGTCACGTTCAAGCCGGCCGGAAAAGGTTTGAAAGACGGTAAACAAAGTGATTGTCGAGAAAAGTTCACGGTCCAATTTCTCAGTAACAGTAGAGCAAATCATTTAAACAACTAAAGCGAAGCTGTAGATGTTATCATATAAAGTATCAATAACGCAATTCTAACCTGAAAACAAAAAACAGACTGGCGACAAGACTCAAAAGTGTTGACAAACGCTCCTACAGATCGATAAAAATCATCACCAAGATCATCTTTAATGGCCTGTAACTCTGAAACCCCACAACACTGCGTTTGGAGACAAAAACATAACTTACATAGGTCAAAACTCTTTCTCATTTTTGAAAAATTAAATCTCATAACAATTTCATAAAAATGATCAGTGACTTTAAACACTACTTTCCGCAGGTACCTTGCGAGTCAGCCGCGAAGTAAAACCAGTTAATCCAACAATAAAGCTCTCGAATTGAAACAAGTAATACGATTAATTCGAGAGTATCTTTTTATGTCAATGTTTGAACTTGAGAAGTGCTTGAATACAGTTCAAGTGTACAAAATTGCCTAGGAAATATGGTTACACCCATACTCCGTTTATAGCCAGTTGGGCTGACGCAAGATTCTACAGGAGCCTTCCACTGAAAACAATACCTTCAAGAAAAAGTCAGAATCAAAACAATGGCTTTTATAAACAGGTGGTAAATATCTCAGAATTGGGAACGGAACGCTTAGGCTAGTGACTCGGCGATTTAAACATTTTTACTTCGAACCTGGACAGCGACATTGAAGCTTATCTGATAACGGCTTACGACTTGAAGAGAGAGTTCCTGAAGGTACCAAATCGCTTTTTAATGAGAAGACAAATATTCTGTCAAGGTTCAGCTATACCGTTCAATCTTCCCCCAAAAAAGTGGTAACCAGGACGCCTTTTAAATTGGTCAATAAACGCTCGAAAATTCTGGAGTAACTGTTTCCATGGGGGTCCGCATATTCCAACCAGCAGTGCAGATTCAAGCATTTCACCCACCTAAACTACACTGTACATGCTTCGATTGCCGAAGCTATTCGGGTGTAAGTTTTTTGTGGGTAAATAATAGTTGCTCCATTTGCTCCTCAGAGGTAAGTATAAGGAAACTATTTCCCAAGTCTGTTGTTCTGTGGGAGTATATCTACCACACTTGAAATTATGCTTCTAGAGCTGATACCCAAGTATCTCAGCAACAAAATACTTATAGTGTAAATCTTTTATTGACACTTTTTTTTACTTTCCATGGAAGTATGCAAGATAATCTTACTAAATAAAAGAAAAAGTCAGGAAAAGTGTCTAGACAGATCATATTACTGAAGACAGTACATGAAGCACTGGGCAAAGAGAAAAATAATCAAACTAACCAAAACATTTTGGGTTGTAGTTTCACATCACTAAAAAATACAACTGGAAATCTGTCTGTATTCTCAGGCTAAAGCTTCCAGTAATGAATTGATTCAAAGGCTATGCCTGTTAAAACACATTCTTCATTATTTTTCTTCTAAAATCCTGTCTGTGAGCAGTTACACGAAAATAATTTCTTGGTATAAATCCTCACATTGTCAATAACCAAAAAAAAGAACAAGTAGATGATCAGTAATGTTATGTTCTGGAGTGACCATAGATGTTTTGATCAAACGGTGATGTAGAGGCCAAGAGAATCAGTAATAATGAGAGGCCTGCCAGTCTACTCTCTAATTCAGTTTACATGTGAGCCATGTAAGCCTGGAAACGTCTTGGTCTAAGTAGTGTTAATCCTGTAGGAAAAAACAGAAAATGATTAGCATTACCATATTATTTACACCACCATAGTTAGTAGACACTATGATACTACTGAAAACCTGTTTAAGATTTGTATACTGTTTTATATAGTTAGATAGACTGATTAGTTACTCTTGGTGACACAAAGTAAGCGAGTAAAGGGTGCAGTGTCTACATGCATCAGTCAATTGAAACCCTTCTCCTCCCCCCCTCTAAACCTCTGGGGCATAGCGGGGATTTAATGCAGCCAATGCCAAGCTAATTCCAGGGTGTAACACATATTTAACAACATGCTGGCCCTGGGTGCAGTGGAATTAACAAAATTCCTGCTTGACCCAGCTCATGAGCAGGGATTTAACAGCACATAGTTTATACATTTTTGGAAACGGGAACAGAAGGAGGGATTTAACATGAGTGACTTAGGAGAAGCCCCTGTTTCCTCTAGGGGGGGGGGAGGGTTATGCCGTAGGTATGTTCCAACTGAACGGCATGGTTTTCAAGCAGTTTGCTCTGGGATAGGGTATAAAGAGAGTTTGGGTTCCAGGACACTGATTGGTTGAAGATTTTAGTCTAGACTAAGCAAACTGGGAATTGTCCCTCAAAATTAGAATCAAAAGCAAGGAGTTGCCGTTACTCAACAAAGGAAAACCGAGAATGAAGTTGTTCGTCAGGGCTAGACAATTAGCAAAGAAACCAAGTCCCCACTCCTAAAATGTAAAAGCACACTGCAAAACAAAAGTAAACCTTGGAACAGGTGGAAGCACTGTTAAAAATAATTTATTGTTAACAAGGTTCAGCCAGGGGATGACATTTTTCATGAACTTGATGCAACGCAGTTGAGAGTTTCTATCAACAGGTCTATTGGTTTGAAAATAAAATAAATAGATACAGAGTACCAGACAGAAGAGATCGGTTTAAATCAAGCCAAGAACTACAACTACTAATTCCCTGCCATAAGGTGCTTTTAACAAACTACTTGGCCCAGGAAGTGGAAAAATTGGTGGTGTTTTAACACCAGGCTATTGTTAAATTCCCAGGGATCAGGGGGCCGGGGTTTCAATTGACTGATGTATTATTCTACCAGATGTTGAGAGGGTATTGAAAGTAAACTACAGTGTACATACATGTACACTTGCAGGCTTGATAGTGCAGTCTAAAATTATCCTTCAAGGGTGTTACCCCCCTCCCCCACCCCCGGGACTTTCCTAACATCAGAAGGTGTCCAAAAAATTTACGAAGGCTGAACAAATATTTAGATTACATGTTGTAGTGCCTCAAAAAGAGTGAACTTCTCCACGATCGGGCTTTTACGAGATTTTAAGAGGTCATAGTAATCTTAACAACTCTCAGTATACTTATATACGTCTTACTGAAGAACCGAAATAACGACAAAACAGCTCATTTATAACAAATTTTCGTAACCAACCTCACTTCAACAAGATTGCAAAATTATAACGGAGGAAATTGATTCGAATAACTACACTGATCATTTTTGTGGCTTATTCCCTGACATTTATCATATGCTATATGGATTCTGTGAGATATAAACTACTTTGGAGCGAAGCTACAAGTCTTCTCATGCTTTTTATCCAGAGAAAAACGAGTTTTTGTCGAGCGAAATTCCTCACCGCACTCACATAATTTTCCTAACTTGGAGACTCACCAAAACGCTTCAGCAACCTTTTTTGCCGAATTTTCACGTAGCAATCAAAATACACTTACCTTTTCCGTTGGAATATGAGGTAATGGTATCCTCGATGAAAAGGGAAACCACATTGCTGCTTCATTCACGGGAAAAAATAAGCTCAAAGTGTTCACATAAAAAACAATAACACCGCCATTTTCGAAAATTCTGCTCGTCGCACGCCTCACTTTGGTGTGACGTCACGATGGCCCGACACATCGGACAGCCGCGCTGACGAGTTTATGACTCCCTCCTGATCTGCAAGTTTGAAATCAATCGTGACCGTAGAACTCGCTGCACAAATAGCTGGTCAAATTTAACCTTAAGATGCAACGCTAACACATTTGTGAAAGTTGACACACAAATAGCGGAGGACAACTGCCGACGGACTATCTCCTATCTGCAAGGGTATTCATGCCCAAAGCTACAGTTGCAAGAAACTGAGGAATCAGCCCGGGGAGGGTACTTCAGGAATTTCTGGGTGGGGATGTGCCGCTGGGACCCTGGAACCCTTAACCTATACCAGAGCTAGTTACGAGCTAGTTCAGCTGAATTTTGCTACCCTGTACTAGAGTAAACTCCCCTAATCCCCCCTATCCTACCACAATCCCTAGTCTAGATAAAATCTTCAACCAACTGATCAGTTTCCTGAAAAATAGTACCCTATTCTAGACCCAAACGCTCTGATTCATATACCGTATCCTAGAGTAAACTGCTTGAAAACTATACCCTTCACAGCGGCACATACCAGTATAGCCCATATATGGTAGTACCCCTGCCCCCCCGGGGGGAATCAGAAACCTACGGCGAATACAGTTCGCAATACAAGAAGAACAACTTTACGCTGAATGCGGGGCAAGATTAAATAACTTCTATTTATCAAAGTTACTGTGTATTTTCCCTTCAAAGTCAAATTGAAGTGGCAAAAATTCGCCGACACAGCGATCGTGCTTTGAACTACTGTTATGAATGAACAGGAACAAAATAATAAACAGAGAAGTTATTTTTTGAAAAATATGTTTCGTTTCTCAAATGAAATATGCGTATTCTCCGACGGTCCTTGGACAAGTCATGATCATGAATGCGAGGCTAATGCGGGGAAGTTCTTGGCGAGAACACAAACAAACATTGGTAAATTGCGGTTGAGTCGCTGCAAAACGGTAAAAAATAAGAAAAAACTGCAAGATTTAAAAGCACACTTACAGACTTGTACTAAGAAACAGATATTTACAATTTGAATAGTACCTACCCACAAATAGTTAAACCTAGTCGAGGCAGGTTGGTATGATTAAGTTTGACTTATTACAACTAGGGTTTTTTTGCGCTATACATATTAACTTACAAGGATTTTAAATAAGCAGCAGTTAAAGATTACAATAAATAGCAAATTAAAATAATGATAGCAGGAATGAAAAACTTGCAAATAAAATAGCATAACAAAATAAAACAAAAAGCTGAAACCTTACTGGTAAGCTAAAGGGATATCTGTTTCAAAAAGCAAAACTGTGCGTGGAAGAACTAGTCATACTAAAGTAAAGTTAAAAAAGCCACGAAGCCAAAATGGAAGAAGCGACTGGAAGTAATGTAGAATCGAAAATGGTAAATTGTGTCAAAACATCGATATTCGAATCCTTTTAATTTCTCATTTCTTATTATTCCGTCTTTATTGCCTTTGAGTTTATCTGTAAAATGGAGTTTAAACTGCTCCTTATAGACCTTGTCACGGTTTTCGACGCCATCTTGACGAGTAGGCAAACGCGTGGGAAATTACCGTGTTTGTATGAGAATGTAACGTCAAATAATTTCCGTAAAACGGCTCTTCTGAAAAAAAATATGATTTGTAAACTAAAGCTTCGCTCCTAAGGATTCTACTGAAGAAAATTAAGGGCGTTACATGCAGTAGAAGACCTAGAACCATATTTTTAAATTTTCTATACATTTGTCTGTAAGAAAGTCCTGGGAAAATTACAGACAAATATATGGAAAATCTAAAGCAAGGCTCTGGAGAAATTTAACCACAGGGGTACGCCCCCAAAATTGTTTAGGACAATCCTTTGCTTCGTGGCTTTAGTTTTCAATTGAAGTTTTTTTCAGAACAGCCGTTTATGGAAATTATTCGACATTAGATTCTCATACAAACACTGTAATTTCTCACACGTTTGCCTTTACTGGTCAAGATGGCGTCGAAAACCGTGACAAGGTCTATTAAGGTGACTCGACCCAGTTTTTTTGGGGGGGTACCATCCTACTTTGAAGCTCTCTGGAATCCCCACCTTTACTTTTATCGTAAGTCTAACACATAGAATGGATAACATATAGATCAATCTACAATATAACATAAAATTTTTGGCGATCGGAGTAAATGTCACGTGGTTATAATGCCACGCCCCTTTGAGGTCTGAGTCGAAAATCGGCTGTTGCCGGCATTTCTTCGTGAAAATCTCTCAGTTACACATAGTGCCCATTAGTGCCTTGCAATTTAGGGCTTTGTAAATGCGCGCGATTTCGAGCAAAGCAAACATATAGAAATTATAGTTTTCGCAATGCTCACCGAGATATTCCCGTCACGAGTTGGTTTAATTATTGGTTTGCATTAAACCTATGAAAAAATGATATTTTTGAAATAGTAAGTAGATTAAGTGTGTAGCATTTCTTGATTTTTTTGCAAAGACACAAGAAGCACGCGAATTGATTAAAAATTGTGAGTTAAACCTCTATGTATCACGCGATGGCCTGTCTCACTGTACCAAAATTATAATATCTCGGTGAGCATTCGGAAGTCAGCCAAGCGTGGTCATTGCACGCGTGCTGAACAAGAATGCTGTATAATGACAGACTAGAAACAATAGACGACTCCCAAAGCACAAACTCAGCCAAAACGCTAAAAATCTTCAATGTTTACTCAAGTTTGAGCTTATAGAAGATAATGTCACAGTTTTTCAATGACCATGAAATTCAGAGTCCGGGTAGTTAGTTAATCAATTGTGGCCCTGAAAAAATTTGAAGGAAAAAAAACTACGAATTTTTAAGAAAATGCTTTTTTCGTGAGATTGACTCTTAAACGCTGACAAACGTCAACAAATTGCGAAAACTATAATTTCTATATGTTTGCTTTGCTCGAAATCGCGCGCATTTACAAGGCCCTAAAGCGTTTTGCTGACTTGCAAGGACCCATCTGTTATAAGGATGCCCAAAATACAGAGATGAATCTCATAGTTTATTAGATATAATCCGTGTAAAGTTTGCTTATCATTTTCGCATAAATTATGACCTAAATTTGGAAACCGCTGAATTTCTCGAATTGGGTCTTTGCGATTTTGGTGAAACTCTGTTCAGCGCAAGGCACTAATGCGCACTATGTGTAGCCGAGAGATTTTCACGAAAAAATGCCGGCAACAGCAGATTTTCGACTCAGACCTCAAAGGGGCGTGGCATTATAACCACGTGACATTTACTCCGATCGCCAAAAATTTTATGTTATATTGTAGATTGATCTATATGTTATCCATTCTATGTGTTAGACTTACGATAAAAGTAAAGGTGGGGATACCAGAGAGCTTCAAAGTAGGATGGTACCCCCCCAAAAAAACTGGGTCGAGTCACCTTAACGTCTGTACAAAAGTCCGAATTTAAGTAAAGTGTGCATGTTTTTGTCATGTTTTTTACTCAGTTGTGAGCAAATATGTTGATAAATAAAATATTAAACCTAAATTTATGAATAAACTTTACTTTTCAAGTCATCGTCGCGTGTTCAAACTCATTTCACTTCCTAACAAAAATGCAAGGATTGCGTGAAGAACGCTGAGCCCCCTCCCGGTAGCGAACTTACGCAACAGGACGGGAGACGAAAGAAGACGGTAAACGTTGTGTTACAGGCGTGACAATAATTTTGTTTGAAACAACTTTTCGCCAAATTTCTTTTTTCTTTAAACAGATCTTTTTGTAAAGGACCAGAAAACATTGGTGTGAAGTGACGATCACAACAAAACACGCAAGTAATAGCCCCGTCACCTTTTGCCGTCCTGTTGCGTAAACTTACTGCACCGAACCTACTTGTTCAGTTTATTTCAAATACATAAGATTTTGTATCCGCTCCGTTAGGAAACGTCAGCTGCAAACTAAGTGTTTTTACTTTCTTGTAGGCTTTCGACAAGTACGTCCATTTCAATAAATGATATCTTTCAAGAAGAATTAATATAAAAAAACAAGAACGCTCTAAAAAGCATCTATGTCTCGCTTGCTTGGAGATTAGATAAGATGACAAGACACTCTTAAAAAGTTAACTCGAGGTTAATAATAAAAATGATAACAACTTTATTACTTTCCAAAATTCTGGCTTTTCAAAGTAAGTACAATATTCAATAAAATATGTAAAACTATAAAGCAATAAGAAATGATTAAAATCATATGTATATAACAAGATTTAACAAGATATTTACAGTACATTTACAACAAAGCTTCTAAAATTCTCTTTGTAAATGACGCACAAGTTCCTTTTTGAATGATGCAAGGTTTGTTAGCTCAGTGAGCCTTTCGGGTAAGGAATTTCACGGCCGTTCTGTACCCTGGAATGTCCATCTTATTCTTGTTCCGTGTGTCTTTATTGTAGATTTCAGACCTCTTTGAACTTTTTAGCAAGATAGTCAGTGGCCAATCCCCTTAAACACTTAAAAACCAGTATGCAATTCCTGTAGATAAGCATGGATTCGACAGACTACCATTTCAGTTCTGTAAGAACAGTGGTAATGTTATCAAATTTCTGCGAACGGTTTAAAATGCTAGCTGCGAAGTTTTTCTCAGCAATGAAGGGCAGATCTTTCTTTTGCTATTTAAAATAATGATTCCTTAAGCTTGTAAGCTCTCCGGAATTTTCCAACGTTAAACATTTTCCGTGATTTCCGACAACTCAGCCGTAGTTTTCCCATGTTTGTTTGTCTTATTAATGAGAACTTCCCCGCATTAGCCTCGCATTCATGCTCAAGACCTACTCGTCCCAGGACCGTCAGGGAATACGAATATTGTCTATTCCAGCGTCATCAAAGGTAATTCAGGCTCACTATTTGTGTCACGTACGGGTTTCATGTATTATGAGTAGCTATAAGCATATAGAGAACATATGGGGCGAAGTTTAGGTCTGGACATTTGCTAGAAAATGGAAATAAAAATCGATGAAACTTACCATGTGGTAAGTTTTTGTTGTCCTTTCGTTTCGGGAAAAATAGTCTCCTTCATCTTTCGGACACAGTCACTCGTTATGCAGGAGAATCTCTGCGGTATTTTGTTTCTATGAAAGCTCAATCAAAGAAAGCTTAGGCGAAAATATTGAGATCCCAATTATATGCTCTGACGAACTATAAATAAGGTTAGAAGACCATTCCTTTTAATAGCTACACGCCCCTACAGACAAAGTAAGTTGATTATACCCCTAAGAAGAAAGGTACTAACACAGTATTCCCCCCTCAGAAATAGCCCATTTTTTTCTCATACCCGTTAGTCTGAAATGTCATACGTCTCCATCCCTCAACCCCTGGGGAAGGGGAGGGTGCGAGAAAGTCTCCCTCCCCGGCGCCCCAACCTCGTTCTCGGGGCGCTTTCCCTGGCTCTCCCCCAAAGGGTTAGGGGGTGGAGACGTATGACATTTCAAACTACATACCCTTCAGAAATTTTCCAAAGATCAAAGGTGCTGACACAGTCACCCCCCCCCCCTCGGAAATGACTTTCAAAGCCCCCTTAGAAAATCTCGACTATGTGGGGGGGGGGGGGGGGGGGGGGGGGCCCCGCCCCGAAAAGACCGGTAAAATTGTCCCCCCTCCCTGGAAAAAGTCCCGGCCCAACTAAAGGTTTCCCCAGAAAAAAGGTCCTTTGGCCCGCACTTTGCACGGTCACGGGGGAGGGGGGGGGGGGGGAAGGGAGGGGGCCCTGACCTGAAAGACATGTTAAATTGTGCCGCCATCCTGTAGAATATGACCGGCCAACTGAACGTTTCTCCAGACAAATGGTCATCTTGGCCAGACATTGTCCAGTAACTGGCGGTTGTTTTGAGCCCTGTAAATAATTTTTCTAATATTGCTAATGTATAAAAAATATAATACATCAGTTGTGCCATATAAATTAATACAAGGTTAGCAAAGAAATTGAGAATGGAGAAGGGCACAGTAAAGTAAAACTAATCATGGCCCTCTAACAAGGTTGGCTTTTCTCTGGTATAACTTTCATTACAACTAAATATCTTACACACGAAAGATGCAGCCAAAAAACACAAAACTACCTGGATCTTCAAAAGACGCGGCCATCATCATTGCTAACCGCTAACCTCCTTGTTTTTGTAAGCCTCGTACGTAGACGTTCTTAGGGCTTTGTCATGCCTTCCTTCCCCATGATCATGGGTTGGTGGGGAAGGAACACGTGACAAAGCGCTAAGAACATCTGCGTTGGAGGCTATGTTTTTGTAGTAATAAGAATTTTTATAATACTGATTGTAGGTAAATGTGACAGAACGTGGATATTCTGATGTAGACGTTGACAGGTTTGTTTATTCATTGTAAGTAGAAATTTTGTGTCATTTTAAGCACCCTCCCCGCCTATAAAACATTGTACCTAATTAACTAACATTTCTTTACTAACTGCTCCATTTATGTAGGGTGGACCTGTACAAGTATCCTGGTCTGTATGAAATAGAGCATCACTTTGCCTTCATTGAACCTGGTGACTGTCTCTATGTTCCATTTCTTTGGTGAGTATTTTAATCCATTTGCATCTGTGGCACCCTAAACCCTGGGTAAAATTCATTGATCCCTGTACTACTTGTATTATTACTAATAATTCAGATGACTATGATGCACTAACCTGTGAAGCTCAAATAATTCTTCCAAGGCATAACTAAAAAGGTGTTTTCATATAACTGCCCGCAGGTACACGTAGAAAACGTTTAAAGTTGACTGTTAAAGTCCGATAAAAAATTTTACTCTTACAGGCCACTCCCACTACTTTTAAAACTCGTTCTTCGCAGAATTTCTACTAGTAACGCCCTGAGTAAAAGTGAAAAAGTGGCGAAGAGGGGCGATACAAAAGGAGGAAAAAAGCGAAAAATAAATCAAAGTCAAGCTTTCTGCGTGTGCCAAACCCTAAGTAATTTTTTTACTTTTACTTACCGTTACCACCCCATTAAGTTAAGTTTTTGAATTTCAAACAGAAATTTGAATAACATTTTTTCCAGAAAAGGACCAGAACTTTTAAAAGATCGTTCTTTCGCGCTGGAAAACTTTCCGCTTCTAAGAACCGAGTAGAATATCCAAATTTGTCAACGATCTTTTTTTTGTAGGGTTCACCACGTGCGATCTTATGGCCTGAACATAGCTGTGAATATCTGGTGGAGGCGTGCGGTGGAGAATGGTTTCAGTGGCTGTGGGGATACAGAATCTAGGAGAACTATTCAGGGCCTGACATTTATTGGGTTTAATGCTCTTTACGATGCCCAAAAGAAAATGATAAAGTAAGAACTAACTGTACTTGGTTACTGGCTTGTTACAATAGTAATTTATAGTTTTTGGGTGCGAAAGGACATTCATATTTTTATGTCTCTATTCTATTTGGGACACTTAACATTTCAGCTTTTCTAACAACAGGCTGTCACACTTTGCAGCATATAGGTCTTTTACTTTAGTCTTGTCCCACTTTTAGACTTTCTTTTTCTTATTTTCCAAGAAACCGTTTGGTGAAGGAGGTTATATCTAGCAGTGGCAATCTTTCTTTTGGACAACTTACAGAGTTCTTTCAAAAGGTAACCTTCTAAATAGTTAGGCGTGCGATGATTCGTTACTCGCATGCTTTGATCCATGATAGAGCTCCGTGGCTGATTGATAACCACTGTTCTCCGGGATTTGTTCAGACCTGTCCGGCTGTGATTACCTGCAATTGTAGTAATTAACACGAACGCCCTTGACCTTGGGCGGAAATGTTTGTTTTAACTCAGTGCAGTGGCTATACTATTTTGTCAATCTCGGGTAACCTTCAGTCTTGTTTGTAACCCGTAGCCTTGAGAGGCCATGAAAGGCGGCTGTATTCGTAGTTACCAGCACGCAAAAAACGTACAAAAAACGCGTGCTAGCCTGCCCCATAGCTTGCGTTGCGGCAACTTTGGCGCTCTGCTCGCGCATAGAAACGCGTTTTACAAAAAACATGCGCCAGTTATTTAAACGGAGTTTAGCCATTTTAACAAAACCGCGTTCTGAGTCATTTTCAGTTTGCCCAACGCTTTTATCTAAACACCATTTGTCTTTGACAGTTTCATTAAAGCATATAGAGTGAACAAGAAAAGCATTTATCTTCTTAAATTGTCCCACTAAGGAAGAGATCTAGAGGTCTAAGTTAGACTTTGTTTAAATAACCGACCCATAAAGTTTTGTTATTTACGGTCTCGTGGTTTAGATTGTGTTTAATTTACAACTAGCATCGGGACGCCGCCATGTCAAAGTTTCTTTGAACTAGCTCCTTTATTTAAAGCAACAAAGATTTTGACAATCAGCAAGAGCCTAAAATCCTTTTACATGATTGAATAGCCTGTTAGTGTAACAGGCTATCATGAAGGGTATAGGATGATGAAGAACCTTAGTTGAAGGCGAGCTGAGCAGACGGTTAGCTTATTCACAACAGGCTAACAGAGAGCTTAAGCAACGACGACGGCGACGTCAACGAGAACGGCAAAAAAGCAATAGGGTTAGATTGGTAAAACAACGACTCTGCAAGTGCATCACACTTTTTTGTACATTTCTTTGCCGTCACTGTACGAGTACAACGTGAAAATGCCTAATTTCACGTTTTTGTGGAGGACGTGAACACAAGACAATGACTTCCTTTTTCTTTCCCTGAACTTCGATACAGTCTTTTAGAATTCAACTCCAGTAAAAATTGCCAATATTTGACAAATTGAACGAGATGGAATAAACGCGATAAAGTTTGAAGCAGCGCGACTTCACTTTTTAAGTGACGTTTTTGTAACCGTCACCGTCGTTATTGCTAAGCTCTTTAATATCTTTTTTTCTGTCGACTGTTCAATGTTTGCAGCCCGATGTGTTTGGCCCCGACGTTATGTGGACTGAAGACATGTCAAATGTTGTCAAAAAGGTAACTTCGTCTCAAACCAAATTTTTCTGGGAAGCTTTCTCCGGGATGAGTTCATGTTGCTTTTAGTTCATAGCCGAATGTGACCGGCGTTGAAGCTCTTTTTGCAGACAAGTAATGTGTTTGTTTTGTAAGCTTTATTGGATAATAGTAATAAATGATAATAATGAGTCTTTATTTCACCAAAAGATAAAACCACATATCTTATGTTACCATAAGAGAAGGTAAAAACTATGATAAAAATATCTACGTTATATGTATATATTAAAAAAGTGTATCATTACAATAAATGGAGCTTAAAAATCAACCTATTTACAAACGTGTTCATAAAACGCTCTGTATTAATTTTTGGGCGTACGCAGCCTTTTTTCCTAAGATTATGTACATACGTCTTCTGGACAGGAATGATATCTTTTAGTGGGTGGCAATCCGTTGATATTAATTTCTTTAAAATGTTTTGGTCTTGTTTATTTAAAAGATTCTTGATAAAAACTGGAAATGAAATAAAAGGTCGTTTATGGCATCGGTCTAAAAAATTTTGGATAACCGTAAGATCGGATTCCGATGCCCCATAGACTGAAAGCGCATAGCTAAAATTAGGTAAAACAATAGATATAAAAAGGTGATCTATCTCTGCCTGAGAGTAGTGTTCCTTTCTTAGTGTTCGTAGGACGTGTAAACACTTGTTTGCTTTGACAAGCTTGGTTCTAACATGCTCATTGAATTTCCCGTCACTCTGTAGAGTTACTCCTAGTAAAACGAAGCTATTACATTGAGGAATATTGTTAATTGGAGAGTAGATTACATTGTGATTTTTCTTTCTAACAACCAACTCTTTACATTTACTAGGGTTGAAGACCATTTTATTGTCTTTGCACCAGGTTAAGAGCTGTCCTACTAAGTCGGCAGACGGGTCACGGTTCCTAGCGATAGGCGAAACTATAGTGGAATCATCGGCGTATTTAAAAAGAACAGGGCAACCATTAAAGAAAATCTCCAAGTCATTCAAAAATATATTAAAAAGATACGGTCCGCTTACACTACCTTGTGTGGTTCCTCTATTGACAGATTTCCAATGTCCTAAAAAATTTTAGCTAACAACACGTTGTTGTCTTGCATAGAGGAAACTCTGATACCAATTGATAATGTACGGATTTAGGGGTAGCTGTTTCAGTTTGGCAGACAAAATAGTATGGTTCAGAAAATCGAAGGCCTTACTGAAGTCCATAGTAAAAATTCGCACTGCGCTACAGCCACTACTGTACCACTAATGGATGCCATTGACGGTTTTATTTTTCTTTGTTTTTAATCATAAGATGTTTATTTTGATGGACCAGTCAGCGGACGAAATAATAACACGTGATGAGCTGGACCAGCTGCAAGGAGAGGTATCATGACTGTTGTTTCATGTAGGAGCAATCAACCTTGCCTTTCCCAGGGTCCTTTTCGTTATCTATTCAACGACTCGAGCAGGGACCGCGGAGGGGGAGGGGCTGGTAGGGCCGCGGCCCCACCACTTTTTTGCGCTCCCGCCCCCACTTTTTGCGCTAAAAAGAAAAATAATTAAAATTAAAAAAAAGACTTGAAACAAGTTTTTTCCGTCTATATTCCGCTATATTCTCTGTATTTTCTTTAATTTCAAACGCCAGGCATTTTGTGGGGCTCCTGTGCTTTTCGCGGTAATTGTGCCCTGGGGCCGACTTGCCCCTTGATCAAACGCCATGCCTTGGCAATTGCCTTGGCCACCCCTTCGATTCGTTCGGCAGCGTGTTTTGTACTTCCAGCTCCGCCAGAGTTTTTTATCAGCTTTATCAGACAAAATGAAGATTATTACTAGCTTTTTCAAGCCAAAGAAAGGTGAGTAGTTGTTTTGAGTTGATAAAAGTTTTATGTTTTGTCTTTCTCCTTTCGAATCAATGAAATATTCGATGGCAAGAAGAATTACATTACTTGAACAGTGAACGGCCATAGGGCTATTGCATTTAAAATCCGTACCCCCCCGGTTGAGGACTTACCTTTTCATCTTACCCCTTAAGATTGGCTAAAATTGCATTCACCCCTGAAGACTTCCGTAAAACATGAGTTTACCCCTGAAGAATTGGGTCATACGCCTGAAGAATTTGGGTTTACCCCTGAAGAATTTTGTGAAAATTAAGGTTTCACCCCCAAAGAATTCCATATTTGTTTACTCTATATCTACCCCTAAAGAAATCCTCAATTTTTATAACTTACCCCTGGAGAATTCCATGGTTCCTCAACCGGGGGGGTGCGGATATTAAATGCAATAGCCCATAGTTAGAAATTTTTCGATTTTCAATATGAAAAAATTATTTTCAATTGTCAGCCCTCCCACTTTTCACCTTGCTCCGCGGTCCCTGTCGAGAAGTATTTTATATACCGACATTCGTGAGTGATAAGTAAAATACTCGGCCGATTAAACGTTTCGAGGTAAGTGATATCGTTCCCCAAGATCAGCAGTCGACTGTGTAGTGATTCTACGCCTTCCTCAAAAACGATCATTGCGACATTTGCAACTTTTTCCTCAAGACAAGCTGATCTCGAAAAGCACCTTTGGTAGCCTGCGAGCAAGCTCTCCTATTTGCGTGAGCGAAGCAAGCCGCACGAGAACGCGCGAGCGTCTCTTCTCGCGTGCCTCTGGCGCGTCTGCTTTTCACGATATCTCAAAATGGAGAGCTTACTCGCAGGCTACACCTTTGGGTGCCATATGACCAGCTGAAATAAGGGTTCTTTCTCATTCTTTAGAAGTGACGTAAAATGACCAAAGAAAGGCCCTTGAAACGAGGTTGAGGGACTACAGACCGGAGATTATGGCTCCTAATGGGAAGGTTTTATCCCTGTCCCAGGCTCCCTCTTATACCTGTTGATGTTAATTTTATATTTAGGACTGGGACCAAATCCGCATGCTTTCGAATGAACTGATGGAACTTGCTATGGCAGAGTATGATGGACCAATAGTAGACGACACTGTTACGGAAGAACAATGGGAACAAAATACAATTGGTAACGCTAAAGAAGAAGACGCACACATTGAGCTTTGAGAGCCGAATTAATCGCTAGAATTTTTTTTTACTCTGATTGGACAGTAATTATGGTTCAGGTCATTTGAGTGGCCTAGTCGACAAAACTCTTAGATAAAAGTTTTTTTTTTTTTTCGTTTGTAAAATTTAATGACACAAAGTGTACCCGAGTCAACATTTATCCGCGGAAGCACGGTGTAAATATTTTGTAATTAAAAGTTTACAGACATTTACAGATTTATAAATTTAAAACTTATACTTTTAAATCAAACGTGGTCCTTAGGGACCTTAGTTAAAGTGCATTACGTTAAATCTATTTGTCGCAAATAAACTTCCTGCAATTTGATAATTTTTCACAAAAATACAAAATTAGAGCCCAGGTTCAAATCTTTGCGACTTCTCTTTCAAAACCATCATTGTTCCTTTGTTGAATCCTTGTCAGTTTCCATAAGTCTTGGACAAGTTCTTATCAAATGATTACTTTCACCACATTTGTGACATGTTCGTAAGTGCCGCCTAGCATACGGGCATTTCTTCATCCTGTGACCTTGTTCATTGCAGTTATAACACAATGACGTGTGTTTTCTGGCGCCTTTTTTCACCGAGCGACTCTTCTTTTTCACATTTCCACCATCTGGTGACGTCACTAGCACTGCGATCTTGCCTTTGTCAGTGTTGACAATCTGCAATTGTACTTTCTCACCTTCAGTAAGACTACGATATCCTTTGGACTTAATTGCACTCTGAAAATAGGAACAGAAACGTTTATACCGTTTGTTTATTTTTATCTTGTCTTTTTGCATCTAAAAAAATATAACCCATGGAGGTATACAAGATAAGAAACCTAGTTGCCTTGTTGAATGAGCGTGCACTTCTATAAAGACTGTTTGTCTAAATAAGTGCAAAAGAGTTACTGTCATGCTCTACCTTCGATAATGTTTCGCATACTGGCGGGGACGTCAAGAGAACATTAATTTCGGGCTACCTAAGTACATCGTTAACTTGTTCAGTGGTCAAACCGCCGTGAGTATCAGTGATACAAACCGTACCACGGCTATTTCAACGCGGCAGTAGAAGAAAAAAAAAAATGGCTGGATTTATCGCATTCATTTTGTTTTTAACCTGAGATTTGCTGAAATATAGCAAGTGGAAGTGAAAACGTATGGCTAAGTACTGCAAATTATAATGATATAAAACTGATGTGTCTCTGCGGACTTCGCCATTTTATTTCTTCCTTTCCAGTGGCCAATATTTAGTGACGTCACGATCTTTTGCGACGTTTACAACGAATCAAAGCTGACAGTCCGTCTCGAAGGATTAAAAGGCTCGACATGTAAAAAGTGAGTTTCAATTTGAAGCAAATTAACAAAAAACCATTGTCGGAGTTGCCGTTCAAAATGTTCAACCTTTTTGTTGCACTCAAATGAAGTACTGTTTTGGGTCATGTGCTTTTCGCCCCTTCCGTTTTTTTAGTCAATGATGATTTTGCCGTTTTTGCAAATACCTGCTAAGTTTGGAAAACATTTAAGTATAGATAATTAGGAAGAAAAAGATTATAGTTTTGCCAAAGAAGACGCTTTTTGCTTCTTATAGCCGCAGCTTTGTTCAGTTCGCTTTTGGTTTGTTAAGAAAGAAATATAGAGAATAAAGAAAATTAAATTAACATGAGCCGTCAGGTGTAAGTTTTGAAAGAGAAGATGCTAACAAAGACGGAAATCCTTTGTATGATAAAATATTGAAATTGAAACCTCGCCAGTACTTCTCTGTCTAATATTTTTATCAGTTTGCCATGGAAAATTGCAGTTAGAATATTGGCAGTTATATCCTGGACTCGTCCGAGATACTTGACCGGTTTACGTGTATAGTTATATCGAACTAAGATAATCAGAAATGAAATGATAGTAAGTCATCGGCGAATATTTCACGAAAATTGTTAGACGCGTGAGACTGAATATTTATGCTTTGCAATTTCGACATCGAACCACAAACAATAAAAAATATATCAACACATGGCAATATTCCTGTAGAAGTTGTGCGAAGCACAAACGTGGCAATTCAGTCAGTGTCAAATGAAATTATCAGGAACGCCAACTATCTATAAATAATTGATAGGAGTTTTCAAAACATAAAGAAAAACCTTTGAATAGAATAACCGCAAGAAAATCGAAGATCCGGTGTGCAAAATAAATAATATTCATACAACCTTATAACTAAAAACGAAAAGTTAGAACACACAATAAAAAAAATTAAATATCTTTAAATTCAATTTCAAGGTGATGTATTTACCTGGTGAACAAAAATGTCTTCTTTCTCATCGTCTGTCGTAACAAAGCCAAATCCTTTGACAATGTTAAACCATTTTACGGAACCAGCCATTAAGTGACTCTCTTGGATGGTTTCTTCACCCTCTATAGATAAAACACAAACAAGGCTTTATTTCAGTTCTGTTTCCCAACATCTTGAGTTCTTTTTTAGCTTTTGCTATAAAGCATTGTACAGGGTGAGTAGAAAAGGATCTTTCTATTTCGAGCTAAAGAGGAAACAGGTCTATATGGTAAATGAAGAGGTTTTTGAAAGCAGCAGTACATAAAGACCGACGGCTTCATAATGAATGTCCGTATCAGTAAAAACGCATTTGAAAGATCAGAGGTACTTGGGAGAACTAACGGCAGCAAACTGATTGTTATTCGATACAGTTTTAATTAAATTGAAGGGACTCATCTTGGTTCACGGCAATAATATTAATTGAAAACCAGAGAAATTTTTGTCCTAAAGAATGCTGAAAACTACAAAAATGTAATTCTGTAAGCAAAACAGTGCGTAGATAGATACCTGTCATTTGGGCAATCATATAAAGTCCTGATAAAATCCTTGTCTTGTTTGGCAGTAAACTATCTGAGTCAGTTGACAAATGTTGGCGGAATTCGGTTGAGGCCCATGTTAAATTCGTAGTCTGTGTGATCGATATGACATGCAGAGCCTGATAAAGAAGCAAGTTTTTTGGAATATCTAAGCAGCAGTATATCTAATACCTACAAGCCTCAGGTCATTACCTGCCTGAACCAATAAGAGAGCTTGAATTGCTTTTATAATTGATCTTACTTTAGCGCCACAAAGGAAGTTCTGTCAACAGTAATTGAAAAGACAACTGATTTATCTCATGAACTGTGAAGGCTTGATTCCTATTGGCTTCATCAGATTCCGGTTGCGATCGAGAAACCACCAATTATTCGAAATCCATTGATTATTTTTATAGATATTTCTCAGCTGTTTTGTTATCACATACGCTCATGTCTTAACCACGAAACATTGTCACCTTGGAAGAGAAAAAAGAGAATAAGAGACAATATTTTCAAAATAATCTGATAAAAGCAGGTTTAAAGATGTGACGATTTGAGCCTGAGACTAAATTGTTTTTCGTATTTGGGATAAATATCAGAGACTAAAAAAATGAAATAAGAATTACCAGGAATTTACTGACACAGTGAAGCAAAACAGCCGAGATTTCTTCTTCAGTTTTATTTTGATCGATTTTTTTTATTTGACTGTTCAAAACAGTAGATAACGATCAAAAGAATTGGGTGCGTTATTTTTATCACATCCGAAAGGCGGAATTAAATGGCTTTCAAATTTTAATTAAGTCCAACCTGGTGTCAGCTTACAAGCATGCCAAGTTGTGTGTGTGTGTTTTGTATGATATTCGAACATCAAACTTGTTGCCAGGATGTAGGAGAGAAGAAGAAGAGACGAGGATTGTCACGTGATCTATCCCGCCTAGCGCTTGTTCCCTATTTTTGATTCGTATTGGTTGTCACGTGACCTAAGGTTAAGCTATCGCAAAATATGGGTAAAATTTCTTAAGATGGAACTTTGGCTTTCGTTCTTATTTCACCTTTCGCCACAAATTTGCGAGGGAACGTCTACTACGGCAGGTTACGAAAATTCGACTGCTTGCGACTCCTTGAAGATTTAAAATCAGACTCGCTTAAATTCACTTTCTTTTCCCAATCTGTACATCTCCATTAGGAGATACTTCTTGCCTCGTTCCCAGGCTCTCTCTCTTCTTCCCTTCCCTGGAGCAAGAGAGAGAAGGGGAAGTGCTTTGGGAGCAAAAATAGATGGAAACTTTAAAAATAGATCAGCAAATCAACGACCATAATGCAATTAGTCCAGTGGCCGGGAGCTTTTAAAAATAAAACCTGGATCAGCAAAGAACAACAACAACAACAACAATACCTTTATCCGCCTTGTACTTAATTACATACATGAAAGAGAAAAAAAATATATATATATATATATATTTATTTATTTGTACTTAATAAGGCCTGGAGCTGAAATAATCCTAAGATTTTCTAGCCAGTTCTCCAGAAAGAAATAATTGACAACTCTTAGCGTCGTGAGTTTGCTGTTATTCGAGGGAAGAGAGACCCTGCAGAAGATGTTGATAGAAGTAGGAGCGCAAGAACAAGGTGTGATTTTCCATTACCACAGGGAAATAACGCACGCAGGTATTGTAGAAGACGATGATACTAAAACCTCGTTGATGCGACCGCTAAAAGGCCTTAAAAGTAAGGTCGTGGTGACCTTTACGTTTGGGACCAAATAATTTGTTTTTTACAATTTATAGGGGAAAATACCGACTTACGACTGTGAAAGCATACTTTTTTATTGAATAACTAGAGCATTCCGCTATTGGACAAAATTTGATTTATACCTTTGTTCTAACACTACTTTAAATTTATTTGCCACTGATTAATGCTTTAATTTGCATTTTACAGAATGGAAAAAAATACGTTTCCAGATACAGCGGTTCCATGTTAATTCAGGCGTACTTTCTGTTACAGTCAAACCTTGCTTTATGGACACCTCATTATTGTGGACAGTTTTCTTTGTCCTGAGAAAAACATTTCCTTACATCTCTCTAAATTCAACCTGCTTAATACGGACATCCCGTTAATACGGACTCTTTCTATGGCCCCCTCGACTCAGTGTCCTTATTAACGGGGTTTGACTGTAATTCCAGAAACCCGAGTTACGCGGCATCAGCTCCAGTAGGCCTTACCAACTCTTTTATACCTTATTCCACCTTATGTTCTACTTTTATGCATAGCAACTTTTGAAAACCTTTCGATGAATATTTCCATCACTTTTTTAATAAATGTTACAGTAGCACTACCGCGCGCTTGGTTGTTTTCCGTTGCGGAAGAGTCAAGTTCCACTTCATCTTCCTCAGCGTATGATCCATACCCAAAACTCTCCACAGTTTTATTCACTTCTTTTTCAAAGTTGAAATGAACTTTTTGCTTATTGAGAATGGGTACAATCATATTAAATTTATCGATTTTCTTGTTGATCAAACGCATTTTCTGTTCAAACTCCTTTACATCGTGATTCCATTGGACAGTGGCTTGAAGTGCTAATGGACTGGGTCCCAGTTTCATTCTTCTAAACAACAGTCCTTCTCTGAAAAGTTCAATGTCCTGTCGAATTTCTTTCTCCAACGAAATCCATTCTGGTGCAAATCCTGAGTCTATGAGTACTTCATTAAGCCTCCGCGTGGTTGAATCTACATCGAGAAAAAAAAGCAATAGGAATTATTATTTTCATACTCAACCTGCTTATGAATTATTATTTAGTTCAGGACTCCTTTTGAAGCATTTCCAAGGTGCGAATCACAAAATCAAACAACATCAATACTGTTACTGACTGCAAATTAATCTAAAGAATTCTTGGGCAAATGACATGCAAAAACCACAATATGCTAAGAGAAATAAATATACTTGCAAAACAACTAATTAAAATCTGCATGGTTATTAAGAAGTCAACACTGTAGCAATACAATTTAACCCATTTGCCCCTGAACCGCCCGTAACCGCCCGTGCGGATCCAGGTCCTTTCTACCCATTGTGACATCATCAGTTTTAACGGTCAAGGACAACTTTCTTCGCTAACTTGTGCAGAGTGAAGAGATCTTTCAAACCATACCAGAATGAGCACAATTCAGTCAAGGACACCGGAGAAACAAGCAAAAAACCATGTGACATTGACCTGAAAATCTCCATGAAAATCTTGTTCCATTACCCACCTACCTTTCCTTTCACCTAAGCCTAAGATCCTAAAAGCTTTCCTAAAAACTCTTCCCACCAAAATGAAGCCCACTAAATGCCCAGCAAGAGAAAAAAAAATGAGGCAAGAAAAGCGAAAAAAGAAGGGACGAGAGAAAGCGAAAAGTAAAAGTCAAGACTGCTGTGTCACTTTTAAACCCAAAAACTATCTCGAAATTTTGCTTTCTGCGCATGCCCGAACTTCGCAAGCTGATATTTTGCATCTGGATCAGAAGGCAGTGAAGTGTTCGACCTGTAAAACAGTTTGTGGTAAGTTTTAGCTCTTTATAGCACGACAGTGACCAGAAAACCACTTGACTAGCTTCAAAACGCGTTTTTCGGCAAAATCTCCAGGAGCGAATGGGTTAAATAGAAAAAAATTATACTTCAATAGTCAGAGGGTACAGATTCAGTACTTACCAACATAGTACTCCTGTTCAAGTTTCAGTGGCTTTCCACTTCCTGCTAAATTTTTAAATTCTCCTTTAGACATGGCTTCTTGTATGAGATCCTCCACAAGTCTGTCAATTACCTTAGAGTACTTAGATCTTTTTATAGCTCTCTTTTCAGGTTCAGCTATTGAGGTTTCCTGTTCTCCAAACTGCTGTGTCTTGTGATCTATGACTTTGTCTGAAGCTCTTTGCACTCTGTAATATTGGTACTGTTTCTGTCTCTTTGATGGTGAACCAATCCCAATGCCTTCATATTCTAGGTATTGCCTAGTTGGGGCAAAAGATACAAAAAGCATTAATAGACCACTTATAAAAAGGCCCTCTGCAGCTCAGGGTCAAGTGACTATCAAAATTATGCGAAAACTATGGGATATACCCTTTAAATACCAAGGATAGAAAAGCATAAGACAAATAGTGATTCTGCCATATACTAGGATTTAGACTCTTAACATTGCAATGTTAGGTTGGTATGGAGACAATACTATATGTAGGAATGAAATTTCTCCAGACACTCTCACCCAAGTCTGATATAGTCCAAGAGAGATTGGAGATAAAATAATAAAGGAAAATGCTATTTGATAATAGAGGAAAATGTTATTTGCTCTTACACATTTTTAGCCCACAGAGCAGGCACTAGGAAATAATGGGCGCAAGAAAGAATGAGCACGCATGTCTCCCTCGAGTATGCCCGGTCATGTCTTATTATTTCCTAACACCTGCTATGCAGGCTACCTGGGAGAGGGCTGTGTCCATATATGGGTTTAAAATATTAATCGCATGTCTCTCGCATTTTGCACTCACCTCTGCGCCTGAGGAGGAGGTGGGAAGGGTATGGTTTTCAAGGAGATTTGTCTGATGATACAGGGATCAGTGGGCGTCTTGATGTACAATAATGAAGAAAAAACGTCCTTTGGACTGTGACGCAATATTGGTAATTGCCTGTTATATCAGAATGCCTTCATAGAGCAGAACTACCCAGTTACCCCTCCCCTACCCTGTAGAATGAGAACAATCAGGAAAATTCTTTAGTCGAACGTTTACATCCGATATATTTTTAATTGGAACAGGCTTAAAATATTTTAAAATCGATGCCCACTGGAAGATGTTTTTCTGCAATTTAAGTGAGCTGAAATGTGTACTTAAAAGGTTAACTATGCGGGATTTTCTCCCCCCTACCGTTCTGCGTACCCGCTACTTACCTATGTTGAGGAGCGGTATGGTGGATATCAAATACTATCTCTTTGTCGAAATCTTGATCGGTAACTTCTGGACCTTTCTCTACTGAAGTGGTAACATGTTCTATGACCACCCTGTAGGCCTGTTCTATTCGAGCAAATTTCACAGCATCAGCTGTAGTCTTCCCACAATCCGGGTGATACTGCTTTGCTAGCCGTAAGTACGCCTCGCGAACATCCACGACTGTGGCGCTCCAGTCCAAACCTAACAGAAGAAAACAGTCCTTCACCTTTACAATGGATGCTGTTGTACATAGAAAACGAGTTATTTGTTTAAACCCGACGTAATCGGCTAAGACTAGAACCGGTATTTGAGCTCGAGACAATGTCATACGAACGGCGGCCATGTTTGTTATGGATTACATAACGTACCCATGTCTGCTGCTTGGCAATCCGCTGACTATTGCCACTGGTTTTCGCGACTAATGCCGTCTCGCGTGTCTCGCGCGTGTCTAGTTCTCCTCGCGCACTTCGCGCTGAAAAACTGGCGAAAAAATAGCGCTTGTTATGCGGGCAACCTACACCCGATTTGAAAATAAGCATAGCAAGGGTTTTTTTCCTTTTTTTTCTTTTTTTCAGGGGGCGAGAGAGAAGAGGGCAGAGAGAACAATCTTCCTTTTTTCTTGCGCTCCCCCTTCCGCTTGCCTGGGTTGCATCCGGCCCATGTATCGTCTCAACCATTTGTAGCCCGAGATGGTTTAGAGTGTCTGCAACGCAGGCTACCTCCCTCCCTCCTCCCTCCCGTCTCGCCTCGTTTGGCGTGCGGCTTTGTAGCGAACCACAAAGGAAATGAAAAACACACCAGAAAAACGGCGTGCTACGCAGCCTATTAAAATACCAGAAATAAAAGCCCTGAGAATATAGGTAATGGCCTTCGATCAACCATTTTTTTATGGTATGTATGCCTGACACATTACATAAGCTGACTGGTGTATACATGTATAACTTTTGATAAGGAACCTACTGACCAAACATATGATAGATGAGAAGTTTCAGATAACTGATAGATCTTCGGAATTTTTGTCGACATTTAGTCGTAGAATTTAATAGTATTGTAAGATAGCACACATTTTTCCCTAACCTGGGATCAGACCCGATTTTTTGGCGGATTTTACATTCTCTCTTATGTGGTTGCGCTACATTTTGTTTACCAAGCGAGACGAAAATAGATCCGGCTTGATCTAGATCTCAATCTCAAATTATTTCTTCCACTTTTACTTCAACAGTCAAGAGCCTGAGAAGCTTTGCGAAACAAGGTATCCGGGCTTAGAAAAATGCGCTTTAATACATGCACGACATCTGAATATGCAGTCGCATTTTTCTTCGTTCTTTTTCTGTCTAGCTGAGGAGGCCCATGGGGAATAGGTGCGAGTATTAAAAAGCGACGTACCCGAGAGGGAGCCCATACTCGAGGGATCACTCGCAGACATGTGCGTTGAATAACAGTTTGCGCCCTATGTTCCCCTAACGTGCTCTCGCTACCTGGTTTACCCCTTAGAAAATTAATAATGAAAAAAGAAAAAAATTAAAGACTGGGCTTAGATGGTAACAGTATGTTTATTAAAAATCATTGATTAAATCGTACAAATCACTTAGAAATACATTTTTCAATGATTTAAGAAGATATTTTTTCAACCTTTTCCCCCAAAGATTCATATAATTGCACAGGTTTTCACACCACGAATGACAACTGAAGCAGATTCTCATTAGTATCATTGAAGGAAGAATATTTAACAATTGTTCCTCGAGCCCGAATGGGCTCTGAGTCAATAGCTCATGAGGCCGAAGGCCGAATGGGCTATTAGGGAACTTAAGCAAGGACGTTTTTGAGCGACGCACGCTTACCGGAAGGGGCCGTTTTGCATTACTGGGCAGCAATAAGGAATAATTGTTTTAGTAAAATCCAACTAGTTGGTCAAAAATATCGAGAATAGAAAAAAATTTAGCTACTTAAAGCTAGACTTTAATCCTTTTTTGCCGCCAAAAAGCCGGCGTTTTTCGCTACTAGTGGGCTATAACATATAGCCTAGTAGTAGCTCAACCAATCAGAATGCAGCATTGATAATAGACCATTAGTTGGATTTTACTAATTGCACATATACTAGAACGATATAAGACAACAATGTCCATACTAGTCCGGTCCGGCCTTAATTTTTCCAACAGATCTTATCCAGCTACTCTTTCAGTCACGGCAAACCAGGGGCAAACTGTCAGTTACTTTTTTCCTCCAAATAAATTAAATTAGTATTGGTAAAGCGATGTAGAACTACTATCTTGGACAACACGCATGTTTGCAAAATATATACAAGATAAAGATAAAATATAAATACTCTAAAGATGTATACGATTATAACAACCTGACTAGCTTTCTTCGCCTAAGATGATTTTTGTTCAGAGATAAAACCAGTAAAAGATGTTTCACTTGAACGCTAATAAATATAATAGTAACAACTTATTAATACTAAGTAGATCTGCATAGAAAGCCTATAGAGTTGACTTTCATTAGAGAGGTTTTCACTGCAACACACGCCGGAAGAATTTTTCATAAAAAAGTAAACACTAGGGAGATTAAGCACCATGTTAACTGCAAACAACAGAAATGAAAAACCGCTTTCCGTTTGTCAAAAAAGGGACCTTAATCTCTAGAGAGCTCTGTTCGTGTAATGGGAGGGTTAATTTCAAATAGAATACAGTCCACTCTCTTGGAAAGACAGGATCATTAGAACTGCATTCAGGGTTCGTACGGATTTTGGGATCCAAAATTCAAGACTTTTTCCATACTTTTTCCAAAACAATAATTTCTTTTTCCAGACTCAAGGTTATCAAAATTAATAGGTGATCAATAGAGACATGATGCGCTGCAAACGTACGGGCAAGATTGAAAAAGATTTGACCCAAACGAAAACGATTCACATATAAAGCACTTGTTGTAGCTTTCAAAAAAAAGATGTCTATTTTCCAGATTTTTTTTCAGGTCTGGAAAATTGCTGGGCAAATGTCAAGACTTTTTTAAGACTCTGTACGAACCCTGTGCATTTATGGGGGTCCGCCCTTGAGTCGAAGACAAGGACTACTTACGGAGTGACGGCGGGCATGGCTATCTGCTGTCCGTCAGGAGAAAGAAAGTTGACTGTAAACCAAGAAGTTAAAACCATTGTAACTTACAAGCCACAGAAGATAGCGTATCACTCGATATTTTACTCTTGTTGTAAAATAAAAAGTAATTCAAACACTGCTCACTGACAGTCTAAAGCAAATCAGTACTATGACAACACATAAGATTGCCTGCGTCACAGACGCTCTAAACCTTCTGTACAGAGACGGACTATACAAATAGTTTAGAGGAGTGGGGAGTGGGCCGACTGTAACGCAGGCTACACATCAGAATGTCTTCATCACGTGTTGTACACGCTGCAGTCAGCTTGACCACAAACATTTGACAGCCATCTATCTTTTAATCTTTTACCCACATACCATAAAATATATTACGAACTAACAACGATGAGATCTAACCATAACACATGACCACTTTGCTGAACGAGACGAAGATCCCTTGGTTCTGTTTACTAATTAAGGAGAAAAATACATTATTATTAATAAAGACACATATCAATTGAAACCTACCAGTTTACAGTAGTCAGTACCACTTAACACTCAGTTTTGGCACAGTACTTTTTTAAAATAGTAAATCCAAGTTTTCTTAGGTAACGCATATTTCCTAAACATTACTACTACAAGACAAGCAGGTCGAAGGTTAAACAAACTTAACTCCAGCTTCCCATTCATCACAGGTAAAAGGCCACACAGAGTGCTTACAGTTCAACTTTTAAGTGGTCCGTTTAAAACAGCGTTTTATCTCCAAAATCAAACAGCGGGTCAATAAGATAACACAATAAGATAACCATAAGATAACACAATAAATAATGTCTGCTTGAATGTGAAGTTTACTTACCAAGTAAACAATCTCTGTCCATCTAAGGATCCGTCGTGTTTACCCGCTGAAAAGAGAATTGGAGAAACAACTGTTATCATGTAAAATCAGTAATAACCAATGGTTATGGAGAGCGGGAGAGATTGACGCAAACACTCTTGCTCCAACGCTATTGTTTGGGTAAATTTCACGTGATAGAAGGCCCAAACGCGCGGTCATCAGATTACACTGCATGCATTCCATTCATTTTTAGTGAAAGGCCAAACGATTGCTAGTTTCATATGTGCTGCGCAAGTTTAACAGAAACCTGTACACGAGGATTACGGCCTCCTCTGGTCGCCCGAAATAATAAAGGATATCCTTGTGTCACTATAGTAGAGGAAAGAGTTGTAGCGGCCTTTTTTCATCTTGATTCATACATTATACTAACACTAAAGGAATCAGAGCCTTCATAACTCTTAATAAAAACAGGGGGAGGGTGGGGGGGACTTAAAAGACTGTACAGCACAGCCAGTTGATGAAGTCAATTAATCACTGCAATCTGACAGATAAAAAAAAAAAAGACATTAAAAAAAGGTTCTTTTGAATTAACAATTAACCACCGTCGGCTTCAAATTTATCACAATACACTGAAGAACGGAAAGCCGCCCTTGGAAAGGGTTTTTTTTTTCAGAAGTAAATTTGGTTGCCACAACTGAACATGTCCTTTTACCTTGACCAGGTCCCAGTTCAATTCCTATATAGGTATCGCGGCGGCCTGGTAATGGTCCAACATACTTCACTTTTCCGCGTCCGATCTGACCTCGTGACCTAGTCACCAATACGTCCATGCCCAACTGGATGTCGTGGCTAGAAGTCGGTGCAAAGGGCTTGGTGAAGACTTTGCTAAATGGAGGTTGGTGGGTAGTGGTTGTTAGAAGCGAAGAGTTTGAAGAATAACTTGCCGAGGAGGTGGCATGCCGTCCGATGTCACGCAGCGACTGATATTGGGACGATTTGGAGTAATCGTCCTTGGTATTGTACTGGTCTTGAAGAGATCCTGTCGTGTCAGAAAAGAAACGATAGAAAATCTGTTTTTCTTACGAGCTTACAATGCGACAAACGCAAGATGGAGAAAAATCTCGACTGACACATGCTGCATACGGCTGGGATAAGCAATGTCGAGTGCATCCCGGTGTGTGGTAATAACATGAATCATGATAAAGATAAATATTGAGCTCGGTAAATTTGAATAAAGACGTTCTAATTACCTCCATGATATGAATGTGGCCTCCTTCTCCTCCCAGTCTCCGTATCCCGCGGGTGATGTAGCGAAGGGTCTCGGTCCCACGATATGAGTGATGAGGATGAAGACTCCGGACTCCGTGTTTGATGTCTTAACAGTGACGCTGTTGCATGCAGATCCAAATCATCAGAAACATCACTGTCTTCTCCTAAAGAACCCACACGGTGCCTCGGAACCCTTACCTTGCGACTATACGACTCACGCAGGACTCTGCTATCTTGAACAGAAGAATAAGGTGATGCAGCCGCTCTTTTACTTTCAGGTCTACTTGGGCTGTGACCATTCACTATCAGCGGAGACACACCTGAGTCACGGGATTGACTGTAATTCGTATCTAACGAACTATGCCGAGCTGTTCCGAGGCGTGCATTGTCTAATGTCGAAGCGAAACTAACAGTTCTTGTGGAATGGTCAAGATCACTGTATTTATATTTGTCGTACGTAGTGTATTTGCTGAATTTCCTGGACAAATCTGTTTCGCTTTTAGCTCTGCTAACTCTAGAACCACTTATACTAGTTACTGCCTTGATAGTATCCAACTCTTGCTGGGTTTGTTTGAGTTGTCTACTTAGGTTGGTGTTCTCCAATTCAAGACGTTTACCACGCCTTTGCAACACTTGAAGCTCAATATTTTTTTCCTCGTCTCTTTCTTGTCGTTCCCTGGCTTCCACCGATCTGCGTCTCAAATCCGACAACTGAAAACCCAAATTTGTAAGAAATTACAATCCGGACACACAAAAAATACAACTACCCCGTTCGACAATCAGTTGCACCAGTTGCGCTAAGTAAGGTTGGCATTTCTTGCCGCACCCAATTTCTGTATGGCTTCTACGTTTTAATATTCACGGCGCCATTAGCGCTTGCTTCCTATGAAGGCGTTCTTTTGGCTAATCACACAATATCTTCTTCCCAGCACTAGATAAGGAGAAATTCGTATTTTCTTTTGGCGTGGGAGCTCACCAATGAGTTATCAGGGTGGATCTGCCATAAGGGAAATCTACAGCCAATGGATGTTCTAATCGAAGCCTAGTTACCGATGACCTTAATTATAATATACATTCGGATAGAGACTCCGAAACGTGTACAGCCCCCAAAAAGATAATTCAGAAATGTTTCGTTATTCGTTGAATACCTGTTGCTGTAGGTCTGAATTGACTCTGTTTATGTCTTCAAGTCTCAGTTCATTCACTGTTTTCAAACTTTCCTGTTCTTCCTTCAACTGCTGATTGGTTCTCTCCAGTCCCCTTACGGTTTCCTGCAGGGTACTTATTTCTTGTTCCTTACCCTGCAAAGTTGCGTTGAGTCGAACTATTTTCTCTTCTAACGCCTGTGTTTTGTCTTCATCATGCTTGGTTAAGGTTGCTACAGTCTGAACAACAGAAAATAACTTATAAATGACTACGTCCAAGAAGGGCGAGTGAAGACAGCCGATGCATCATGTACAGTTTATATCGCCGAGACATTTGACCCACGTTGATTAGTCGTTGAAAACGACGTCAGGTGAGGTCGGTCGATATTATGAGTCAACAAACTACATTTGCACTCTTTAGCAAAGGAAATTTAACACTTAACAGGTCGAATCTGGAAAAAACGGAGAGTGAAGATAGCAGCTGTTACTAACGCTATGATAATACTTAGCTGACTCTCCTCTCTAGCAGTTGCTCTTTACATTGTGGTGTCCCTCAGGGTACTATTTTAGGTCTATTGCTATTTCTATTATACGTTAACGATCTTTCCAACTGCCTGTCAAATTGCGAGCCTCGGATGTACGCTGATGACACCCATCTTACATACGCGAGCAAAAATATTCACAATGTTCGGACAAGTTTAAACGAATACTCAGAAAATGTTCACAGTTGGGTAAGAGCGAACAAACTCACTCTAAATATGACTAAAACCGAGTTCATGTTAATTGGATCTATAGGCATAGGCTAAGTACTGTAACAGTTTCCCAAAACTTGCGACTAATGATTTTCGAGTTACCCAAGTCGCTAGTGCTAAATCTCTTGGAGTGACCATCTTCTGGAATCGGAGCCAGCAAGCGAGTAAGGCACCTTATCCCCAAGCGACCTTACATCTAATATACCAAGTTCTTATACACCCTCACTTCAATTATTGCAATACTGTTTGGGGAAACTGTGGGATAACCTTCGGGAACAAACTTCAAAAACTAACTCTATTGAGATAACTCAAATTTTTTTTCGTACCCAAAATTGTTACAAAGGTCTTGGAAATAATCAAGTTACCTCAATACTCATCAGCTGTTGTTGAAGATCTTCATTCCTAGACTTGACTCTCCTGAGCTCTGCTTCATAATGAGCGGATCTCTGTCTCAGCTCCCTGGCAAGATTATCTCTCTCCTGTCTGAGATCTTCCACTTCTGAAGGCAGGATCCCCACATGCGCAGCACGCTCTCCAGTCACAGCTGCAAACGCACTATCACGACTTGGAATAGATGATTCACGAGGTAGAGATGAAGGAGAAAAGACGCGCGGTGGGGAATGATCTGGTCGGCTGGGAACCGAAGATGATCTACTTGAGCAAGCATGTGAAAAAACCTGTAACCTCTGTGTTGGCGTCCCTGTTCGTGATGCTTCCTGCCCCTGCATTAGTGATGTGCGATGGTCACTTTCACGATGGTTTACCCTCGACTCCGATGATGGCAACTCAGAGGCTGGACCTGTATGTCTTGAAGAGTTTTCAGGGACGGGTGCTCTTTGTCTTGGACTGGGCACTGAAGGTGTGCTATTGCCACTGTCACGATGACGTAGATGCGGGCTCGCCGATGAGGCCACAGGAGTAGCAGAATCATGAGAAGCACGTACCACAGGCGAGCCTCTCCTGTAAGCTGTATCTGTAAGGTGCTCTGTTGGGCTTACTCTGCCTGATGATCTGTGTGATATTGGTGTATCATGCTCATTTTTTATCTGTCCTGTTGAAGGTTGGATTGCAGGAATGGACTCCCTTGATTCAGCACGGGAGGACACTGGTGGTGTATGTTGTCTTAACGCTGTCTCCATAAGAAGCTCCGTTGGGCTTCCTGTGTCTGGTCTACGTAAAACTGGTGTTCTCTGCTCCCTTTCTCGTTGGCTTGCGGAAGGCCGGACTGCATGAATAGGTTCTGTTGCCTCATAACGAGAGGTCACTGTTGGTGCAGCTAGTCTATGCGTTATCTCCACGAGAAGCTCTGTGGGGCTCCCCCGGCCACCAGAGGTTCCTTGTCTTGGACTGTGTACAGTAGGTGTGCCATGCTGGCCTGCTGCAAGAGATCCATTATGGGGCGAAAGTACAGGAGTATTTCTGTGGCTCGGGAGTCTGCTTCCCTGCTGCTGTTGTTGTCGTTGTGGTAAATCCACAGTTCCTATTCCTCGGTGCGGATGAAGAACACCGCTGTGATTGGAACCTGTAGGACTATGTCTATGAACAGTAGATACGTGGGGTGGAGTTGGTGGAGATTCCTCAGCACCAGAGACTGCACCAGGAGGGCCCCCCAGGGTGGTTAATAGACCCGCTGTTGTAGGAACAAAGCCTACTAGACTCTGAGGTCTTTGCGGTAGCTGTGTTTGACCGTTCAAAGACCCAGGAGGGTTCCCTCGAGGAACTAATGTTACACCTGTATCAGACAGGCTACGACCCCTGGGAGACATTACAGGAGAGGGTAAACCGGATGAGAACAATGAACTGCTCTGAACAGACCCTGTTGGGCTGTGTCTTTGAGGAAATATGGTAGCATTGTGGTTGCCTGGTGACACATCTGTATTGCCATTGGCTGGAAATGTACCTGTATCTAGTACTGAAGAACCAAGAGGACTGGCTCTGGTAGCTGACTGGCTATGTTCTGTGGGGTGCCTGTCCGAAGAAGAAAGTAAATGCGTTGTTTCTTCAGCAGCATCGCCATCTCTTCCTGAAGTGGACTGCGGAGTGTGAGATGGCGCATCAATCGTGTTCTCTTCACCTGAAGGACCTTCTGGGACTGGAGGAGAGCCTTCCCGTACAAAGGCTTCAATCACCAATGGACTTATAACAGAGTAATCCCTTGCACCTACCTCGATGGGTACCCTGTGGACAGAAATGTCTTCATCAAATTTAAAGTTGTAATACATAATGAAAGGAATTTAGACAAAATTATTAGTATTTGAGCAAAAAAAACTAACGAACTGGAACTTGACCAGCCACAAAAATTAACGCTCTTTAATCCCAAGCATTGGCCAGCTTTGTGCTAAAAACCAATAAAATTATCAAGGGTAGCCAAAGGGACCTAATGATAATGGTGGTCCTCAGAAAATTTTGATCCAAAATTGAAATCTTAAATATTGCATGTTAACTTCTCTTGATCTTGAAGTCTCAGATACTGTCTTAAAACAAGAGTCTCACAGCCTTACATGACAGGTCTTACCTGTGCCCAACTAATTTTGAGAAAATGGTCTGATCAAAATGTGGAATTGTGTTCTCTAGACAATATGGTTTTGGATTCAATGTTGTTATTTAGTGTTTAAATTGCAAATAAAATATTTTACTGACCTAATGTCAGGGCTGACTCTCTCACTGTGACTGCTTGGCACTGAAGAGAAGGATTGAAGTTGTAGATTGGCTTCCTCTGTTTCACCATCTACAAAAGGAAATAGTGGGTGATCCTTCTTTTACAGTATTTAAATTAGTTCAGCTCAATTTAATGAACAAAGGTGACTTCAGGAAGAAAGGTTTCTTACAATACAGGTGAAATAAGACTCACGGAGACCAAAAGACCTTGTCACCGTTTTCGACGCCATCTTGACGAGTAGGCAAACACGTGAGAAATTACAGTGTTTGTATGAGAATGTTGAATAATTTCCGTAAAACGGCTGTTCTGGAAAAAATGTGAATTGTAAACTACAGCTACACAGCAAAGGATTTTACTAACAAAATTTGGGGGCCGTTATGGTGCTTAAATTTCTCCAGAAGCTTGCTTTAGATTTTCCATATATTTGTCTGCAATTTTTTGCGGGAAAATTTTACAGACAAATGTATAGAAAATTTTAAGAAAAGGTTCCGGGTCTTCTAGTATACAAAATGCCCTCAAATTTTTCAGTAGAATGCTTGAGTGAACTTTAGTTTACAATTCATATTTTTCTGGACATTAGATTCTCACACAAACACTGTAATTTCTCACACGTTTGCCTACTTGTCAAGATGGCGTTAAAAACCGTGACAAGGTCTATTTACAAACCACAAATAACATCATTATAATGACACTGTTTAAAACTGGGCAAGTGCTTGTTCTATTTGTTTAAAGATTGCTGATATTTACCACTCTGTTCATCATCTCCTCGGCCATTGGGATGTGATGGTAATCCATCGCTTTGCCCTGAGAAGTCACCTGAGTGGCTTTCAGCTTCCTGATGTGGTAATAGCTCTTCCATATGTTCCACAGGGGTGCTGGATATTGAAGGCTCATCATATTGATGTCCAGCCAGGGAAGTAAGGTCTGTTTCTGACATCACAGGTGACTGTACTCCACTTCCAGGGACCCAAGATGGCTCACCATGGCTCAGCTGAAAAAATACCAGCAAATTGTTTTTAACTTCAATGGAATACCGGATGTTGTGCTTTTTAAAATCACCATTGAATCCCCGGTATAAATTTCACAAGGAGATTTTGTGACATAATAATTTCCATAATCATTCAAGTATCTAAATAATTTCTCAAGCTTCCCAAAACTCGCCTTGAGTAACACACTTGTTCATAAATAAAAGGCTACAAAAAAAACCTGAGATACCTTATTGTAAAATCAATTCTTCTTTATCAGTACCTTCAACCATGTAGATTTGCATAAAATGAATATGTTTAAATTATAATAACAATATGTAGTTTCCTGAATCATTTGAAAAGATTCCGTGAGTAAGAAATATTCAAACCTTTTATTTACATGTGCAGAACAGCTATGGATCAAGGCTGCATCATATTTTATAGTACAAATTGAAAACAACAAGTTTAAAGTTCAAAATAACTCACACCAATTCGAAAAGTATTTCCTTAAACTACAATGAAAAAAAAATCATACCAAATGAAAAACTCTAGAATGCTAAAGCCAGCAGACTGAAATACTTCACTAAAATGCACCTGATGGTAGATTTTGTCCTACTTGAAATGTAAACAGATGAAATAAGACTAAGATATAAAAACAACTCCTGATATTTTGAGGAGCTGATGTACTAATTATTTTAGTCAAAGGAATACTAGAAGATTAAATGATTGTATTGCTTACAAAAGATTGAACAATAAAAAATATATCTGAAAAGAATACATTGAAGAAATCTTTAATTACCAATCTTTTCTCTAGATTACTGGTAGAGAATAAATTATTCAAAGTTTCAACTTCTCTTTTAATTAAAATTGGAAAGACTTTTTTTCATCTACTTGAATGAAATTGACACATCAACTAATAAAAATGTACATAATTTATTTACAATTTGTTATTTCAGACAATATGTAAGAAATTAGAGAACCTTTCGACACTAACAGTAAAATTATACAACTGCAGTGATACAAGATTAAATTACCATGAATATTAATTTATTAATTTAATTAATATTTAATTAAATTGGGTTTTGAAAACTTTAGCCAGCATAAGTTGACTATTATTATTTTTATCAGTACATACCAGTTAGTTTAGAAAGATTTTTTACAGTAGAATAGAATAGAATAGAATAATTCTTTATTCAAACACGATAAAATACATCAGGAGTATAAAAAATTTTAAATAAACCTAACTACCCTAAACGACATGCAAAACTATCTACAACTACCCTAACTACCCTAACTAATGGCATGAATGCCATGTACACAGTACTTAAAAAAATCGGAAATTCAGATGCGCCAATTGTTTACATTGACTTAAAGATTTAGCCTCTCTCATATCACAGGGCAGGCTGTTCCAGAGAACTGCTCTGCTATAACTGAAGCTGTTCTTCATAAAGTTAGTTTGGGGGAACGGGACAATTAGTTTGTTAGTTATTCCATTGGTTTTGAGCTTCAATTTAAAGTTTTTGTTTCTTAGTATGCCCATGCAATAAGTTCTAAACCAACACTTTCTTGTGTTTCTTTTAATTAGCTCATTTTTTTTCACACATCAGTCTTGAGCTTGAAAATTGAATGGGGAGTTACTTGAACAAAGACATGTGGCATCTCACAAAGTCACTGTACAGATTATTAATCTGATCCATTTTAAATGCATACAAATGCTTTTAGAACACTATAGCTACAACAAAATGAGCTGAAATACCTTAAAACTCCAAAAATAAGCCCTGGGACTTATATTTTTCAAAGGCCCTTTTTGAGGGGCTTATTTGAGGAGGGGCTTATATTCGGAGGGGCTTATCTATGGAGGGAAATTTGCATTTCAAAATCAATCGGGCAAGCCTTATAGTTGGAAGGAAATTTACCGTTTTTGCTTTGTTTTACTTTGTATTTGACGGAAATTTCCAAGTACAAGGCCCTGAGGAGCTTATATTTGGAGGGGCGATTTAATGGCGGGTTTTTTGTGTTACGAGTTTGGGGGGCTTATATTTGGAGGGGCTTATTTTCAGAATTCTACGGTATTTTTATTCAGTGCCCTATTTATGACAAACTCTATTAAAAAATATATTCTGTTGGGATTCAGTTTTGAAAAGCACGATAAGATGCAGTAGTTTATATTTATCCTTAAAGCTAAGCACACATGTATCTACAGCCTGCATTTGGGTCTCATGGCTGAAAATCTTAACAAGTTAAATAAGTAACAGTTGATTGAGGACATATACCAGTTCCTTCAATTACTGCAGAAGTTCCTGGGCAGATCAGTGTCAATTATTCAGAATTATATATATTTAATTAAAACCACAGGCTGCTCTACGGCCCTGTAAAAGATTAAAGATTAACTGTTATAATTGTTTGAGATAGTTTTCGCTGTGCTTCCAATAATACATCTGCAAGGAGTCAACCAAAAGTTTTTTCTTCCAGTTCAGTAATAGATCTGTTTTGTTCAAGTGCCATTACAGTGTATATGTTGCAGGTAAAATCTGTTCCCAGGTTAAACCAGTATTCAACCTAGGTCAAATGTGCAATCAGTATTTCATCTAAGGTTAAACTTATCTTATATACAACATTCTATCTAAACTAAATTTGTAATTTTTGTATGTTTTGTGTTAAGCTTAAGGTTAGGGTTAAGTTACTGTTAAGGTTAGGATTAGCTTTGTGTACGGGTTAGGGTTATGGTGAAGCTTGGTTACTGTTTAAAGTTCAATAAAAGAAGCATTGTTTCTGGTCTCAAGTGCATTTTTTGGGGGTTGCGCAAAATTTTTATCAAAAATATGCTTGTATAGTACAATTTGTAGTTTAATTTTATATATGATCAACTGCCTTCTTTAATGATACAGTTGAAAATGTTACCTCCCTTGTATAAGTCAGACAGTATTTTTTTCTAGTACATTTGTTAAATCTGTTTGTGGAAATGTATGTCGAAATAATTCCAAACTTTGTTTCTACTTTTGCATAATTGCTCTCCATGCCAATACTTTTTCCTAGTATTACATTGGGCTACAGTGGAGTGGTGTCGTTTCATCAACTTTACATATTTTTGTTGTCACATCATGATATGGTCATCAACTTTGAAGCTTGTTTGTTTTTTTCTACTGACTTTCATCTTCTTGTTATAATATTTGGTTTGACTATCTACGACCGACTGTGTTATTTGTTTTCTTTTGCGAGACCATGGTCCTTTCTGCTGTTTCACTCTACAGTTGTACCTCTATTTCCTGCAGCTGGTCAGCTCCTGTACTTTCATGTTCCATAGTAAAGTCTTCTGTGTGTCATTTCATTCTACTTGACCTTGAGCAGATGGTTTCTGGGTGCACTGTGTACAAATTTTATTTGGGTTTGACAAAGATTCTCCATGTTTTTGCTTTGGAATTCACCCCCATTGTCTGAACGTAGTTTTTTAGGGTCCAAGCCAAACATGTAAAACAGTTTCTCTAATTCAGCAGTCACTTGAGGACTTTGTTTGCCTATGAGAGAATATCATCCACGAATACTTTGAAAAGTGGTCAAATACATGAAGAATCCATTTGTGTGTTTTCTCTTTACACTGACATTCCAAACCTCTGAAATCTATTAAGTCAATTTCAACAGGGTTTATGAAATATTTGCCTGAATTGGATGGTTAATCAGTTTCTTTTGGTGGTCTTTAACACTTCTTTGTTGTTGGTGTAGGCTGCACATTGATATGAACATGTTTTAAAATGACCTTCTGTGTTATACCTGAATAGCACTTTTTCACATAGTCCTCTGTCTTGTCTCGTCCTCAATGCACTATGGCAGAATACGAACTGGCCAGGATTGTGAATAGTTTCGGAACCACATATCTGTTTTGTTTGTCTAGTATTTTCCCATCATCGGTAGTCACTCTCCATAGTTTCTCAATTATCCCACACTTGTCTGTTCGGCTGATAATGATGGAGCTTTTGCCTTGCAGGTTCAGTTTGAGCCACTGATATGCTTTCTCATAAAAGAAGTCGTTAATGTAGACATCCAAGAAGCTTGATTTGTTTTTAGAAGTAGATTTCAATTCTTCTAGCTTTTTCTAAAAGGTTTCTGAATCGGTATTGTATCGAGTCACCATATTTTGAAGCCCATGTGCATGTTTGCAAACACAATGCATGAGTAAATAGAAAATAATGGTTGAGGGGGCCTGGTACCCTTTAATATTTTGGGCGAGTGAATCTGGGACCAAATGTTAATAATAATACAAAGACATATGGGCAGATGAGCATTGTTGTTCCGCGCGGTGTAGTGGTAAACGCAGACAATCTAGAAATTGTGAGTTGAAACCTGGGTGAGTACAAATAGAGTTGTTTATTTCAGTGTGATTTGTTGAGTGTGTAAAAGGGTCATACAAGAGAAATGGGTGTAAAAGGTAAGAGGGTTAAGAGGACAGGAGGACTAGTGGGAAAATGGAGTAGAAAAATCAAGAGAAAAAGAACATGCTTTTAGTTTTTTCTTTTATTTTTTCAACGTCCTCCCCCAAAAAACCATGCCATTATTTTTTAACCACACCCCATAAAAAATCCCTTTTCAGACAGTTGAACCTGGGTTTAATGCACATTTTACCAAAGTGAAAGATGGCTCAATTCAACCTAGGTTGAAAACATGTTTAACCTAAAACCAGATTTTACCTACAACATTAATATACACACCTGATGCTGAAGTAACTCCCTGTACAATGGGCTCATTCCATTAGAAGCTTCACTGTCTCTCTCTCTAGATTCTATGTCTATATATAAAATGACAGCAACGGTTAACGCCGACAACCTTTCCATGAAACAATACTTAGGTAAAAAATGAACTTAATATGTATGTATATAATTCTGTAAATAAAAATAGAAGTCATACAGTACTAATAAAAATATCTTTTTTGCTAGTAGTAAAATTGATACATTATTAAGAAACGGTCTAGATAAGAACGATAGCAACAACGGCAACGAACATGTTGGAATGCAAAAAAGGGGCTTACTTTTCTATTGTCTGTACTTACTTCTGATTGGCTTAAACAGCAAAAGTTAACAAAACTTCATAAAGCGGTACATATATTCATCCTTACTTTCCAACCATCTTCCATATAACAAAATCTGGTCTCAGTTTGAATAACAAAGAAATCCTATGTGGGGAACATGTAAAATTGTAAACTTTTCTTGGCTATTGTTTTCAACTCTTGTGATTGGTCAAAATCTTTTAACACAAAAAACACCCTTTCAAAGTGGAGTGTAAATGCATTTTATTGCGTAAAGGGCCTTCATGTAGGTTTATGCATTCTCTGTGTAAAAATGAGAACATTCCTATGTGGGGAAAGCACCGTTGCCGCATTACAAAATAAAATGGCTATCCGCCTTATCCGGATCATTACTTAAATCGTTGAATTTGCAGTGGTGACAAGTACTCCAAAGATGCAAGCTCTGTTTTAATAGCTGACAACTATATACGACAAACACATCCCTAAAACAGTACTTAGAGCTAGTCCCTGCTCTTCTTCCTTAAAAAACTTTAAGATGGACAAACAGTGCCTGCTAACCAAATGGTGTTTGTAAAAATCCAGCCTGTGGTCAGACATGATCAAATACTTAAGAGACCATCATTTTGTAGCTTAAGGTAATTCCCTTGTTCTGCACTGTACATCACCTGCTGCGCAGAACATTGCAACTTGAAAGGTGGCCATGATTTTCACCAGTCACATTAAAAGAAGTAAAAAGGCCCCTTTTGTAGTCAAAATGGTTTTAATAGCGATTTTGGTAACTCCACAGGGCTAATAAGGTGTTTTTCTTGAAACCTGTCCCAGTTCCCTCGCAAAAAATGATCATTTGAAACTGAAATTGTCCCCTTTTTTGTGATGAAATGAGAATGGTGACCCCCACTTTTTATTTATTTATTTATTTTCTCTTTTTAGGCCACACAAAAAATGTTTCTTAAAGAGAAAAAAAAATGAGTAGTATAATTATACAAGCTGTAAACTTTTAGATATGAATGACGTGAAACAAGGCATTTAGATACACAGAGAAGTATAAGATAATATCAAAACTGTCCATTTCTCTCCATTTTTTCAGGATCGGATAATTTGAAATCATTATACTGAAAAACTAACCCAAACAAACAAACAGGTTTTAGGTTTCAGTAAGATTCAGATTTTTTGCTATATGATAACAATTTTTGATGGTTGTTCAAGTTTCAAATATTTCGTGCTCAACTAGGAATAAACACTCAGAATAATGGGCTGCACACAGGGCGAAAACAAGCACAGTGACTCGATCTTTTTAATGCAGTTTTTGAATGTCCAATATATGGCTGACAATTGTGCCAAGTCACCAAGTTAAATAATGTGACAATGATGGCTTCAACCTGGTCAAATATGTCCTTTCTAAAAATAAAAATTGTGTCATGTATCATAGAGAGAGGGTGAGTACACTTAGACAAATAATTCAAAACTTAATCTTGTTAACAACATACACTATTGAATCAATGTATCATTGTCATTTTACCAAGAGGAGGCTGTTGTCTGTCATGTGTTTCCACTGTCTCTGATTCCTCCTCAGATCCTAAACCACCACTTGTTCTTACTCTTGCTCTTCTGTCAGAATCTTCAAATGTTGTTGTTTCTCTAAAATTTCCTTTAAACAAGAAGTAATTACAACTGGTTTGTACTAGACATGACACTTTTGCAGCCTAGATAAATTTCTTTTAATAACATGACTATATGAATAAAAGGTAAATCAGTTTTTACATAATACAAGGCTTTATGCACATTGCATGCAATGAGTTACACTATCAAATCACGAAGAGATGCCTTCAGGTGAGCTATGGTTAGGTTGCCATGGTGACCGTCTTGCCACTGAAGAAATTATTGCTCCCCTGTTACTTCCTTTTTAGCACTTATCCGTCAGAAGTGAAAAGCACTAATGGCTCATATGTTTAGAGCACAATTCTTATGTTTCAAAAAATCCTTATGTATTTTGTAAAAAATAATAGTGGGGCCAGAAAAGTGTTACACAAAATTATTGTGTTAACAGGCTGCAGTGCACTTGTGCAGACTAAATATCTTTTCATACATAATGCAGCAGTCCAGAACCTGGACCCCTACCCTCCTATTCAAGCATATTGGCAATAAAACTGATGACATGTTTAAAGTTCATATTTTAACCTAATTTACAATCACCAGAAACAGGTTTCTTCATCACTTTTACAAAATGTCCCAAGTGGATTATGCATGCTTATACTTGAGAAATATATCCCAGGGTGCAAAGAGAGTGGAGTTTGATAGCCTGGGGCTAATATGTTTTGCTATAGGGCTAGTGACTTCTGTTCTGGGGGCATGTCCCTAGATCCCCCTAGAAACTCACCCTTTGGCGCTTGCAAGTTGCACCTTTGGTGCGAGTTTTTTCCTTCTCCACCACATGTACTCCAAAGCTTTTGCCACCTACTTAAAGCCTTAGCAAAAACGTTGTGAGTCTTTTCCAAATTACAAGGACTTCAGTATTATATTTCTATTTTCAACAGTCATTGGGTGCCCCGTGATTCACTATAAATAGTATTCTTATTAAAACAATTGAATTGTTTACTTGGCATGTTTACAAACCAACATCTAAAATTGTACCTTCTTCAATGATTACAAATATAACATCACTTTCTTCATTGACTTCAAATGTTTCAGTTGATATAACATCACCACCCACAGCCAGTTGACAAATATGCTGACCAACAGGAACACCAGTAGTGTCAGACTCATACAGGCCTTCATCTTCCTTCCAATGAAGTATTACGGACCCAGCCTAGAAAAAAACATGACCTTTTTATTCAGTGCCTATGCACATTAGGTAAAAAGTAAAGTCTCTACTGATTCGAGCCAAGTGGCCCATCATCAGGCCTCCAGAGCTCATGCTAGTTTCTGTAGCATGAAGTGAGAGAAAATCTTTCCACTGCCCCACAGGAAGGGATGCCAGTCTATTGCAGGGTTACCTACCAGAATCATGTCGCTGGTACTCAATTATACACCTGAGCGAACAGAAACAAAGACAAGCAAAGTTTCTTCTCTAAGGCTTGAACACAAACCCAGACCTTTGGATCCAGTGTTCCAGGCATTATTGACAGCTTACATCCATGCATCCATGTTAATGTGTAGGATTTTGAGGAAATGCAACTGCCTTTTGTTTATGATTAATACACAGCCACAGATATTCATAGCATAGAGGTAACCAAAGCATTTGTCATAGTTAAATTCTTAAGTTTCTTGTGAGTGTGATTATGAAAAAACATATTTCTAAGAAGGCTAGAGATAGAAACTTTCATTTTGATATTGCTTCAATAAGAATTTTTTCTAGCTACAACCATGACACAGTGACAATGAAACAACCATTGTGACAAATAGGAGAACAATTTCACATAACTGACAAACGATATTAAATTCATCATGATATGTGAATGATAGCTGGCTAGCTGTAAATTACTTGTCTTGAGAAAGTCACTTAGTTATTGATCACAAGGTTTGAAATGAAAATTCAAGTCTACTTCTTGCACGATATTTAATTTGCAAGTTGAAAATGGCTGTTGCCTGTTTGTTCCAAAAAATGGTCACTTTCAAAGCAAGGCCAACACTGGCGATTTTAATAAAAATAGAAATCATTTTCACGCAAAGGCTTTCCACTTACTGCCGTTTTAAAACAGAGGCTTGTAGAAACTTGGAAATGGCTAATTAACAGCAACCGAAAAAAATTAAAACCTGTTTTATATCATATAACCTCAGGCTCTCAATATATATAAAACCTTTGTAGATCAAATTCATATTATTTATTTTTTAATAATAATTCACCAACGTATTTGCGTTGGAACTTCTCTTTTCTCCAATAAGGCAAAGCATTGGTTGAGCGAACAGGTAGAAAATGCAGTTTGAAACAACTATTATTTTAAGACGAAATCCATATTAAAGCATGAGTAAATTAAAGTGTATTAAAATTTAATGAAGGACTTCCCTGTTAAGTTAAACATACAGTAACTGTTTAGATGTTTCCCGTATAACATCTTTAAGCGATGCATTTTCCCTAACTTGGCCAAAGTAAACATTGGAAAGAGAGAAATAAAGAATTATCAATACAGCTTTGCGAAGAAGTGTCGAAACAAAGCAAAGATTACACCAGCTCATTCCGACCAGCTGAGTGCAGAAAAATGACAACAGTACCAGTTGTTTTTACACATTAAAGCCTTTAAACCATAACTTTTTCGATGACCTTCAAAAAGAGACGTTCATAATAGCACTGGTTACTTTACAACAAGCGAAATACCAAACCGAAAGGTAAACAAATCAATTTCGTCTTCAACTTCCGGATACCTTTCCTGTCGGATTAACAAACCTTAACAACCGTTGCACAGAAAAAAAAGGCCAAAGACTGAAACGGCATGTTCGATGGATTAATACCCCCTATAGTCCTTATCTGTGTATGTTAATCGTAAATAGACTCACCAAAGAGCTGATGAGATGGACTTCTCTCGCAAAGCATGGTCTTGACTTAACCCAACGAAAGCGAACAACTACGCTATCCACTCTGGGAGCCCTAGGCGCACTTGGTTCTGTGAAAAAAACATACACAAGCTCGACTCAATAACGCGAAAATAATTTGCTTTCATTCAAGTAACTTTCAATAATTTATTGTTACATCTTTCCCAGCGATCCCTATCAACAACATCCAAGTTTTTTTCACAAATACAAGCAAATAAGCTTTTACACTACCTGCATAGGCTGACGTGCAGACTAAACAATGTATCTGCAAATCATCTTCACTACCAACTTCTTCATGGCAAAAGGGGCACTGCATTTCAAATAAAAGGAAGATTTAAGTTAATTTTCTCATCTGTTTCTTGTATCTAGACAACTTTTAGTGCCCTTCGTCTGAAGAAAAAGAGAAAATGTACGAGAGCGTTTACTCGCTTTGACAGGAAGTTTGTTCATTTGCATGAAATATGATACAAGGCTTAGGTCCTCACCAGGTCTACTCGTGCACTTTGAGGCTGTGAAGGAGCAAGGGAGGGGTGGGTACAAATGTAAAATCAGAGTGATTTCCGTTCTTTGATTCCACTGGCAGAAATGGTTCCTACGGAAAAAAGTCATCCATTATCTGGGGCACTTTTCTGATAAAGCAAGCTCCAAGTAGGCAAGAGTTTCACTGATTCCTACGTTTTCCCCATGAATTTAAAGGAACTTTTTCTGTTTATCATAAACACAAGAAAAATACAAAAAATATATTTACAAGAATTTGCCCAATATTTCGGTTTGAAAGACAAATATTCTTCAGGGGCTAAAATGAAAATTTGTTGAAAAATAAGATTTGGAGTTTGTTCATATAAAATACACCCCTTGCAAGCACTAAGTAAATAATTTTTTTGCTTCGCCTTTTTATTTATTTTAATTTACCTTGTTAAGTTTATTTTTGAGTTCATCACAATCATTAATAGCAAAAATGATGCCCTTTTTCTTCGCGTGCGTGGGATGCTTCGCTGCACAATAATTTTATTGGTTAAAATACGTATATTATTACATGAAAGAAAACATATTTCAAATCTGACGCTGACAGCGCGGGCTCATAAATGAATGTCTAACCTAAACTATAAAAAGGAAAAGAAATATTGTGTAGCGTACGAGAAACCTTTTTATTTACTTTTGGCCTTAATGCAAAGTTTGAACTCATATGTAACACTAAAAAGCTGCTTGGAACTTCAGCGTTTTCAAATCAGGATGAAAGAAAAGGTGTTCACTGTGTTCGCCATCTTGCCGTAAGGCCTTGTCAGTTTGAGATCTCTGAACATCTGCCGTTTCCTATTTAAACAGGAGTTCTTAAAATTAGGCCTGTAGCCATGGTTTTGTTTGGAATGGTATGAGAATTACGCAGTCGGCGTAAAAAATATGCTTTCATCGACAGTGGCTTAACGAGCAACGAAAAAGCAAACACAGTCGAGGCGAGAATTACAAGTATTGGGATTTTTTTGGGTTGTGGATATCGGCTACTGCGGTCTTTGCCATCACGTCAAAAAACGTTGAGATAAGACATTTCTTGATGCGACTATCTCATATCAGAACACAGAGCCTGCCGCTATTAGAGTGGTGTTATGGTGAACGGAACAGCTCCATCTAACACAAGTAACTTGACGCCACTTCCAACGGATATTTCCCTTCCAACAGCATGTGTTGTTATATTCGGTTTGATTTTTATTTTAATGTTTTTAGTCAGTGCCATGGGAAACTCGCTCGTTTGTTATATAGTTTATCAGAAACCCGCTATGCGATCGGCTATAAACATTTTACTCGCAACTTTGGCAATGGCGGACGTTTTGACGGCCATCGTGTGTATGCCATTTACTATAATCACACTAATCGCCCAAGACTGGATTTTCGGCGAGGTGTTTTGCCAAGTAAATGCCATAATGTTCAACCTCTTGGTGACAGAAGGAACTTTTGTTCTTCTTACAATATCAGTGGATAGGTTTATGATAATTGTGCGACGAAAAGACACCCTTACACCACGGAAAGCCAAAGTGTATATTTCAGTCTCGTGGTTGCTGTCAATAGCCATCGTTCTTCCACCTTTATTTGGCTGGGGAAGTTATGGCTTCGAACAAGGACAAATTCATTGCTCTTTGAAATGGCCTAGCCAAGGAGAACTAGATCTGTCTTATGGCCTGTTCTTTTACGTATCAACGTTTTGCATTCCGCTTATTCTTATGGGTTATTGCTTTGTGTCAATTTTAAGAACGGTTAGGAGAAACTCAACCCGAATTCAGAATCATCCCCCAGTACCTGGCGGGGTTATTACGAAAATGCATCGGCCAGGCAAGATGAATATTGACTACAGTTTCAAGACAAGAGCTTTTACCACTATATTAATCTTGTTTATTCTATTTGTGGTTTGTGGTGTACCATACACGGCAATCCGCTTTAAACTACTGTTAAAAAGATTTGAAAACTCATTATTGTCTTATGTTGGCGATGCTGTGATCATCTTAATAGCATACTTAAACTCCACTCTAAAGCCAATAATTTATTATGTCCGAATTAGCAAGTTTCGGGAAGCATGCATGGACATTATGCCATCATGGTGTCATGTTCCTCACTGTCTACCAGGAAGAACCATGCGTCGTATCAGACCACATGTAGTATATGAAGTGGACAAAAAGTTTGTTACTTCAGCATTGTAAAGAAGAGGCTTAAATATACATTTTACATGGCTGACTTGTAGCATAGCAGGAATAGTATCATTCAACCAAGCCATGGTTACTTGACAGGTTCAATCATTAAACACCTCACGGGTAATTTGAGACAACGATTTCTTATTATGATAATAATTGTGCAAAGTGGGTATGAATGAAGCAGTTGAAAAAAAAGGCCCAAGCTGATAAATAATTCAGGTTTGTTTTATGATGGGATGTTTGGAAAAAGCCTTATTAAGTGACTTCAATTTCCACTGCCTTAAGAACTGTATTAATATTTAACCACAGAAATTTAATGGAACTTACAGCAGGATTTTTTGCAGACCTTTTCTGACAATCTCCTGTAATATTATTTTTTATTTATTGCTCTCAATTTTTTAATCAAATATGGGACGTTATGCTGCGAATGCACGACAAGTACTGTTACAAGTCTCCTTGACTGTTCTAATTGCTTTTTTTAATACTACCAGCTGTCAAATTTATGGCAATTTTCCATGAAAAAATAATATTTGACATTTGTTGTAAAAATTGTTACTTTCCAAACAGAACTCACAAATACAGCAAAGTGAAAAATTGTTTATGATGACCATAGAAAATTCCACTGGAATAAGATTTTAATTTTATCAAAAATATTACAGTAAAGGATAAGAATAAGAGGAATTTTTTAAAGAAAAAATCCTAGGGGTAAATGTTTGCAAAGGAATTATTAGGTAACAATTTTAATGATAAAAATAATAATAAAATTTGTGAAAGTTTTTAGACCTGTTTTCCTTCTTATTCTCAATTTCTGATGAATATTGGAAACCATGAATTTTTGTGTGTGCGTGAACAGAGTAAAGTTTAACTTGTTTAAGGTAGTGATCAATTTAAGCCTGCTTAGCCAGGCTAAGATTTCAGCGTGGTTTTCTGAGCAGATTTTCTCAAAAACGACCTTACTTTGTGATTTCATTTTATTTATTCTTAATTTCCAGCCTGGATGTCACAAACTGGACTGGTAATTTCAGCCTGGTCAGACAGGCTGAAATATCAACTTGGGCACTTGCACCAGCGAGTGTTGAATGTGAAACACTTTTTCAGTTCCACCCAATTTTAAACCTTGCAGCGGCAGTGAAATTCAACATGTAATTTTGCAGCAAAATGTCTGCCAAGTGCACAGGCCCAGATTTCTGCCCAGGCTGGTATAGGGTTTAACATCTCTTGACTCTCTAAAACAACATATTTACCATTTTTGATTTTTCTGCCAACCAAAATCACTCACACCTACAAGTTTAGCCTTAACCCCAACCAAAATGCCACTGATGTTCCATAATTACACATTTGGAGGGCCGATTACTGAAAAAAAAATGTGACTTACTAAATCACTGGAATAAATAGAAAGCAAGTGGATAACATTGTAAAAACAAATGCTGTTTGCCAATGGGAGTCCAGTCCAGAGGCTACAAATATCAGAAAGTTTGCATCTAGAAAAATTGTGGTTGAAATATTTGTATTGACTTATGAAGTTGATACTAGGAATTTGGCAAACAAGCTAGAAAAATAACTGATACAGCTTTCACCCATTGTCAAACTTGAATAACATGTCTATGAAGCGTTGGAATATGTTGTTTTCTCGTGTATAGCTACAAGGTATGTTGTAAATTACCAGCATCAAAAGCATTGTACTTAAGTACAAAATGTACAGAGTATAGCTTATTTACATGCAAATTTCTCACTTTGTTGTGAAATTTGTGAATTTGATATTAAAAGAGCTTGATATACAAGGAATGATAACAAAAAATCTGTGAATTATTAACACAGAGCTCCAACATGCAGCTCACAGTGAGCATCCTGTGATAATAGACACAATCATTGATAAAATTTAAACTTTTATAGAGGATGTGAAAAAGAAAAAAGACATACAATTTATTGATATAAGGTGTAGCTTTATAAACAAGTAGGCAATGTTTGCTTTCTTGACATTTTAATAAAAAATATTTCTCTTCAATGTTACACTACTTTCGTTGAAAAAATTGGGAATTTTAAACATGTTCATGTTACGCTTTAGGCAAAAAATCTAAATATAGACATCTTAATTTTGTTTATTCCCTAATTTTGCATACATGTAGATGTTAATGAAAAAAGGAGAAAATTAAACATTTTTAGTGAAAAGTTCTATCTTCATATTGATCACTTGTGTTTGAAAACTCTGTCTTTCCTCTGCAGAATATTCAAACTACCACGAAGACAAATTCAAATATGCTATTGTTTTACATTTTAAAGTTTTGGTTGAGAAATAATATTGATTTTGGTTTCTGCATAAGAAATAATCATTTTGAATGTCATTTACTTTGCTACTGATAGTACATACAGTCATATACACCTTTCAAATAGATAATGTGTGCTTGTGTATTTACTCTTGTTAGGTCACTTATCTTTTTAAAATACCTTTTTGTTTCTATCTTTAATTGTTCTTTAGGTGAAAAAGCATTCAAAATGCAGTATAATTGCGGTTTGTCAGTTAAAAGCTTAGTTTTGTGTTATTCCTATGAGGAAATCTGTTTTTTCATAAAATATTATTTTAAATGCTAGCCAAAACAATGACAATCACTATCAATTGAAAATGCCTATAAAAAGAACATGTCAATAGCATTTGGAATCAAAATTAACTTAAAATGTTTTTCCCACACAATTTTTTTGATAACACGTACTTGGGTTGTTAGAGTTGATCTGTATGCAAAAATACACCATGGGAGGGTAAAGAACAGTACACCAAATAGATACTTTGACATAATTCCAGCTTTAGCAAATACACATTTTACTACAATATATAACATTTTAATATGAGGTTTCCTTTCTGGCATACACGAGGAATGTGTTCGAGTTCCATCAGCAGCTGTAACAGGTTAATATTTTTACCACAGTGGGTAATGTTTTGAAAATTAAGCTCTCTTCTTAAGCTGGATATGACCTCTCAACTGCTTATCTTTTCACGTTTATCATACAAGAGATTGATTACTACATTCACTTTAATTAAAAGAGAAATTTTTGTGTCAAATGAAAGTTATAAATTAAAGAATACTGTCCCACAAACCGTATTTCATGATCTTCCTACATTTGTGGAAAAATGACTAGGTATGGGAGGGGGGGGGGGGGGGGGGGGGGCCCCCCCCTATTGGTTTAAAGGGGGTTTGGCCCCGGGGGGGGGATTGGTTTTTGCCCCTCTTTCCCCACCCAGGTTATTTTTTTACCTTGTTGGTTTTCCTATGGAGGGGTTTTAAATTTTTTGGGTGTTTGGTTTTTTTTTAGAATTGTTTTTGTTATTAAAAAAATATTTTTATATTAGAAGAAAATTTAAAATATAAATTTTCTTTGACACAAACTCGTTTTTTTCTCGTTTCTGAATGTTTTATAAAAATGAATGGGGTGGGGGGGGGGGGGGGGGCGGTGTACTCCCTCATATGGATTAAACGTGGTTGTGCCACTGGACAGGATATGGTTTTTGCCCTCTCTTGCCAAACATGGTATATATATTACCATGTGAGTCTATCCTAGATAGGGTTTATAATTTCATGCGAGTCTGGTTTGATTTGGAAATTTGTCTGTACTCCATTTAAACAAAAGCAATGACTATAACGTAAATTTGCATTATTGCAACTGCCAATAAAATGCTTTAAAACAAGACAGCATGCATTTTGTCTTTTGTCTCTAACCCCGTAAAGAAAGATTCACCTTTAAACTCCCCCCAATCCCAACTCAATAAAAAAGGAACTAACATAAACTTCCATTCCATTTTAATAACGTAAATAAAGCTGCAACCACAATGGTAGGTACAACAGGAACCGTTATATGCCTTTAAGATATACAACGTCAATATGGATGAACGTTTATAAGACTGTTTAACAATAATTCTCAACTTATTGGTTTAAGTTGCCATGCCGGAAAACAATGATCCTCAACATGAAATAAAAATGTGAAACAAATTTTGAAATATTATATAGCAAGGTATCTGTTGGTTGGGTTCTGCAAAGCCCTATGGGATCTTGACAAGTGAACGTAAATGTTGCCATTTACATTATCGGGTTAAATTTCAAAGTAGGAAAAACAACTGTTTATACTAGAAAGAGACTGATAAGAAGTAACTGTGATTACAGAGTTTTTACATAGTTAAAATAAGTGACCTTCTTTTTTGGGCTGAGAATCGTCTAGTAATAAGTGAGACAAAAAGTAACAAATCGAAAATTGTTATTAATATTTTTTTAAATGAGGCCATCTTATTAAGGATAGGGTGGCCCATGAACAAACAGGATAGAGTAACTAAAATGGCGTCGATATTAACAGGTTCCAACTGTAACAATGGAAAATCCTTAAAAGAATTAAGTTGAAAATATTTTACTCTACTTGAAACATATTTCTTAATTTGTTGCAAACCTGCAGGAATATACCTTTTTAGCTTGGATGTTTTTTTCTCAATTCTGTTTCTCCAGGGAATTTGCCTTTTGTCTTCTCATAAATTGATTATGCATACATATGCATGTGGGAAAACGAAACAAACAAGCTAAAAAGGTTGATTAAAATTTTCCTACTAATTTCTATGATCTAAAATGATATTTTCTTAAAAGTTCCTCAAAGTGCCATAAGTCAACTATTTTTTGAAAAATATAAATTATGATTCACTAAAATATGATATAAAAATTAATTGGCCTCTCTTATCAAAATGTCATTGTTTCAGCAAAACAATATCGTTCAACACATTCTAAAAACCCTGACTTTCAACAAAAATAAAAAAGGCAATGATACATACACATTAAAACAAATACTAAATACAATTATTAAATAGTGTTCTATTAGGACATGCAAATGACACAATGGAGTATTACAGATGCTTTACACCTGGGTGCCTAATAATTAAAAACACTCTTCAAGTGCCTTGGATGGACTAAAAGCCAACTGGCACACCACTTCTGGATCTACACTGATGAGAATTAAAAAAAGATCACTTCCTGTCGTATTTTCATTTGAATCTGCATAATTCAAGCCCAGTCATGGAACTTGACTGTTTAAAAACAAACTGGAACATGACTGGTGGTACATTATGATGGAATACTAAACTGAAACAGTACAAGTCTTATAGAGATAAGTACTAGATAAACCACAAGCTAATACTGATCTTTGATTAAAAACAGGGGCAATGTATAAACCCATTTCAGAAGTCATTTCATGAAAGGTTATAATTTTCAACATTTATGAAGCATACAATGTTTCATGAAAACACCCCACAAACTAAGCCTTTGAAATTGCTAACAGCGGAAAGAAAACAAAGTCTTACACAGTTATCTTTCCCTTAAAATGCTATGCTATGAAATTTTGACTAAATGGGTTTCCCACTTGTATAATTTTTTTTATACTACCGCTTTCTTCTTTTCTTTATAGCATCTTCAACTTTCTTTTGTGTATTTGCCATGTTCTGAAGCTGCTGACGTAGTTGTTCTTGTTCCTCTGCTAACACTCGGGTCCGGTCTTCAATTAACACTCTTTGGGCGGCCTGAAAAAAAAGTTAAATTGTTGTGATCTTTCAACCCTTGGACTGTTCTTAGGAAGGACTCATTAAAATGTAACTATTTATTACAAATTACATAACTTGTTTATTTGATTATGCTGTCTATGGTTTTGTCTAGAAATACAATGGAATTAACAATCAACAAATATGGAAAATATGATCAAATATAGAAAGCATTCATTAAGATACTAAGGCCCTTTCCTCTGGTCGAAACTCACAAAGGAATTACGTGCCGAGGATAGTCTGCGCAAATTTAAGACTAAAATTAGGAGAACAGTCCTGACTGCCTTATTTGAGGATGGCTGTAGAAATTGCATGCTTTGTAATAACTACCTTTGAGACCCTATGTTACAAAGCAAAATTTACCATGTACACCATGTACATACATCTTTTTTTACGCGTAAATAGGTTTACATTTTTAACCTCCGTAGTTTTTACTATTTGCTTTTCTACCTTAACGTTATTTTAACACTATTTTAATATTTGTTTTTTATTTATTTATATATTTATTTTACTTTTATTTTTGTGTCACCAATTAGTGCTATGCGCTAGAGTTTCTTGACACGTTAATAAAGTTCACTACTACTAGCTACTAACAACACTGTAAAACACATGAATAATTCAATATGTACATGACATACCAGAGCACCTAACTGATCATTGACTTCCCTCTCCTCCTCTTCTCTCTTTGCCTTTCTTTTCCTTGATTGCTCCTGGTAAAATGAAAAGTGGCTTTATTACATAAAACTTTGTAAAGTTATCTATTTCAAGTGGTAACCAAAACTTTTGCTTTTTTCTTATCTAGTGTTAAAACAAGCCTCAGACAATTACGGGATACAATATTCTGTGAAAAGAACCACTTAGAAGGCCAACTTTCCCCAAGGAAGGTTGCAGGGTTATCATTTTGTTTGTTTCCCTTGGAACTGGTTAGCTAAAATGACCACCACAAACCGTATAACATCAAGCCAAGCTTCAATAATAATTATCATTCGATCTAAAGAAATACATTTATAGTCTTAATCTTGTAGCTAAATTCAGAAAACTTAAATGTAAACTAACTCCTGTGGCGGGTCATTGTAACAGTCACACTTTACAGGTTAGCAGATTCTTTAAACATTCTTCAGGTAAGCGGATTTATAAACAGACCACAAACTTCTATCTCACTTCGATTCAACTGAAAAAACTGATTTGAAATACAGTAAACCTAACACATTTTAAATCAATGAAAAAGAATCAATGTCAATCAACGTTCTTAAACATAATCCAACAGTTTCTAACAGAAACAAAATAGTTCAGCTGCAATGAAGACTTTTCATGCTGTAACTAAAAAAACTCCTTTAGACGCCCAGCACCTTCATAACTACTTTAATGCTGTTTTCAATACCTCTCTTCTGTGAACAGCTTCTTCAGAGAAGTACTGTGGACATATCTTGGAATTTTTATTATGACCTATTTCTCCACAAGCACCACACTTTGGCCCCACTGGCTTGTCCCCACTGCTTTTACACTGAGTTGCAGGATTCAAGCCACTGGAGAATGGCATAACTGATGAAGAACCAGTGGAAGGGGATGGCTGCAAAAGGCAACATCATGTTTCAAATAATTGCTCAGAAATATCACATTCAGTCATTTTACTAGCTTATCTAGACTGAGAAGGATGCCACAATAGCTTAGGCCAGTTATCCTGACACCTGCATTAACTATACTGCATAAGGTAAAGTAGACAAGAGGGAGGTAAGCTGGTCACCTTTCGAATGTCCCACACATTTTCCATGAAACAATCCTTGGGTAAGTAGACACCCCTATAAGGGGACAATAGACAGTCTCATCATTGTCTGCTCAAAGCAGGTGTCTCTGTTCTGATGACCCATATCAATCCCTTTTCTAGTCTGTTTACACAACCCCGGAAAGATGGACCACTTAACAACTGTTCATTAAAGAAATAGAGAGGAGTGTAGGAGGATTGAAATAGAGAACTAATACTGAGAAGATGTTACTTCCATCAACAGTTGCAACATAAAGAAAATTTTAACAAATGAAGAATAAGTAACAATGGAAAGCCATTTTTCTTTAGCATCAAAACTGTTGAATGTGATTTTTGAATTAACAGCAACCACCACCAAGTGATAAATTATGTAATTAAAACTAACCGAACAAGGTCCAGACAAAGAAGAAGAAATGCGTCTGTGGACTCTTTCAAAAGTGCTGCAACCAAACCAGACAAGTCAGTTTACAGTTAATAAAACTTAAAATTTACTCAAAATGAAAAATATAAGCTCAGGTAATCTGAGTTTTCTTGCAGCATTGTCCCATGGGTATATGGCATCAAACTCATTGACAATGGATGTAGATGTAATGCTTGGAATGAAACAGTGTTTGAGGGCCACTGTTCTATTCAGCTATAGTTAGTTTCAGTTTGTTACATGTATGGACATGCCATAGCAAAGTGTTACAAGCATTCTGTGGAAATGGAGAATATTTCATTATTTTACCCGCCTATTGGGATCTTTGCCAACTACCTTTAAGGAGGTTCATGCCACTTGGAATATGTAACGCACCATATACATTTCATCATACTTGTGCCATTTGGATTGAACAACACCCCCACGACATTTTAGTATCTACAAAATATTTGGACTATGAAGAGTTCCATGTATATTCCAGCAATGCTTCAGTTTTCACCGCGCAATGCTCCAAGACATAAAGCTGGCCACAACTTCTGTAACTTGGGTTCTGTAACATTCCAGTGAGCTATCAGCAGTAAATTAACTAACTTCATCAGCAAAAAGCCATGTATCCACCTACATGAAAACACTCTTTTCCACATCAGGGAAATAGTCACAGTATAGCATATCTAATGAATGTACACTAAGACACTATCTGAATATTATGATTTAATCATTTGTTTTCAGGCAGGGCCCTAACTAAGATTTCAAATTGCTGGGTATATGCAATTTGTAGTTGGGGAACTGAGCAGCTAGGAAGTTCTTTTGGTTCTGCTGTCCTTTTCGTTTCTGTGAAGGTAACCAGAGATTTTGCGGTAGCCAAGGAAAATTCCCGATCCCCGGCCCTGGTTTCCAGGACTACAATATACAAACCTGGATGAAGGTGAAAATGGTCTTCGAGATGATGAAATTGCAGCCTGGCATAAAGGGGTCCTGACACTGCTTTTTTCCAGAGAGGAGGAGGAAGGCATACCAACAGCCTTACATACCGTAATATCATCCCTTAAAAACAAAAGACATAAGGAAATCCCAAAACCTAGAAATTTAAAACAACAGTTTTCTGTTTCCCCAAGGTTATGAATCTAACAGATATGTTCAAGAAGGCCAAGCAGCTAGTTTGTGGAAATCAATAATCTCAAAGTATTTAAACAAACACCATATGACCTTTGCACCAAAATTTCATACACCCAAAGTGGAATTTGGTGGATGCCAATCAAGCCAAAAAAACATTCTGTTAAAAGTTCCAACGGGATTTTAAAGAACATAAGCGAATAAAAACAAATTTGAAAGCATATGATTAATTTATAATAATAAACAATGTTAGTCTTAATAAACTGAAGATATCGCTGAGTTTATAAATTTTCCACAAAAATTGTGTGACTTTGCTGTGATAACTGGGATCCATCAAGGTCAACTTTTCTACATGAATTAGTCAAAAAAAAGTTTGGATGTGATTGGCGGTAAGTGTAAAAAAGGTAACAGTTGGCCCATTACAGAACATCTCACAAACAAGGGAAACAATGACCTTGCCTGAACAATGCTTTCTTACCTTACTGTACAGACATCATCTTTAGAACAAAAACGCTTTCTAGGAGAACCAAGTGACCCATTATTGCTTCTGTCAGATAATCCACTGATCAAAGATGCAGGCCTTCCTCCCAAAACCTTTGCTGATTCATGGCATGGCCTACTGATGGGGCTTGCCACACCAATTTTCACAGGTTTTCCACAAGCAATTGCAGCCACATTCTTCCTGAAATCAACCCCAGAAGAAGACTTTTCTCTCTGTCCAGAGCATGTACTAAATTTTTCTTTTTGTGATTTTCTGTAACCAACAATTTGCTCCTGAAGCTTTGAGCTACTAGTCGCCTTTTTATCAGGTGAGTCATGAGGGTACCTAGGACGTGCCTTTACCTCTTTATTGAGGTCTTCCTGTACCTTTAGCGCAAATGCAAAATCGTCCTCAGTGCAATCAATAATTTGCTCCTTAAGCTTAGAGCCGGTAGTAACCTTCTTATCAGACGATTCATGATGGTGCCTAGGACTTGCCTTTACCTCTTTATTGAGGTCTTCCTGTACCTTAAGCGCAAATTCAAAATCATCCTCGGTGTCATCAAGTGGTTCCTGTGAATCCAATAATATTGCACAATCTTTTGAGTTGCCCTTTGAGTTAGGACTCAAAGCACCAAAAACTCCATGATTGTGATAACTGCTTCCTTCTTCCCAATCATCATCAGATGGGACACTTGAAGGGATATAACTGTCAATCATTTCATCACCTCTTGATGGCAGAACCTTCTGACTTTTTTCCACAATGACAACATCAGAGTCTGAGCATTTAGCAACCTTATTCAGGGAATTATAGCCGCCTTGGGTAAATTCAATTCTGCTCAAAACCAACGCCCTCTCAAGATCACTGTCTTGAGAACCTGGTGTTCCCTGTTCCTTATCTTTGGATCCTCTTTCCATCTCACTCAATTGTAGTGCAATCTGTGGCTGAGCATCTCTGACAAATGATGTGCCAAATTTTTCATCTTGCTTTTCCATTTTGCCGCCCTCCATTCTCTTTGATTGTTCATACTCTATTCTGCTCAACTCCAAAGCTTTCTCCAAATCGTTATCCATATCTCCAGAAACATTATCTTTAATAACCTGACCTTGCCTTTCACTTTTAAACTCTTCCAGACTCAGTTTAAGTACTTCCTCAAGCTCACAATCTGTACTTCCATTTCCCTTTTTATCAACACAATCAGCTGAACGACCTGAGTCTGAAACCTCTGTTTTACTATTAACAAAAATTGGGTTGTGAGACCTTCTTTTATGTTCATGTGATTCAAAAGGTTTAACTGCTGTTGTTACAGGAGATTTGCAGTGCCCTGCCATTGCATTTTCTGCTGCGCTGAGTTTCAAGGCCAACTCTAATTGTTCCTCTTCACTCAAAGAAAACCTCTGTGCCCCATCATCTGAAATACTTGGGACTGGTCCCGTTGTAGTAGAGCTAATTGGTGGTATAACTGGAGGCAAGTGTGACACATCCTTCAATGACAAATGAAAGACGTCTTAGCTCACAATAATAAAAACTAGTTAACCTAATGGCAATAGACAGCATTGGCCACAAATAAATCAAAACGGAGTCAGGAAAACACAAAACAGCAAAGCAGTGAAAATAAATTGCAAAGACATATTTTAATTCGCACGTGTAGCGAAACACAATAAGGACAAAAAATAAGCTCTCTTACTTCAGATGGCATTTTCTCTTCATACTGCGATGCTCTTAAGGCCTACCAAAAAGAAAAATAGTTTTTTCATGGGACTACGTAGCAGCCATTAACCCTTATCATTATCTAATCTTCATAAGCCTTTCAAGACAGCAGCACACGTCAAGAGCTGGCTGGATACGAACGGTTTTTGTTAGTGTACCATTTCCAGATTTTCACAGCCCGAAAATATAAAACTATTTGAACTGCCAAGTAAAATATGGTGTATGCCACAGATGTCTAGATTGAGACAAAACTTCTACTCCTGCTTACTTTCGAGTTTTTCTTTGTTCTTTCAACTATCATTTAACAATCAGCATGGTACTGTAATTTTTATTTGTTTACCCATGAAGCACTTAGGAGTTCTTAAGAACTCTAGGCCTTCAAGATCGATTTGGAATTTGGAATTGCTGGTTTTTGAGGAGAGGGAAAAATCAGAGTACCAAGAGAAAAATTTCCAAGTCAAGAAGTCCTCATTCCCATCAAGGCAGACCTTTTTGTCCACGATTTGTGGCTTGACTAACAGAAGCTTGGTTTAAAAAACCTTCCTCACCCTCAAGTTAGGATATAGAAACATTTAGGGACAGGCAACACCATCCACAAGATGTACTTCACTTGAGGAAGGTCTGTAAATAGGGGGCCTTAATGCCAGTGCCAATGGTGTCAGTAGTATAGGAGGGATGAAATTAACCTCTTTTTTGGGCAGGAATTTCATTAACTTGGGCAGGAATCAATAAACGCCGATGACGTCATAACCTTTTGTCTTTATCTCACAAGTTAAATGCGCAGGAGACATAACAATCTTACACAGAGACATAACTGAGACATAACGTAATTATGCAAATCCTATTTCGTGCAGCAAATCGGACAAGAGCTAGTTTGTCTTTGCCGTCATTAATATGCACGATTTGCCCGCCAAAAGTCAGTGAACCGGAACTAGGACAATCACAGCAGCAGCAAATAGGACAAGAGCTAGTTTGTCTTTGCCCTCATTAATATGCACGATTTGCCCGCCAAAAATCAGTGAACTGGAACTAGGACATTAACAGCAGCAGGAAATAGGACTTGCATAATTACGTTACGTCTCAGCGATTTTAAGTCGCACAAAAAGTTTGACTTTTCTCTTCAGACACTATGAACTAACCAATGAAAACGTTTCTTATTTCCTTACTAACCAATCGAAAACAAAGACGTTAAAGACCGACCTTAAAGTAACTAGAAACCCTAAGCCAACTAAAAATAGCACACAACCTTATCTTAATGAGATTCCTTCCCATTTAACTTATGAGATAAAGACATAAGGTTATGACGTCATCGGCGTTAATTGATTCCACCGCAAGTTAATGAGATTCCTGCGCATTTTATTCATGAGATCAAGACAAAAGGTTATGACGTCATTGGCGTTAATTTATTCCTGCCCAAGTTAATGAAATTCCTGCCCAAAAAGAGGTTAATTCATCCCTCCTATACTACTGGTGTCATTTGATTGAATACCGTTTGAAAATATATCCCTCATTAATTAAGACATTACTCTTGTAGGTGATAATAATACAAGCTATCAATAACAACGGTTTACCTGACGGATCATTGCACCCTCTTCCTGTGAATCATTTGCAAACAAAAGATCTTCATCGGGTAGCCTAACAAGAAAGCCAAACATTTGTTTTTCAATCATATGAATCATGAAAACCTTTGTTAATGTTTTATTCAAAGTAAAACTGTACTGAGCTGCACCAACTAGTGTGTAGGCTTTGTAGTCAGATACTCACAAATAATCCAAATAATACTGTAGAGTGCCAGAGCTTTAAGGAGCTAACCACAAAGTTAATAGTCAATTTCTTGAGATCAGCTCAAGCTGTTTAGTTTATCCCAAGAGGAGAAAATGGCTTGCCCAGGGTTTGTAGTGACTTATCTTTGCCCCGTTAGATCATGCAGACGAGACTGATGCATAAAAGTCAAATATCAGTGATTTGTGGGTTTAAATTTTTAATTTGGGCAAGTGGCAACTTTATGTTTTGGCAGGGGTATATTTGTAGAACACCGATTAGTCGGCGGGGGAGGATGTTATTTTGGGCTTATAGGAAACTGAAGCCCCATTTACACTACAGAAAAAATGGGTCTGGACCCATAAAAAAATTGGTATGGACCAGGTATTTTTGCCGTGTAAACCTTCTGTACCATGTTTTCATGAAATGAATCCGGACTCGCTTTTTTCTAGTTTTGGGGCCATAGCAAGACCGAAAAAAAAAAACAACTCCAGACCCCTTTTGCTGTTCGAAAGCACTGTGTAAATACTATCTTCTTCATATGAGCCTGCCGTGCTCTATGGTGGTCTTGCGCATGTGCACTATTGCACTTTTCAATCATAAGCCTAACCTGATTGTTACCCATGTAAACGTTTAAAAAAAATTGGTCCGGACCTCTTTTCAATGGATCGGCACCCGGTTTTTTTGTAGTTTAAATGGGACTTGAGTGAAACTGGAAGTGGAGTTTTGGCATTTGTGAAAAGTGTTTTTCGCAAATTGTTTTTTATAAGAGTAAGGACATTTAGCAATACAAATTTGGGAATGTCAAAGCTTATTAAAGGGAAAACACGTTCAGTTCCAGTTGACGACTGCGTATCTCAAAAATGGATTGTTAAAAGCTCCCTATTGAATGCGCAGTCACTGTGGTGAGAAGAGATCATGGGCAGAGGATCGAAATGCACCAGAGATAGACAATTTGAAGTACAGTTCCTGAGAGGTCATCTGAATTTGCTGCTTCTTTGATTTTATTTTGTGATCAGTTTATTTTGTAGCGCAAAATGGATGAGCCAGTTAAGGACGAGTAGGTATCTAGTGTTTCTGGCGTTCTTTGGTGGCGTATTGGCTGTCTGTAGACTTTGTTAGCGTTTGTAGTGTTTACCATTGCTCATGAGCATGGGGGCAGATTCCTGTCCGGCGGTATGTCACTTCCGTACATGCACAGGCCATGGCAGGTGCCTACATTGTGTTTGCGTTGTACTCGAAACGTTGTTCGCATGGCGTTCTGTTATAGTAGCGTAGCACTTCTCTTGGTTCTACCCAAATTTTGGTTGGCTTGGCGTTCTGTTTGAGTATCATGGCATTCTTGTTGGTTCAGTGCAAAAGCTTTTCAGGTTGACGTGGTTTTTGTTACCGTCGTTCCTTGTAGTTCCTGTTGTAGTTCGCCTCTGCTGGAGAGTTTTTTATTTTCATTTGCAATGCCGCATCCATCGCGCTTGACCAACAACAGCTTATCTGTGGGCATTCCTACCCAAGACTCACTTCCTTCTACTGCAATGTCTGAAAGTCCTGTGACGAGTACGGCTTCCAGTTCTTGGTCACCTCAGTTGGGTGACTCCCTCACCGTGACTGTGGTATGAGCAACTAAAAACTCTATTCCCGCCATTACTTCATTGATCCAGAGCAATAATGCCTCCTCGCGCATTTCTTCTCAGCTTCCAGGTGATTCTGCTAGCGCGGGGCCACGACCTTTCTTTTCTTCAGCGTCCGCTGTTTGTGCGAGTACAAGTGAAAGTGTTTCTTCAGTGGCGTCAGGTACATTTACCCTTCCTGCGTTTGTTGCTAAGTCTATGCCAGTGTTGGCCATTACCATCTTGGGCTACACCTGCCACGTGGCTCCTACTCCCTCCAATTTCATTTCACCCGCATTGCTAGCAGTCTTCCAAAGCGTTGAGTATTCATTTGCATCACTAAAATTGGAAAAGGCTTTTATTGTTGGTCCAGGGCATGCCCCTATTCCTTCAAAACTGGTGTCTAAAATTATAGGTGGCCAGGTTGTTGAATTGGAAGATTTGTTGTCCGCGAATCTCCGACCGGTAGAGCAGGAGCCGTAAATGTTCCTTGATGGTGAGCTCCTGGTTTCTTCGTCAAAACGCAGGCAAGTGGAAATATAAGACATCTCGACTTGGACCGAAGCCTTCACTATTTTTTAGATGGTGTTGTGCATAATTCACCCTCATCATTGGCTCAATCTGACCAAGTATAAGCTGCTTATTATTTAAATGGTTTGTGATTTCTCCTGTTCGGCCTGGTTAGAGTATGACCTGGCATTTACAAAGATGCAGCTGCCTCTGGCCTCAGCAAATGGTCTAGGATGAACTTAGAAATTGTATAGTTACTATACAATTTTCAGGTCTCCAGCCCTGGCTTCAACCCCGCTACCTCTGTCATCTCCTTCTGCGGCATCAGCTCTATCTCCTAGCTGCCACCTCCCATGACACCAACCTGCTCCCTCCTTTTTGTCATGCATTGAACGATGGGCAGTGCAGCTGGCCTTTTGGCAGGTGCAAATTTTGACACTGCTGCAGCAACTGTGAAGGTAATCACACCAACATCAACTGTCCATTTTCCCACTCTTCTAACACATGATCCCGGTCTCCCCCACCTGTGGGAGGGGGGAAGGTACTGAATGGGTGGTTATGCCCGGCGAGGCCTGTGTACGCAGTGTAAATAGTTTTGCTGTGTCGCCAGGCCAGCAGCGTAATATGGTTAAGACATCTTGTTCTGTTATAGTTCCAGTTAGTATACCCAGCATTGCAGTTTTCGTTTGTTCTTTCTCGTCATTAGCTCCAGTCTCTCCTCTGTGGCTAGATCAATTTCAGACAGAATTGCAGCATCATCCAACCAGGCAGCAATGGCCAATGTGATTTCCAGAATACGCGAAGGCTTTTGTATTGGCTTTGAGGCATCCATGGTCAATCTTACGTCTGCGTTGTCAAACATGTGTTCCTCCTTCGAGCACCTTTTAGTGATAGACTCGTACTTGCAGACCAAAGTTTCCTCTGGCAGGGTGGTTGGCACCTTTTCAACCTTTCCTTCTCTACATATCAGCTGGGTTCATTCCCAAGAACAATCAACCAGACAAGTGGCGTCTCATCCTAGACCTCTTATCTCCTGCTGGGCACAACAACAACAATGGCATCCCCAAGCTTTCCTTCACAGTACAGTATGTTTCAGTCAATGCAGTTATTGAGGGCATCATGGCCCAAGGTCATGGAATGCTGATGGCTAAGTTTGATGTGGCTAGTGCATACAGGAATGAGGCTCTCCATCCAGAAGATCACCCCTTACCTGGGATGCGGTGGCATGGGCTTTACTTTGCCAATATGGTTCTCTCATTTGGGCTGCGCTTAGCACTCTTTACTTTCACTTCCATTGCGGACCTGGTTGAATGGATGCTGGTTCAAAGTTGTGGTGTGGACTTCCTATTCCACTACCAAGATGACTTTTTTACCCTTGGCCCACCTGTCTACTTACCTTTGTTTGCCTTCGCGACAGGCAAGGCCTTCTCTTTCGTCCTGACAAATTAGAGGGACCTGCCACTTGCTTAAGTATCCTGGGGATTGAACTTGACTCCGATAAGGGAGGACATTTCTTGGTCAGATGATTGACTTGCTTAGAGCCTTCCGCCTCCACGATCACCCCCATCAGGATGAACCAAGAATTCCGTTGGGACCTTACCTGGTGGCAAAAGCTTTTTCAGACCAGGGATGACCTCAGTTTCTTTTGCATGCCCATGTGGGCGCCCGTCCCAGACTTTCAAGTCTTCTTGGATGCTGTAGGCTCACTGGGCAATGGGGCGATCTTTAATGCCCGGTCATTTTGCTGTGCTTGGGCAATGGAGCAAAGGTCGTTATTGATCAGGTACAAGGCGCTCTCCCCGTCGTTGTAGCCACTGCCTTATGGGGTTCTCAGTGGGTCTCTCAGCAGGTTTGAGTTCCTGTGAGACAATGAGTCACTGGTCACTGTACTTAAGTCTGTGTCTTCACGGGACCAACACTTGATGGGGTTGCTGCATCATTTATCCTTGCTGGCTACATGCCACTCATTTATGTTTACTGCATCTTCAGTTTGTGGCAAGGCCAATCCACTAGCTGATTCCCTCTCATGCTTTCAATTTCAGCATTTTCATCATCGGTCACGTCAAGTTCACCTGACTCCACACATGATTCCCGAGTCGCTTCTGGTCGCACTTGCGAAGACTTGACCCTGAGGTGTCAGTTTCTGCTCACCCAAGGACTCATGCCTTCCACTTGGCATGTTTATCTCTTCTCAACGTCACTATATTGACTTTTGCCCCTGGGACGGTTACCTTAACAGGGATGGCTCCTTCCCTCCTGCCGATGAGGAGACTCTCATGTGCTTTGCTACACTCTTGGCCAACAACTTGACCCACGCATCTATTTAAGTATACTTGTCTGCAGTATGCTCCCTTCACATTGACCATGACTTGTCGGATCCTTTCATCAACTGCCAAATTCAAAGCATGTGCTCACAGGAATAAAGCGGGTTCACGGTCCATTGTCACCCAGATGCCTCTCTATCACCCTGGATCATCTGCAGGCGATTCAGCAGGGACTAGACTTCGACAGGAGAGACCATGTGATGCTGTGGGCAGCATGCTGTTTGGGTTTCTTCGGTTTCCTACAAGCTAGGGAAATCACGGTGAATTTCAGCCTAGTATCCACGACTGTTGATGACTTGCAAACTGACTCGCTGGTGAACCCTACCTGTTTTAAAGTTCATATCAAAAGCTCAAAGACCGATCTGTTTTGCATGGGCTGTGAGGCTGTGATATATATGTGGGGTGTGGTGTGTCTCATCCACAACTTGGGCGACTTTCTGGCTTTGCATGGCTCTTCTGCGAGACCTCTCTTTACATTAATAGTGATGGAAGCCCTCTTACACAGCAACAGTTGTCTTCCACAGTTCAGTCTATCTTGTACTCAGCTGGTAATACTGGCTCCTATTCAGGCCATAACTTCCGCATTGGGGCAGCAACTACGGACGCTGCCGGGGAGTTCCGGATCATCTGCCAAGACCCTAGGCCAGTGGTCTAGTGATGCCTACCAGATTTATATTTGTACTCCAGTTAGCTCCATCGTCCACGTGTCCTGACAGCTGGTTGCATACCAGGTATCTCCACTACCTTTGGGGCTTTGCAGCCCCCTGGCCCCCCAACATCCACTTGCGACATTGCGGCGTTTAATACTATTAAATCTTAATGTACTAAACAACTATGAGCTATAGTCGCTAGTGTTTTTGGCATTCTTTGCTGGCGTGTTGGCTGTCTGTAGCTCTGTCGCGTGACTTTGTTAATGTTTGTAGCGTTTACCATTGTTCGCAAGCATGGGAGCAGATTCCTGTCTAGCAGTATGTCGCTTCTGCACATGCGCAGGTCATGGCAGGTGCCCACGTTGTGTTTGCGTTGTGCTCGAAGCACTGTTGGTGTGGCGTTCTGTTATAGTAGCATTTCTCTTGGTTCCCCTTCCCCCCTCCGCTTTCTTGGTTTAGGGTCTCCCCCCTTCTGGGGGTTTTCCATTTTACTTCGACTGAGCTCCTAGCCTCAGTGTGACGGGTGCTATAGTGGGGGGCTGGACACAGGGGGGCTTGTGGCTGGGTTGCTGGTTGGTAGGTCTGTGGGTGTTCTTCTGCCTTGGGGTGTGATTGCGGGTGTAGTGCCCTGGCCCTTGGGCACTCAACGTCCACTTTCGACGCCGGCGTTAACCGCCAAAATTTTCACTTCTTCGTTTTTATTTCCCTGCATGTAAAATCTCACATTGTTTGTTAGTCTTGCTTACATAAGAAGCGAGACTCATAATCTGCGACACTTTTTTTTCATATTTAGGACACAAAGGGGGCCTATGTGCCAGGCATTCTTAGCGGAGACCATGGAAACTACGAAAAAGAATCGTTGCGCTATCGAAGCCATGCATGTTTGAAGAAAGCTTAGAAAAGATTAAATTTAGAGCTTTTCCGAAACATGTCGTTCCACGAATTCTATTGCTTCAAAGCGTTGATTACTTTGGAACAAGTGACCACACACTACTATACAACTTAATTAGCAAAACTGCGATAGTCGGGTGCTGAAAACTTTCGTTGTATGCAAATGGTCTCATGATGAGCCTGTAAATCACTTCTTTGATCTCTGGCAATGATGTATTTTCTCTGGAATTTTCGTGTCTTTATACACACGTATAGCCTGAGACCGCAGACGTATTTCTGGTCGTCGCTAACCCACGTACTAAATCAATTCAGAAACAAATAAAAAGTATCAATGATGATAAAGTAGAAAGTAAAGAACCTTTAGCGAGTGACAGGGTTCATACAAAAAATCGCAACTATTTTCCGAGGACTTTTCAAGGGCCACATTAGATTTTCAAGGACCACCATTAGGAATATAATTTCACAGATTGTACATAAATGCATATTCCCAGTTTATTCTAATAAGGCTTGAACTGTTTGCTTCACCAACTTCTCTACATTTTTCAGTTCACTGGTCTTAAATTGATAGTTAATTATTGCATAAAACATTGAGCAACACTGAGCAATTCTCTGAGCTATGATTTATATTCTGTCTTGAACAACCAAAAAGCATCAAAAAACACTTTCCAGGTCACTACATTTAAAGTTGAAGAAGATTCAAGGACTTTTCAAGGACTTGCACAGACATTTAAGGCCTTTTCAAGCAAAAATGGAATTCAAGGACTTTTCGAGGACTTCCCCTAAAATTCAAGGACTTTTCAAGACTGTGCAAACCCTGAGTAAATCCTGTTTCGTGTAGATTTAATCGCCTCCACATTTCCCGATCTACTCTCCAAGCAAGCGAGACTCAAAGCCGCGGTAAGATCGTTCTTGTTCCTCATAGACCTTTTTATTCATCTTGTCTTTACACTAGACCCATAACATGAAAAACATGATATCAGTCTGGACCAATAATGTGTCCTCTGGTATAAAAAACGCCAATAACATTTTGTTCTTTTTTGTTCAAAGAGAAGGAGAAAGAGCTTAGATTTCCCTTGACGTTTTCAACTTTTACTGACTTTTCTTTGACCTGAAAAAAGTAAATTGTTTTTCCCTGACTGGGCAAGTGAAGTTTCTGGGGAATTCAAATCACAGAAGAATTGCAACCAATCCCTCTAATCAAAACTTTCTAGCGGGCAGGTTGAAATTATTTTGGGGTTAGTACATGTTAGCTACAGCTTGCCCGAATGGCAAGCTGTAAAACTGACTTTCTTAGCACCCTGATGACTACTAACCTTTCTAAATTTTGCTCTGGTTCTCCCATAACAGGACGAACATGATCATCAAAATACGGCAGAACATCTGCAGCAGCTATTCCATGAAAGAGAAAATGTGATTGGCATCTATTAGTTTCTTATTACACCAGGCATAGATGAAATGATTTAAAAAGATATGGCATGATAATACATCAGGTCTTAAGTTGAATAAGTAAATGTCATAGACAAAGCTTAAAAATAGATGTATTAGTAACAAAATTTACTTTTCATGGTGACTCTTACCTGATATGTTCTGATAAAATTTGCAGAGGATTTCTGCTGACTCTTCTTCAGTTTCTGTTCTCCGAACCATGGCTCCTTTAAAAACCTGTATGTCATGTAAGGAAAAGTATTTTCAAAACTCACTCGTTATGATTGGACTTGAAACATTCATGATGTGTTTCTGTTCCTTTACAATAGTACACAATACATTGAAATATACACTGACTAACTCACCTCTGAAATTATGAATAATTTACAGTGGAGCCGGCCTTACAGCCACCTCCTTATAATGGCCACTTTTTTGGCCCGGCAAAATGGCCACACTTTTTCTTCCATCAAACCCTTGTTAATGTGACCACCTGTTAATAAGGCTAATGGTCACAATATAAATTCCCGAGGACAGGACTGTCATTAAGAGGCAGGGGCTGGGGATTTCCCCCCGGCTACTATGGACGTGGTTGTCATAGTTTGTCACGCAACTCAATGTACTTGCGCATGCGCGCACATGTCATGTCCTTCGGCATGCTTGATTCATAAATAAAAATCTTGCAACGTTGCTGATGCGAACTACAACATGGTGTCAGAAGTGGGATCCGAACCCACGCCTCCATTAGCCTACAACCCGCCGTATTGCAGCAGCTGCACTACGCACACCAGGGCGCAGAAAAGTGCAAACTCCGTGCCAAGGGATCAGTGTTCTGGACCAACATAAACCGGGACATTGAAGAAATGGTAAAAGGCTGTGCTCCATGCCAACATAACCAAAACATGAACGTGAAGGAGCCCCTCATGCCCCACGATGTTCCACAAAAACCTTGGCACACCCTTGGTTCTGACTTGTTCTTTTGGAACAACTCGCCCTATTTGCTAGTATCTGATTACTACAGCAAGTTTCCCCTAGTGAGGAAGTTGAACAAAATCCGATCAGACACAACAATTGCCAACCTGAAATCCATATTTGAAGAGCATGGCATTCCAAGCAAACTCGTCACTGGCAATGATGCTCAGTTCACCTCCGCCATATTCCAGGAGTTTAGCAGTAGCTATGGATTTGTCCACACAACCACTAGCCCATATTTCCCACAGGCTAATGGTTTTATCGAGAGAACAGTGCAAACGGTAAAGAACCTTTTGCAAAAGTGCAAGGAATCTGGTGCAGATCCTCATCTCGCTATGCTATGCCTGCGAAGCACCCCTCTTGATCACAGCATTTCGTCGCCAGCAGAACTCTTAAATTCAAGAGTTTACCAAGCCAACCTTCCAACAATATCTAAACCAAGCCTCTCCCTGTCAGCAGATGGAGATACCAACTCCAAACTCCAAACAAGGCTGGAAAAGCAACAGTTGCAATACGACAAAACCTCCAAGCCTCTCCCCGCAGTACACCCTGGAGACCCCGTGCGTGTCTTCAATCCCCACAGCCACAAGTGGGAACCAGGTGTTGTTAGACGCAACATGCAGACGCCTCGCTCGCATCTCGTCGACATGGCAAATGGCAGTGTCCGCCAGCGTAACCGCCGCCATATCCGCCCTACAGGGGAACCCATAACGTTGCAGAACGGCAGCGACGTTGAAGCTGCAGAGCCCCCACTAGCACCGCAACCTGAAACCTGCACCACCTCACCAAGTGCACTATCTAATGAAAGCACCCCTACAAGCGAACAGACCACACCAACATCCCTGGCACCTAGCCCGGCAACCACACCAGGTTCCTTGACCGGAAAAGCTACCGGTACACTGCGTCGTTCCACCAGGGTGATCAAACCCCCTGTCAAGTTGAACCTATAAACTGAACTCAAAACTGATTTCTTACCAAGTTATTGTTGCAGTTTAGGATCACGAACATTTACATGGACAGTGAACATTGCTTAATTTTCTTTTTTTTTTTTGTTGATTTCGTTAGCTTCTATTGTGCGTATTTTGTTTTACAAGTTGTCCTCCTCCCTCCTTATTTGGAAAGAAGGGGGATGTCATAGTTTGTCACGCAACTCAATGTACTTGCGCATGCGCGCACATGTCATGTCCTTCGGCATGCTTGATTCATAAATAAAAATCTTGCAACGTTGCTGATGCGAACTACAACAGTGGTCTCCGGCTACGTTCAAAGGAAAAATAATAGAAGAAAAATGGAACCAAAAAAACCCAGCTGTTTGATTCCGATGATTATATTCACCCAGAAATGTATTTGTCAATTTTTAGAGGTGTTTAATTCATAGTAATAAGGGAAGTTTATAGTAAGGTAGTCTTAACAGTTACTGTACTAGAACAGATTCAGCTAATTATCGCCCAGTTTCAATAAATCCCTACCAAGTAAGATCTTGGAATATAACAGTCTTGAAGATCATAACATTCTTATTGATTACCAACATGGCTTCAGACAAAACCAGTCATGGGAGACCCAATCAATCAATACCATCGAGCACCTGGCACAATCAATTGAGCATTGACATCAAACTGACCTACTAATACTCGACTTTTCCAAAGGTTTCAAAACCGTTGCACACAAGCGATAATTTTAAAACTCGATCATTATAGTATCCAGGGCTGGTTACTGGCTTGGATTGAGGCCTGGCTGGTAAACTGGACTGGATTTTTACATTACCAGTGAGTTTTACAGGTTCTTACACCGAGGATGAGCCAAATTTTCCCCATTAAAATAATCTAATTTTACAGAAAAAGGTATCTGGCGTAGACAAGGTTGGGAAAGTCAAGGACTTTGGAAGACCTATTTAAGAAATGAAGTACTTTTCAAGACAACCAGTAAAATCCAAGACCTTTTCAAGATTGTATGAACCATGTTTACTTAATCTGGCTGATTCACTGAACTTAAACTTTTAGCTTTGTGTTTTGATTGATTATTTATTTCTTATTTACCCTTAGGGATCCTGCAATTTACATAGATCACTCCGGTCGTTAATTTAAAAGTACTGGTGTTAAGTAAGTGCAAATGTGATATACTTTTCATGACCGCCCTTACGTCCTAAAATTTGATCCTGCCCAGGTAATCTAGCCACCCCATTTGTACGGCCAATCTTTTTTGACCCATTGGTAACTAAATTAAGAGGAGTCCACTGTAAATTCAACGCACCAAAAATACAATTGAATTTTTTCACTGGCAGTTTACTGACCTGCAACCAAAGAATGTACCACTGTGTAACATCCTCTGGAATAAGCTGATCTGTCACACCTTCAAGATGTTTTTGAACAGCAGCTAAAAGTTAAAGATATTTTTAAAAATACAGAAATAGGTATATACCATGTATAGAATGCAAGAATGAAATGGATGGTGAAACAAAAACAGAAACTCTTCTTGTGCACTTCAATTTTGGGTTACCTGTTTTGGTTTGCACTTCTTTGAGGCATACAAAAAATATTTCACCCGTTGAATAGACCTGTGCACTGTTCAAAACATTGTTTGTGTAGTCATTAAGGACTGCATCAGTGGTCCTCAAAATGCTAAATAAAAGATATGTCATTACTCAACGAAAAACCATTCAGATGGTTCACTAAAATTACAAACATTTTTAAATAGTATACAGTCAAGCAGTCAACCTTGATATAACGGAACCTCTATATTACAAAGTCCATAGTATAACATATGATATTATTCACCCCAATAATAGTGAAATAAATGGAACAGAACCTTGATATAACGAATGCTCCTACGTTATAGCGAGGTTTCACTATAAACTAGATCAGCTGAAAAGCATTTGTGATCATACCATCTGCAGTTTGATGTGTGTTCTCTAGAAGACCAGCAAGTGCTTTGTCCAGTACCTTATGACGTTGCTGTAAAACAAAGCATCATTGCAATAATCATAAAATTGTCTAAGATTGTTATTTAATAAATTGCTGTGATAGGGACCTTCGAATACATTCAAGAAACTGCTAATAAAAACTAACCTTATTGTAAAGAGTGAGACCTTGGATGACAACCAAAGACCTTTCCTCTCCTTCCCTGACAGGAAGGTCATGCAGAACCCTTCCCCCACATTTGTGACTAAAGGAGAAGAAAATGCCAAGCAGTCAGAAAATTATACATTTAATTATAATAAGTTACTAATAAAAGGAGTAACTTTTATCACATGATGATGATGATGATGATCATGACGACTGTACAGTTAAGCTATTCATACCTCCTTATGACATCTGCAAATTCTGTTGCTGACCAAACAGTGGCTACAAAAAGCAAGCACACAACGTATCTTTAGCACATTTGGAGTAGAACAGATCAGAAGTGCCATATAAATTCCAAATCACAAATCAGGCCTTTAATAAACATACCTGGGGCGGCATGCAATGTTCCACTGAGGTTTCTCTGTAATTTTGTACTGTGCGAAAATTCATGGTATGTCATCAATTTTGGTTCCTCTCCTGATGAAAGAGGAGAACTTGTTATTGTACACTTGATGTAATGAATGTCACAGTCAGCTTAAACCTGCCAACTGTTGTTTCCTCTACTAATTGCATGTGAGTGGTGTACTGAATGATTTTCCTTTTAGGTCTTCCCTTTAAGACAGAAATACTGACCCTAGAAAATGCAACCTGTAAATTGATGCTACTGAAGAGTTCTATAATTTGGGGAAAGGGGTGTGGTGGAAGCGGGGTTCAATGATGTATACGTAGTTTGGAAGAATTCTACTACTTGGATCAAACTTGATACATAGTGATTTTTTTTCTGTAAATTTGCGACTTCTAGCTTGCTGGGAGAGTTTTTTCACTTTAGGTGTGTTTGTGGGATATTTTTTCTTAATCGTTTAACACTTCCCTCTAAAGGTAAAGTTATGCCGAAGGCTCCTAAGTTCAATTACTACTAATAATAGGGATTTGAAGATTTCTTTTTTCTGGCTTAGAGTTCATGTTATTAGTTTAAATTTGATTGCTTTTAATGTAAGTATATCAATGGGGGCTTTGCTCTTGGCCCTAGCTAAATATACAAGTAGACTTGTGATTTACCTGACTGAAGAAATTCAATGGACATATTGGTTAAATGACAGAGCCATTCAACACTTTTCAGCCATGAACCAGTGCGATTCACAAGAAACTGATCATCTAAGAGAAGACTGTCTATTTTGTCCTTTCAGTCAAATGAAAACAACAATGTTAATGCAAAACAGTTGATTTAAGAAAAAGTCTGCAAAAGTAAACAAGCAATCAGTTTTACTAATTTGTTACACACAGTTCTCATGAATTTGGGAGTTAAAAAATGAAATGTGTGCACCAAAGATGGCTGCATTTTTTAACTCTCTAGAATTTTTACACTTTGAGCACTGATAAATCCTTACGGCTCTCAGCCCAACACTTGTAACATTTGGTAGTAAACAGAAACAGCTGGCTGCCATGTTTGTGACCAAAATTCACATTGCCAAATGCAAATAGAAAAACTCCAAATTTGTGGCTTTGACAAAACCTCTACAGGTTTAAGGGGTGTGATTAGTATCATAACCCATCCAACTGTGTGAACTAAGTCAGCCTGGAACCATTAGGCCAAAGCGATGGTTAATTTTCTTACATAAATATACATACTTTTATACTGTAAATATAAATGTTACAGTTGTTTCTAGAATTTCGATTAGTTTTATTTTAATATAAAAAAGAATTTTGATTAGGTTTTTTAGATTAGTTTGTGCCCTACTTCAGATTTTAACGCCTTCAATTTAGGCCATCATTTGCCCTTTTAAGTGACTTTCATAAATAGTAGTTTTCATCATTTTGCAATGTTATTTAGGATGCAGTTTGAGGAGCTAGAAAATTTACTTTCATGTCTCTCCCTTCAAAGATTGATAAAACAAGGGCAGAGCAGGATGCCATCACATCCATGCCATCACATTAACACCATTTTTTTAAAGAAAATATATGGATGATAAAACTACCGCTGAGGCTGTGACTATCTAACAAACAAAATATGCCCACAAGATATCTTCAATTATTGCAATTATTGCCAAACGTAATCAGGCAACACAGTTTCATGTGATTAGAAAGATCAATCACATTAATCTCATGATGCTTTAATTTATTACAGACAGGCTTTCCTTTCTTTAATTACCATGATTATACCTGCAGGTAAACTTCCACCTCAGGACCAGGGTTTCCTTTAAGTTCTTTAGGACTACCCTCCACCAAATAGTAAAGATTTTCTAGGCCACATTTCTGAAAGTAAGAAAACACTTGTTTATGAATTAGATATACACTGAATCATTAGTGATTATCCTTCAAGATGTGTCAAGTCAGCAAGAGTAGACACATACATTAAGTTTCAGAGAGCACTGTTTCTTAAACAATTCTCACAGTGTAGACAAGTAGTGAAGTATGACCCAAGAGTCAAGTAATCATGATCAGTGTCAACAGAATGGAAGTTAGAACAGAAGCATTTCATAACCCTTTAATGGTGTCATATCAAGGACACTGCAAAGTCAACAAAGTTGCAACCCTGCATGACTGTTACAAGCAAATATGTTCAGTTCACCTAATGGCAGTTTTTTTGTTAAAATCCTGTAATTTTTTCAGTCAACACAATGTGCAGCATTTTGACAAGCAAATGTTGATTGTTAACCTTCATTCTCTGGACCTGCTTTTCAAATCGTGTGGTTTTAAGGCTTGACCACAAGTCATCCCATGTTTTTCGTTCAACAACCATCGGAAGAACCTGCAAAAAAATGAACAATCACATGGCGCTTCACCAACTCAACCTGCTGGAAGCTGCTGAAGAGCCTGTCACGATGTTTCAGACAGACAGCAGAAAATTAACTATTTAAATGGCATGAAAATGCTCGCTGTTTTAGCCTGCTACTCCAGAATCCACTAGCTTTATTATAAGGATAATATATATCCTGAAATGCGTTTGTTAAGAGCTTCATTTGGGGCCTTAAATAGACAAAACAGAAGAGTTAATTGTGTTTATGAGAGGGAGAACTGACCTTTCATTGAATGAACTAGCTTGAAACTGTTTTCAACTGGCAACTAATATATGATTAAAACATCGGCTGTTTACCATTTACATGGGCAAACCAGTCGGTCCACTGTTTGAGCAAATGGTACACAAATTCAGGGCTGGTAAATTTGATCTCAGAATTGCGTTTATCATTTGAATAAACATCAGTTCCATTTACCGAAAAATGACCGCAAAGGCCTGAAACTGGCATCAAAGACAGCTTTGAAGGAATGGAACAAATTTCTGTTTGGAATATTCCATCCAGAAAGACAGGACTTCCTTTTTGGATGTTCCATTGCTCCTCAAAATTTTTTGGCTGGAACCGGATTTTCCAGAAAATTTTTGTAAGTGGTAAACAACCATAATTTTTTGCACACCAGTTCTTGCTCTGGCATATCTCTGACAGTATCAGGATTCACCCCAGGGGGTAGCAGCACCCACAGAAAGTCTCCCACAAGAAGTTTCCTTGTCCTGGCTGAAAGTCCTCGCTGTTGAGCCACTCTGACAAATCGCTCTCTCAGGGGTTCTTCACTGTCAACTAGCAGGCAAACTTGACGATTTCTCAGCACTGGTCTTAAAACAAGAGTCAAAAGATCTTTTAAGAAACTATTGAAGTTAACTCATATCAGATTAAAGTGAAGCAGGCATTATACCAGCTGACTAAAGTGGTGGTATATTTCTGGTTTATATCTTTATTCATCTCCATATAACAACATGGGCACGTTAAACGTGCATGAGCTATTTTGAATGCTTCAGTGTAACTATAATACTTCGGTGTAACCTTACCAAGAGTGATGAATCTACCTTTTTCATCCTAAATGTAGATTTGGTTTTTGTGCTAAATTGGGTATTGCGCTACACAAATGAAAACGCGAAACGCTCAGCTGAGTCGATCCTCAACCTATATATTCACTTTCCTCTGTCTTTCCCTGTTACATCTGGTGCAAGTTAAACAAATTGTTAAAGTAAAATAAATTTCTACTCACCAAACGTTGATTAGAAGGAAAACTCTAAGGTTTCCTCGGAGTTTCTTAAGCCAAAATGTGACTCATCGAATACATGCAAATTGTGTGCATGAGTTATTTTTATAATTCTGTTCACTAGATTACTGTGTGATAACTCAAATTTCCTCACGTACGAACCACAAAAGGGGGCAAAGTCCAGCACTTTCACGTGCCAGCTGTGTGACTGTACATCTCATGCAGATTGGCTTTTCACATTAATAATAGTAACTTGGACGTATGAAGACCTGTTTCGTTTAGTAACCAATGCCCTAAAAAAGGCTCTTGTCTTTTAAGAAGCAATAGCTTTTTAAACATGAAGACATAAGTTGTCAGAGTTAAAGACTGTCTCACAAATGTTAATAAATGTTAGGTTATCAACCTTGACGTTGCATAAAACATAATTTAATTGCAGATGTTGTATAATGAAGCCGAGGTGATTTCTTAAATTAAAATCGATTTTAATTTAATTTATACAACATCTGCAATTAAATTATGTTTTATGCAACGTCAAGGTTGATAACCTAACATTTATCAGCAGCAGCATCCATACTAAAATATGAACCCTTAAACAGCTGCATCACTGTACACAGCGTTTGAATCATGAAGATATTTAATATGTTTCCAAACACCTGTAGCCGTAATAAAAGACGAAAAAGTTGTGAACAATCAAGATGGCGGTCTCAAAGTGCCCTTGTTCAACCTTTACCAATGTCATGTTTAAGTAGATGCTAAGATCTCATTGGTTCCTAAGCATCAACTAATAGTACCTTCAACCTTATTGGCTCTTGCAACAAAGATCCGAACATACAAAGTTACAAAGCCACACCACCACTGACATATGAGCTATTTTTTCAAAATAGCTCAACAATGAAGATGCATTTTGTTTAACAAAAGAAAAAGACAACAGAGAGAACAAATATAAATTAAGTATAACTGAAACAAGGATGATAAGAGCAAAATCATTATACCACTACTTGGCCTATCATAATACTGAAAGGAGCACAATTTCAGAATAGCTTTCTTCAGCAATTCATTGTAATTCTTGAAGAACTTCATCAGGCTAGGAAAGGTCAAATATATTACGATAGTTCCTTAAACATATAATAGCCAAAACAAATTGTTTTACTGTTGATGGTTTCGAGTGACTCTGCACGTCCTGCATAACTTACACCTGGTGGAGCTTATTTTAAGCTCCTGGCAAGGCGTTGAAACTGTCAACTGTAAAAAGACTTTTTTGGCTATGTTTACAGAACTATTTTAATATAATTCCTGGTGATGTTTTGTTCAAATAGATAGAGGTATATTGTTCCAGAAATACCATCCTATAATAGTAACTTAAAAAAACGTTTCCACTACTGATGGTAGGTACTATAAGCAGTATTATTATGTTGATCAAATATTAAAAAAAGTGAATAATTTGTTGATTTCCTGTAGCAAACATGATAGTAAAGGAAAAAAACTAGTATCTAATTTAACTAAAAACACTTAAGGCAACAAAAAAGGATGAAACATAACAAACTAAACCCAACCTTGCACCAGTGACAGGTATGGTTGGCACAGAAGCTGCTTGAGTGAGGTTTTGAACTGCATAATCAAATTCTGAACATCTAGCAGCTAATGCCTGACCTTTTTCCATGAGTGAGTACCTGCAAATTGTACAAAAAGTGCTCACTTGGATGTGCTTCTTATGTATACCCCTCACACATGGCAGTAGCGGTTGTTTAATCTTAGTCTTGTGTGAGCTGTTGTTGTCTGGGCAAATTTCAAAACAGTAAAGCAGTGATTTTGTTGCAAACAGTTATGATGAATCCTGAGACTCATCTTGAGGAACATCATGAGTCCCTGTCCAGAACTATTGAGTCTTAGCAGTTTAAGAAAAACAATTCCCTGGGTCTTAATGTAACCACAAAATTAACCTGAAGACAGACTCCAAAACACTGTATTACAGTTTACCGGAATAAAAATACTTTCCTTCTATTGTCAAGCATAACAAAGACTAAAAGAAATATGCATCGCTAAAAAACAGCTACGAGAACAGCCACACTGAAACAGGATATTCTACAAAAACATCTTCAGATCTATCAATCAATCTTTGTGTACATACCACAAATTGTTTCGCATTTTGGGGGATTTTTATGTGTCAGGGACGCAGGATGGAGAGGTAACAAAATCACTGAGTAAAGGGAAAGCACAAATGTGTCCTTGTGCTATGTGTGACCTTGTACCACAATGTCTCGACCAGAATACAATTTGCATCACATGAGAAGGTATAATCAACACCCAAAACTCACATTGAAAACAACTGCTTTCTAGTTTAGTCAGGAAGTTATTTTTCTCAGAAATTGTTGGCAGTTTAGCCTAATGCACTTTGGTTTTTAGGTTTATGTAGGGCTCCTCTGAATACCTGCGCCACAGCTGAACAAGGTAATAAAAAGAAGAGGAGGAACAAGAGACTGCCAATATCACTGCATAGTACACTGAAAATAAACAGAACCACTTTTTCATGCACATCATCAAAAAAAGACTTGCATGGAAATTTTAATGCTCTTGGTTTCCATAAAACCAGCTACCCTACTTAAATGAAGTTTCTCCTATCCTACCTAATGAAGCAATAATGCACAATTTTCTTGCAGCAAGAGTTTGGAGATTTCGAGTTCTCTCCAACGGCTACAATCACTGGTGCACCGAAAGAGCAACTTTCCAAAATAACCACATACTGATGAAAGACTTCAGTTGCAAGATGAGAGCCTCAATGCCTACATTGGATCAACAATCAGGGTCAAAAAGGTTTTCAACGCTTGATTTACAAAGTGGGTATTGGCAAGTTACAATCAGCCCAGAAGATAGAGAGGAGAAAAAATGGGTTGTGGTCCTGATAATGCCACTTGGATTGTACACTGCACCTGTAACTTTCGGGTGACTGATGAAAGGTGTTTCCAGCCACCAGCACTATAGAACTCCATGATAATTCACAGACAGAGGGACATGGAGCAATAAACAAGTCATTTAGCACAATCCAGTCTAGGGCAACAAAAAAACACATGATGTGGAGGAATGGTGTAGATTATGAAATCTGTGTGCAGCCAGAACGCCTAGGCAACATTATCCTCATACACGATACACAGGAGGATTGAATGTGCCACAGTCAACTATCTTACACCACTACAAGAGTTTGCTGATAACATTACAAACTTGTCCATAGCAGCGAACTACTTTAGAAAGTGGCCAGAGAGGGAACCATGTCCCAGCATGGAAGCGGTTACGTAGCAAATGCACTTAGGTAAAGACTTTTTGGCCACCTTGGCATGTCTCTGGAATTCTCATCTGATCAAGCCCTTTTTCAGAGGTTGGTGAGGAACATGTTCCTCTCAACCATGTAATCAGGGAACACGAAAAGGAGGCAGGAACTTAAAGAACCCTGGGAAAAATGTTGAGGATTTTAATGAGGCAGCTTGTACATGGAGAAAGTCCAAGACCTTGCACACTCTAATTCTCTGCATGCAATTGAAAAGATAAAGAGATGCTACATCAGAGGCGATCTTGCTTTGTTGTAGCACACATACAGGAGAAAATAAATTTCCTTCAAATTAGCAAGAGATTAGAAAAGACAATACAGGTTCTTGCTCATTGTGTTTTCCACATAGTGGCATTTGCAGTCCAGGACCAAACTAGGTCAAGGTAGCTACCAGTCAAGACACTTTACAGGGAAAGACAGAGTAGACTGGTACAATGTTGAGGCAGAAATAATGGAATGAAGCTTGTCATTACCATACACGGACCTAAAAAGTGCCCTGCTGTGGCCTTTAAGGAGTAATTTATGCTTTAAAAAAATCAAATTTAAGGTGATTCCCTAGTAAAAGAACCTAACATAGATTGTAGATGAAACTTGCTACACTGATGTAACAAGTCAAGAAGATGATAAAAAAGTAATAAAAAGTGGGGATCACCGTGCTCGTTTTGACGTCACAATGCTGAGAAATACGGCTATTTTGGACCCTTTGTCAAAAACCGCGCGCAGCCCAAAACTAGACAAAAACGAGAAATTTTTTCCATGATGCATGTGGTATCGCACAGAATTTGACTTTATTATATTGTTTATCCACTTACATACCAGAAAAATACCTTTTAATGCTCCTGTTTTTATTTTACGCTCCAAAGTAGAATTGAATTGGACACGCGCTATTCGACCCGTGATAGCTAAATTTTTTTCTCATCGAAAGGAAGCACTGTCCTTATTAAAATCATGAAATAAAAAATGGGGGTCACCGTACTCGTTTTTGCGGTAGAGCTGCAGAAAGTGTGCACCAAATGCATTTTCTCCGAGTTTTGAGAGAGGACTGGGGCAAGTTTCAAAATAGAATGTATGTGAAAGGGGGAAGAAAGTATTAAACAATCTGTTTTTACAGAATTTACATCGATATCACATTTAGGATACAATGTGATAAAGAAAGCGTTTAAATAAAAATCAAAGTGAGTAAGCACAAGTTAAACATCCACTATCGAGGTTCTCCGTGAGGAAGTCGAACTCAGCAACACGTGTACTGCCTACGTTATGCACATTCCCAACACACTGAGTCTCACCTCGGCAAGAAACAACCCCAAGCAAAAATTCCAATAGCGTTTCTCTTCAGTCAACTTCATTTTAATAATGTTACTTCAAATGCTCTGTTTTACGGCGGCCATCTTGTTATGCGCAGTAAGAGATGCGCGGTGCAAAACCAGGGAATCACCTTAAAAGCTGATTTTAAGAATACTATATGTGGGTAAAGTAAGAGATGAAATGAGCCTCAGATAAGGTGCTAATATTCTGCACACACCTAATTGCAATAACGTTGTCTTAGAAAAATGACAAAAGGAAAAAGCCAAATAGGAATTAAATAGGCTAATTAAGCCACATTCTCATGGTGGATTCATTTGCAGCTGTTGCATTTCCCCGCTGGAATTTTGAGTGTTATTGTCTTTCGGCTTTAAAACAATAGCAAAATTCCAACAGGCAAATATGACTGACGTCCATGTGCAGACGCTGCCGATGAATTCATTAGGCTTATCACCCAAATTAATTCCTATTTCGCTTTTTCCTTTTTTCATTTTCCTATGACAACGTTTTTGCAATTAGGTGTATATACTTTGGATTTCTTGCTTCCTTTTGTACAAGTTCATTCTTCATTAATGCATTTTCTAGGGAGTCAAATCCTCCAAACCACCTTCCTGCAAGTGAGAAAAAAGATAAAAACTGACCCTTCTAAAACATACAACTAAAACACTTTTTTCTATTGGAGTGGAATCTATAACAAAATGAACACAACGGTTTTATTGATACTTCTAACTATACTTAAAAATTTAGTATATTAATCAATAACTTTTCACCTTGTATTAATAAACACTGATTGGTCACGAGCGAAACAGTTAATTTGTTTCCCAAGAATCTCAATGTTTCCTGAGGTGGAGCAAAGGGAAACATTGAGATTCAATGTGACCTCAAGTAACCAATGACAATGCGCACTGTTGGGAAAAAAATGAGTCGTCATGACACCATTATCAAGTCTGACAAATTTTAGAGGCATAAATGTTATCAAATCTACACACAAATCTATCTTTAACTTGATGTGCTGTAGACATTATTTACCTTGCTTGATTTCCAAGTCTGTGTTTGTTAAAGGCTGTGCTTTGGATTTCAGTTCATCTGCAGTTAAACTCATTTTACTAGGAACTTCATTAGCAGCCCTGTAAGTATAAACAGAACTGGTGAGATGAATTGTAAAGAGATGGTCTTCTATGAAGTTCATAATTTCAAATTAAATGTTTTGTGGTGTATAATGAGACCTCATTACAAGCCTAAGTACAACTGACAGTCAAACCAGCCTGATTGGTATTTTTACAGTTGTTACTTCAATACACCTGACTATCAAGCCAGCTTGCTCTGTCACACATTGTTGTCATCATGTCTATAAGACTCAAGTGAACAAACAAACGGGACCTTGCAGGTATTGGTCTTGGCATGTGATAAGCTGCTTACATTACAATCCGCTTACTTCTCAATTATGAAAGAAATGAAGCTTCATTGCAATGAATTTATCGTGCAGCAGAGCACCATGGGTAAGAAAATGTGGTAAACTACCAATGCGAGAAAATTTGGTAATCATGTGACCGTACACCGGCCCACCGGCCCACTGCCCCACCGTCCATCTGCACCACAGGCATACCAATGTAAAATAACTCATTCCACAGGTATGGCAACCCAAATGTAATTCGAGGTTATTTTGATGGGAAATCGCATAGCCACCCACGTCTTGTGAAGCAGAGACAACTAAAGAGTCAATAAAAACGAAAACGGAAATTGTTTCTGTGTTCACGTTTTCTAAAGTATTAAGCTTAGATTATTGTTATGTCCACAAATTTCGAATATAGAGCAAGAGAAAGAGAGAGAAAAAGAGAAAGTAGGTGGCAGGCCAGCAAAGCTCAATGAGATAAAGGGCAACAGATATCTAGAGCGAGGGATAAAAAACAAAGGAGAAATTTTTTCCTTGGAAGAACAACATCACAATTTTGTAGTGGTGGTGACAAAATGAGAAATGCTAGCGGCCACCAATGCAAGGTGAAAGTGAGTGGCAGTGAAAAAAAAGTGAACAAGAAGGAGTGCGACATTTCAGTCCATTAAACATGTAACTAAGAAGTTTCTGGAAGTTTCACATTACAGTCGTGCAAAACAACGGCAAAGAAATGTACAGCAAAAGTGTGCTGCACGTGCAAAGTTTCTTTTTTGCTAATTAGACCGATCGTTGTTTTTCACCGTTCTCCAGCGTTTCCTTTGCCGCTTAGCATTACACGATTTCATATTTTGTTTGAACAAAATACAAATAATTATTACCGAGAGTTTTGCTTTTAGCCCTGGCTAAATCTATATATTATTTTACAAATCAGTACCTACCTATGAAATGCCACCAACATGGCAAATGGTGCTCTGTATGCCTGCAAAAATAAAATAAACTTAAGACCTAAGACATAAAAAGGACAAATCCATGAATCTCTTAATGCCAAAATTAAATGATGTGGGAAGCATAGTGCCTTAGCTTCTTTGAATTATTAATGGCGTGAGAGTTAACAACCAGTTGCCTTTTTTGTGTTGCCTGTCATCCTGTCCTAGCATCAAAGGCAAGAGATACACATTTCTAGTCCAGACTGCTACATATATTTGGTTCAGGGTAATTTTAATGTTTGTTTGCTTGCTACCTTCTGACCCTGCGCAGTTCATCCGTCAATCATGAAACAAATTTTATCCCTTACCTCAATCCATGCTATTCTTCTTAACATCAGGGATCACAGGGAAAATATTTATTGGGACAATGTGTTCTACTGTTCAGCAAGGCTTCTTGGATCTACTGATGACGAATTTTTAGCCTTGTGGTCCAGTGGCCCAGGTCTGGTGGTGTGGGGGTTCTGCCCTTTTTTCTCTGGTGTTATTACTCAGCCCACAAATGCATCAATATAGCATAGGGCCTCATGGCTGTGTTGCAGGATTGCCACCCATGGGAGCAGGACTCAATCTAGGCACTGCCTAGAAGTCCTTGGACATCTAAGGAACCCACTGTTCATTTAGTGACATCAGTAAAAGATGTTGCTTTTGACAATAATAATTATTTGAATGCTTGAAAAAACAGAATTACTAAAATCAGGAAAAATACCATGACCTAACCCTTTTTTTACCTACTTACTTTAGGGGTGTAGCCCTTAGACGGTGTAGGTGCTTCTGTCACATCTGAATGAACACAAGAAGCTTTGTTAGTGTACCTTTGTCATATTGACCTTTAACAGATGAAGAGCAGGTAACAAAAAGTGTGTTTTTGTCTTTGCTTTGCTAAGGAGCAGATATCACTGCCAGGTTATGACACCAAACTGCTTGAGCATGATACCTGAGGTGGTGTGTTTAATAAAGCCTATTGAACTTTCAACCACACCTTTCTTTGAAAGCAGTAGGGAAAAGGAAATAACTAGGTTTATCAGAAGTCATATGGGGCCATTATAATGAGATTTAATTTTGCTCTTTATTACCAAGTTAATTGTTCTGGGCTTCTCACCAGAATACCCTTAATCTACAGTAATATTTTAGAGTACCTGGCGATGACTTTTGGAAATGAGACAGTAAAACAAGGTCTCTCACACTCGGCTTTCACTTTCCTGAAACTGTCATCTTGGCACTAACCCCCCGTTACCTTTGTGCTGCATTAAGCCAAAGAAATGTCATTGTTTCTTGTTTTGATTTAATCTTAGTAACCCACTCCTAGCCCCTTTGTGCTCCTCCCTTCAATCATGTGTGCTGCCATCACACCTTTTAATTGATGATTTCGCCTTCGTGCTCCTCTATGAAGTACAGCTGCACAGTCATCACAAAGAACCAAAGGTGGTTGACAATCAGCACAGAAGTGAGTAGCTACATTTTCCTCACAGTCCTCACATGTTCTTTGCTTCTGAGGGGCCTTTCTGCCACCTTTGCCAGTTGCAGCTGGTCTTTTTCCTTTGTCTACAGTGACTCTGTTACCCTTTCCTCTGCCACTTACTTGGACTCTAAGGCACAAAAAAAAGACAGTTGGGCTGGTCTACACTGTTGTTTAGCAAGCAGTATAACTTTTTCATAATAATGTACGTGTTAGAGGATTTTGCACAATTATAGTGTGTAGTTGTTTTGAATAACAAGACAGTAAGTGGTACAAGATGTCATTGCATAACAGCATATTAACACACGTGAGTGTTTCCCTTTACCTCTGCACTTCAGCAGCAGCTCCACTATCACCATTTACATTTGAACCTAAATGAAAAGAAAAGAAAAAGAAAGAAAGAAATTACAGAACCACTGGAAAACAGATAGAGCCCATGTCTGCATCATAGCACCAAGAAGGGTATATTGTATAAGCAACTAACCATGAAAGAGTAGACTTAGTCTCATTGACTGTGTGTTTAAAATACAATGTATTTGGGAATGTCAGTTTTAATCCAGGTTACTGTTTTTGATAGCTGTTTTACATTGTAAGGTAATTGCACTGCAATGGAAACTGTGCAAAATAGAAAGGAACTTAGCTGTGGACAACTGTAGAGGAAGGCAAAGGCAAAGTGCAAAAAATTTAAACAGAATGCACAGGGTCCAGAGGAGATGTGTTTGTCGTTAGAACATCAAAACCCGTCGAAAACCTCTGAAAAAATGGGTTATTTTGATCACGTTACGGTTTCGTTACACATTCTATAGACCGCAAACCAAGAGACTGAGGGCTCGCAAGATCGGCTTACAGTATAAAATACGGAAAGGGAGGAAACAAATTTGCGGCCGATTTTCGAATCCCTGAAACTCAAATGGAATTGAATGAAATCGCCTGATTTTACTAACCTGATCTAGAATTCTTATGTATTTGCAAAATACTGTAGGAAAACGGCATAAGAAAGCGTCAAATTCATTTTCGGAGACCGAAATTTACAGCTTCTAGAGAGCGCTTTCGTTCGGTGTGCACCGCAACACATGGTGACGGAAATGACGTAGTAAAGTAAATGTGTTCAGGATCGGAGCAATAAAAGGGAAGCCTACACGACTTTTGCCTCATGCCAAAATGCTGCTCGTTCCAATAAAGTTTTTTTCCTCTGCTGGGTAGATTATGCTCTGGAAGGTTCTACAGCAAATGTGATTTTAGCGGGGATTTTAGCCACATGTTTCACACTGAGAGGTCATGACACATATCGATTTACTGTGGTTATTGTTTCTGGTCGGCAGGATTTGCCCTCCGGATGCAAGCGCATTTTCTTTGACCTCTTTTGAAGCGTAAAGCTTTTTATTACGGCTGAACAAGGATTCCAGTTTTCTCCAAAGTGCCTTCTGGATCTGAATAACTGAGCGATTTTCTTTAGTCCGTGAATGTAATGTTTTTCTTCAATGCTGTATCACGCTGGGCCCAGCTTGTTAGTTTTGTTTGGAGAATGTTAAATAATTACGGATAGTGATTTACGGGTCGTGTGTACTCTTGCAATAAAAAGTGACACTGAGTAGAGCGGGCGTACAAGGCAACTGTAATATCATCACGACTGTGCCATTCTTCGGTGGTCCAACCATATTGCCTCTTGCGTCTTTGGCTGTACGTTTTGCGACTACTGGGAAGCCTTCACACAAGCAAAACCTGCTTAAGACATCGAAGACTCTTGAAACGTACAACAAATGTCCAGTCTTGAAAGATCTCAGTCCTCACTTCAATTAAAACTCTGTTGTTTTCGCATAGATCTCTGAGATCTTTAAAACTCTCTCCGCAGCTGATGTTTTGATTCTCGAATTAGCAGCAGTCTGTTGCTTTTGCGTTTCCGGTCTCATTCCGACTTCCGTCACCGAGTGCTGCGGTTCACATAGAACGAAGTCACGTGGTACAAGTTTCCTCCCTTGTCCTTTCTTTTACTCAGCACTTCGTGCCTCGGTCGCCCTTCGGGCGACGTGCCGTGCGCCAGCAAGGATATGGCTTGCCGTTATTGATTTTCAAAAGTCGATCTCGGTCAGATAAGAAGCGAAGAAGTCGTTTACAGTAGATTTATAAAGATCCCACTGGGCTAATTAATCGTGCTAAGCAACAGGTATAGACATTTTTCAAGGTAAGTAATTCATTTATTCACACGAAACTCCTCTGGACCCTGTGCAGAATGATGTAACATTTACATACCAGTTCACTACTAAACAAGCATTAAAATTGGACAACAACCATGTAAAATAATGATAAAAGATCAAAAACAAGCATAAAAAATGTATGTCAGGAGAGTACAGTGAAGGGGAAAAATGTGTCTCCCTAAAGGTGAATAGACACATGTCGTCAGATAACTGGTCAGATACTTAATCACATAATCCAACAATTACTGACTCAGACTCAGATACAAATTAATAGGTTCAGATAAGACAGATGTCCAAATACTGCAGTTCTGCACTGAACGTGCATCACTCACTTGTTGCATGCACAAGCCCTAGTTTAGCAGCTTGCCGGTTAACAAAATGTCCAATAGCATCTTTTTCATGGATGTCATTCTGTTCATACTCATCTTTCAGTGTCTGTAGAGTGTCCAAGGTTCTCTGAGACATGTGAACTGGTTTTTTGCCAGCAGTTTGGAGATGCTCATATAACTGATCTAACTCTTCAAAAAATGGAGGATGCTGTCGTTCAGGACTATGAAAAGATGCAATTAACGTCACAGTGATTAAGCTACTGCATGTGACAAACATTATTTTAAAAGGGGGGCAGTGTAAAATGCAGACTGTGAACCATTGTTTATAGGGTTAGAAAACAATGGCACTATTGTTGTCACATACTCATTTGCATGGTGAAAACAATAGTCTTCAGCCTGCGTTTTACACTGACCGTTTAAAAAATTATCAATAACAACATTAACAGTAAATACAACCAGCAGCTTTCTCACAGGGAAGATTGCATCTAAGGAAAGGTAAATGCTCATATTTTACTTTATCTTTTTAAAATTATTAATAGTACCAGTTACCTTATAACCATCTATTTTAAAAATAACAAGGAACTGGAACTTGGACAGGAATAAGGGAAAGACTTATATGAAAGGAGGTGAATAGTCCTTTACATCAAGGCATGCTGATAATAGGAAAATATTTGGTGCAATGAATTATACTGATCAGTTTTTCCAAATTCGTGCTTTTAAATTTTTTACTTCTGCCACGGAAGTAAGGTTTAAGGTGCTTAAAATAAAATCACATAAGATACATAATGTGGATGGAAAGTAATTTCTTGCACATCACCACTACTAACTTGTTGCCTCCATTAAATAGTATGCCCAGTGCCATGTACTTTTGTATGACTGATTGCTCCAGTCCCCTGTTGGTCCTTGCATCATCTAACTGATTAGCAGCGGCATCTCTTTCTACCTCTCTCAATCTGTAGTAGATGGTAGCAGCCCACAGAGGATTGCTTGTTGTCTCCAGGATTGCATTATCCTGGATGTTATAGAAGCCAACAGTCCTGAAATCATTATCCAGAAGACACAGGCATAACTACTAAGTTGGTTATTAATAATAACTAAACTTGTTGGCCTCTCTTCAGGGAGGTCTGCCGATTAGCACATATGGATAAAATCCAGAGGCCGAGTTCACAAAGAACTTTTAAATTATGATGTATCTTTGTTATTGTCTACAAAATGTGCAAGAAGTTCCGTTACTCAATTTATTGCTACCATAGCAGTCCATCAAACTGTGGTTCTCTGGGGCCAACACATACCTGCCCAGAAGAGATTAAGGTCATAGTTGAACCACTTGATAAAAGGCCACACCATTCCACTCTTGAAGTCACACCTGGTTTAATTGATTCAGCACCAGCTGGTCCTGTTGCCTCCAAAAGTCAACTTGGCATCCCTCCAGGTTGCCCTTGAAGTTTATGAGGCACAAAGCAAAACAAGACCCAGCGAAAAGGTTGACATCAGATTTTAAGTGCCATGACACTGAGTTCCAACCAGGAAGACCAAGTCAAAGAGGTACTGACAAGTATGTCCAATGAGTTTTATAAAGACAGTACAGACCTAGGTAATACCACTGAGATCACCCACTGTTGGAAGCAGGAGTCAAATGAAAGTCTTGTAACCCTTACATTTTGCCAGTTATATTAATTTGGTTGGAAGAATGATGGTGAACTGATAGTATGTGTTGACTTTCACAAGATCAAGTCTGAAACAGTGAGGGATGCCTATCCAATTCCCAGGATAGGTGAGACACTAGAAGCTTTGAATGGAGCAAAATGCTTTGTTCCCTGGATCTTCACAGTGGTTACCTACAAGTAGGGATGTGAGAAGGAGGGTCTGCTTCAACCACACCCTTCCACCTTAACCAATTTAGCAGGATACCTTTCAGGTTGACAAATGCACCTGCTACCTTTCAGAGACTAATGGAGAGGTGTCTGGCTGGTCTAAATCTGAAGATATACCTTATTTGCTGCCACTATATTATAGTATTCAGTGACACATTGAACGAAACTCTTAAGAGACTGGAAATAATTGTCCTTAAACATCTCTGTGATTTTGGCCTGAAATTGAAGACAGCAAAATATAAACACTTCTACACAAAGTTATTGTCCTTTCCTTATCATGTCCCACATAAAAAACTGCAAACCACTGTTGCCACAGACAGGGTCCAAGGCAAAGGTTCCAGAACCCTGTTCAACTGGGCACTGACCAACAGGATAAGGAAGATCCTGAGGACATCATGGAGGAGTTGGAGTCACTCTAGAGATGAGCCTCCTTGATCCAGTAGCTCCTTCCTTTACCCCTCACATTGCAGTAGACCAACCCCTACATGACCTGCCTCCAGGAGACCACTCCGGCCACAGTTGCAACCCCAGCAGCTCCAGATCCCGACCCAGACCCCCACCTGAGGATGTCAACCAGTGGAAGATGTCACAGGAAGTGTAATGCAATCTGGCTGAGTATCCTGCCGAGCTGATAGCCTTATCTGTGATTCTGTTGAGTCTCAAACGTAGCAAAAGTAAGGAAATCTGCCCCTAGGCAGTCGTTACTCATGTTGATATTCTTCCACAGCAGAAATAACTGGAAAGTTTTTTTTTTGTCACATGCTCTTACAAGTGACCAAGTACATGGACATTCCATGTCAAATGTTGTTTGCAAAAGGCTTATCAGAGATTGCTTCAAAAAGTTTTTAAAGACATTGATACTGGAAAAGCTGCTTTTAGATGCAAATTTACATTCGAAGTTCCAATTTGACAATTTGACTTCATCACCAGGATTAATGAAGCAGTTACTGTGAGAATTAACCAAAAGGTTGCTGCCATTGCCTTGACATAACTCAAAGTGATGTGTAGGAATGAAATGAGGGTTCTTACCTGTCATCAGCTAAGACCTCATAGGACCCATCAGCTTGGCGATGATAGAGAGAGTCAACTTTAGCTGCCCTAACCTTCTTCTTAAATTCCTAGTAATTAACACAATAACAAAGAAAACAATGTTAAATCCCATAGGTATAATTGGTAAGTAGTGTGTAGTGTTTTACTGAATAGACAGCTTTATTAGCTGTTCAATGATGCTTTTATTCTCACAAGTCATCTTATTTTATGTTGCATACCAAGCATGAGCCTTCAGTTGCAAAGACTCACCCAAGCTTACATGTATGTACCAAATTTGATGACTTGTTTTCATAAAAGCAAGGGCAGAGTTGATTTTAGAGTTTTGTGTGCCTTTTTTTCTGCCAACACCTGTAAAGCTCATTGCCAACAGAATTGTTTACCTTGGATTTTCCATCTACTCATAACTTAAACAAATTCTGTAATCTGATTAGCTACTCAGCTGTCCCGATTTCAGCACTTTTAGGCCTCAGCCCTCACCCCTAGCTCCCAGCAACAACTGTAATAACCACTACCTAAATAAGAACTGTAACAGCACACTAGAAATCCTAAAAGTTGTTACCACTGGTATTGAAATTGTTCTATTCTACTTCCTTACCATATATTCAGTGATATTTTGTTTCTTGGGGGGGAGGATTGGGGGTGGCACTTACTTTAAGGGGACAGCTTAACTAATATTTCAGCTTCAACGGGAGTGATAATTCAAAGAGAGATGCTAATTCAGCCATTTTGAAAGATGCTGTAGGTAATTTCAGTCAAGGGCTTTCATTAATGGCTTGGACTTGGGATTTTGCCTCTCTACTACTAGGATGACCCCAGCTACTTTCATAGTAAAATAGAAGCAAAATGGTCAGTTTTGTACTCAAATCCAAGCCTACATATTTGATATAACCATCAACTTGAAATCTAAGAGACAGCATTGCACTAAAACTTTACAACAACTTTCTGATGGCCTTTGTGGGTTCTGGCCAATGAAATTGGAAGCAATGTAGAAGGTGGAGTTTTCGTTGCTGTGCCTTAGGAATTTACACCAAATTCCGTGACAACAATTTCACCGAGCACTAATAATTATAATGTAAGAGTAACAAAAAGCACCTTCAATAAAATTTTTCATGCTTAAAGGTTGTTCTGTGGAGCCCGGTGAGGGGAGGGGGGGGGGTACTGCCATATATGGGCTATATAGGTGTGTGCCGCTGTGAAGGGTATGGTTTTCAAGCAGTTTACTCTAGGATAGGGTATATAAATCAGAGCGTTTAGGTCCAGAATAGGGTATCATTTGTCAGGATCTGATCAGTTGGTTGAAGATTTTATCTAGACTAGGGAAACAGCTACTCTAGGATAGGGGGGATTTGGGGAGTTTATTCTAGTATAGGGTAGCAAAATTCAGCTGAACTAGCTCTGGTATAGGTTAAGGGTTCCAGGGTCCCAGCGGCACCTCCCCAACCAGAAATTCCTAAAGTACCCCCCCCCCCCAAGCTGTGGAGTCCTCAGTATAGTTAAACAACATGACAGTTAACTGGTTATGACTTAAGTTAAACTAAGTCATAACCAGATAACTGTCATGCTCTTTAACCCTTTAGGCATTACAAGTGACCATCATCAATTTTCTCCTAACATATTCACACATCAGCATGGGAAAGGGTTATGAGAATTACTAAAGTAATGAGAGCCAAGGGAAATTACTTTGACATTAAAAATTACCAAATTCTCGCAAATAATTCAAGGAAATGTGTGGAGTTCAGTCTGGAGAATTTGTATGTGGATATTAGGGTTTTGTTTTAAAGAGTCAACAATGTGCTGCTGATCACTTCACTCCAGTTCTTATAAACAAGAGTACATGCACGTATTCTCATGATACCGTGGCAAGCTTTTTCTTTCACTCAACGCACCCCCTCCTCCGCACCCCCCAACACGGCCACGACACAAAGAGAAGCTTATCGTCATACATTCACACGAATCCAAACAAGTGTGTTACCGTTGTGTTAGTTTACATGTAACCGAAAGATCACATAACACTATAAACAGACGAAAAAACATCAACTTCCACACATACGTTGTGAAAGTACTAAGCTTAGTGGGAGAAAAGTTGCAGAGGTAACGTTCAGCGGGAGGAAAGCTGTTATCATAAGCAAACATTAGCTCATCTTATGCTCGATGATCAGCGAAAACTTGAGTCTTACCTCTTTCACCTGACCAACTGAAAACCCTCGAGGATCGGGGATTTCCACAAACACCAACGGCTTACCAGCATGTAAAGGATCATATTTGACTTTATTTCGGATGAACAGCCGCATTATGTGTTCTTTCACATTTTAATCAACCCGACCATCTGAAATCTAATCCGAAAAGTACGTCCCCTGGAGCGAGTCAAATCTTTTCCCGCCTATTCGGAAATTTGATATTTCTCCTCTCCTTTCCCTTAGCGACTTCTTACAAGATTTTTAATTGGATGCTAGTTCTGCATAGTTTCGCAGTTTGACCAATCAATGATGGTCTTCTATTGGAAAACATATCGGCCCCAGTCGCTCCGTGGCACTCTCTGCGCCATTTTATTATCTAATCGAAGTGTTGCCGGTACAGCTTAGTAGTTTCTTCCGGAAGTTTCTTTACACGATGAATGCGGGAAGAGTGATTTGGACGCGATTCCTTGGGCAGATCGAAGGTGCATTACCGCGTAAACTTGTTCCGTTTTGGAAAGCTCCAGCGGGTGAGTATATCAGAATGATGATGTGTGTAAATGCGATGTTCACAATCGCGTTCGATCGACGAAGTTTATAGTATCGGACTTTAAACAGCATATGCTCATATTTCTTTGATGTTTGTTTCACGTTTTTTTAAAACTTCGATGTTCAAGGAACTTGTTCAGACAGTCAACGTTGGGTTTCTATAAAGACATCCTGTTGAAGGCAGTGTCACCACGTCAAACGACCTTATGAATTTAAGCTTATATTATTTTACATTGAAACAATAGAAAACCTCTTCCTTGTTTGCATAGCCTGATATAAACTCGAGAGGGGTTGGTAGATTTCGAGACAGTTACATGTGTGCAAACCCGGGACGAAGTCGAGCCTCTGCGCGAGCAGATTACAACACTACTGTATCTGAGCAAAATTAAAAGTTGTTCTCTTTTGCTCATGTTATAAAACAAGAATTAGGCGGCTCAGCGTGTATTATTGAGTTATGGTTGCACTTGGGAGGATTGCTAGCCAAGTGCAACTCTTACGCTTGATTTGTACTTACATGTACATGTAGCAGCCTCCCACATGCAACTATAACTCAATAGTACACATAGCCTGATTCTCAGATGAGGTCGTTTATGGCCCCTTCACTTCTCTCCCTCTCCTCTCTCTCTTGAAGGGGCTGCAAATGATGTCAGACATCTGAGAATCAGGCTATAGTACACACTGAGCCATTTACCATTTGTTAAGTGGATAAACAATTATTGGATGAGGTTTTTGTGATAATCTGGAATGATCAAGGTACCAAATCTACTAGTTATTGCTTTGTTATACATTGTTTTGAGAAAAATAACAACAAACGCACTATGGCACAGAACACAGGGCATGATCCATTCAATCTAAATTTCTGGAAATTCCAATCAGAAGTCAAATGGTACGGTCCATTTTGGTTCAGTCTGACCAGATACTCTGTATCTGGGTCCACCTTCGAAGGTGGTGCACTTTGACTGTTTGGACCAATTGACCAAAATGTCCCATTCCATTAGGACAAATTAATATCATATAATGTTTCCAGCACTGCTGTTCTCAGGGGCACCCAACGAGGATATAGTTCAAAACCACTTAACATAGCATTGTTGAACGTATTTTAGTATTTAAACGGTAGATATAGGCATATTTTTATCCCCTAAAAACTTTTCATCTGTTCAGATTTCCTAGCTGAAAGTCTAGTGATCTGAAAATTATAGGGATCAAAACTTACCTTTTCGAAAACTTCAGCCAGGAAAAGGCTCCCGAAAATTCTAGGTGGCCTTTTTTAGGGTATATATCCGTTTAAAATGGGTAATTATACCATTTTGTAGATGTTCGAAAATCCTAGGAGAGGCAGGCAAGCAAGAAATTTTACAACAAATGTTCCGAAAATTCTAGTTCTCAAATCTTCTTCCGAACAGATATTTTCCCGAAAATTGCTGTTGGGTGCCCCTGTGTTCTGTCTCCTGCTTATGATATTGCTGACATGGCAAGTGATAATTTTTATATCTCATGAAATATAAAATATTATTATATGAATGATATTAAATACTAATACAGGCCTAGACTCCATGAACTGTAAAGTAAGGACAAATAATAGAAAAATTATCATACATGTAAGTTGATTTGGAACAAACAAGATAGTGTGTGACTACGTTTTACAATTGAATTGTGAAACTTTCCGTACATGTATTTTTGCTTTCAGGTCCTCAGACTATCTTTTTCTGGGCGCCAGCTTTCAAGTGGGTAAGATTCATGAATGCAAAATATTTAACCCTTGGAGGACTGTTTTGGCTGTTTTCATTCTGCATGAAACAATGCATACAATGTATTTCCTTTCTAAACCTATTTAGCTTTTGGTTTAATCGTTTACATTGGTAAACAATGAATTCAGCAAGGATAGCTCTTTGCACAGGTACATCATTTCAAATCTGACCAATCCTGCCAGAGTTACATGCAAAAACCTCCCAACATTTTGAGGAAAACTTCACTGCCAATTTTGCTGTTTACCTTTTGCTCATTCCAGATGAAATATTCTCCTTTCCTGAAAAAATAGCATCCACAATAAATTTATGGTGGATGCTATTTTTCTCAGGAAAGGAGAATATTTCATCTGGAAATTGAGCATGACTACATATAAAAAAGAAAGGCAAAGGAAAAAAGGGAGCAAGATAGGAAGATTGAAATAGATTTTCAAAGAAAAAACAAAACAAAAAAGAAGTCCAAATTTAGGCATACATGTATGTGCATGTGCTTACTGCATACGATAGGTATGCAAACTGGCTGAAAACCAAAAAAAGTTTTTGGTTAATAATTGCAGCTTTTCATTCCTTACATGTATTTGGCAGTTGCCCAAGGGTTTACAGTGTTTAGTAGAGTTTGATTCTCAACATCCTCGGAGACCCAGGGGCAGATAAGGGGGGCGAGGGAAAGTCTAAACGGGCGGAAAAATATATGTGGAACGAAGAAAAGTAAAAGAACGGCGAGAAGAGAGAGAGAGAATGAAGAAAAGTAAAGAACGGCGAGAAGAGCCCCTGGGGACAATGTCTTACCAGACCAGTTCCAAACGGTCGCCGCCGTTCTGGCTTCTGATTGGTGCCAGAAAACTTGTGTTTTTCTTACACCAATCAGAAACCAGAACAGCGGTGACCCTTTGGAACTGGTCTGGTAAGACATTGTCCCCAGGGGCTCTTCTCGCCGTTCTTTACTTTTCTTCATTCCACATATATTTTTCCGCCCTTTTAGACTTTCCCTCGTCCCCACTATCTGCCCCTGGGTCTCCGAGGATGGATTCTCAACCACTGTTTGGTATTATTCAGGGGCTTGTATTTGCTGGAATAGCTGATCTTGCCAGGCCAGCAGACAAACTCAGTCCATCGCAGTCCACTGCTTTAGCTGCTACAGGTAACAAAGCACACAGTGCATGATTTGTATCTACATGTAGTCTCCCATGCAGCTGTTTTTGTCTTGTCATGTGATGCTTCTCCCTAAGAAATGGCTGTTCATATTTGAACTACATTTCCTTTCTAAATTGTTTTATCAGCCCACAGAAATGACCAATTATTTATCAGCAAATTTTTTGTGCAAAGAATGAGCACTTGTTGTATGGAGGTGTCCTGACAGAGGAGGCATCCCACTGCAGGGTTCTGTTTTGCTTTCATAAACATGGAATCAAAAGATTGAATTTTTCTAAGGCAAAACTGAAATGCATACTTGGGACTGAAATTGTTGCCTTCAAAATGTACAATGCTTGTTGAAAAAAGCTGAATCAGTAAATTTTCCATTGCCGAAATATTTTTTTGGCAGGAAACAGCTGATTTTTATCAAGTTAGTATCAGTATTTTTATCAGGTCCTGTCAGAAGTAGATGCAGACCAGATATTATAGTACAGGCCAAGGGCATTGCAGCGTTTGTTGCATACAATATGGCCGATTTACATGTACACACAATCAGGCCCAATTTTAGCGGTTCTCATACATTCTCTCTAACGGCTACCACTGCCCGCCGGAATGTTATTTACAAAGCGAAACGAAAGTTGCACCCGATCTCAGGTTAATGCAGCTTAAATTACACGCAAGTTGGGTGTATTTATCATGTAGAAATTTCCTCTCTTACTTTTACATGCAAGCTGCATGTTTTTTTTTTATGGCAGATCTAAAAGAAGTCATAAGATGCTGATCGATCACAGTCTCTTCACATTTAAATTTCAGGAGGAACTAACATGTCTCGATTTAATATAAAAATAATTTTGAATCATGTTTTTTGCATTCAAAACACGTATAGCTTTATTACGTAACAGTAATCCATGAAAGAATCTTTTTGTAAGTTACATCTGTAGAACTGAGAAGTTGCAGTCTAATTCATATACTGTAATCAGCAGTGTACTGTGTGTTTCCATTTAGTTTGTCATTGCGTGAATTTCGTGACCATTTGTTCAGCCTAATAGAATGAAAGGCGAATGTTTACTGGATATTCATTCCAAAACATTTAAGTTAAACCGGATGGTGGATGTTTTACATGTACGCGTATATTGTTCCCACCGTTGCGACTTCCTCTGTTTATTTATCTAAAGTTATTTCTGGTGGTCGAGAAAAATGAGTACTTACTGCATTAACGAAGAAAAGCTTGTAAACAACAGTTTAAGCAAAGAAAAGTGTTAATAATAATAATAATAATATTTATTGCTTTTATTGCACATTTTATCATTAAAAGATATGATCAAATGCACATAACACTCGAATAAGACTACAACAAAAGTTATATTGCATACTTTCTATATACTAAAGCTTAATCATTTGTTACATTTCTTTCCTAATAGGTAATTTAGCGTAACTCATACCAAGTAAGAACCGAAGGGGCTAGCTAGTCTAGGTGGGCAGTGTCTATATAAAACAAAATATGCACTCCAAATGGTGTTATATTAAATTAACAGGTCAACAAAAGTTATTTAAGCTTGTTTACTTCTTCATCACTTTGCTGTAAGGATCACTTTTGCCTTTTTGTATTTTCTCAGTTATTGCAATGATGTATTGTACTGATCCAGGTCTACAATTGGGAGATCTGGCACCACTCAACAGTTTGTCTCTGTGCAAATTGCTGATATTTTATATTATGATTGGACAGGATGTCAAAGGTTAATTTGGTACAAACCTGTTCCAGAAAATAGAACAGTAGCTGTGATTGGCTCAAATCAGGAAAGGAATGTGGTGCAAATGAGAGCAGCCATTTGTTGGTGAGGAATGCTGGGTGACGAAAACCGGCTGCAAGGGAGACTAGATTTATATGAAGACAGGCTAACAAAAAAAATTAGAAATTGTCTTTGTGCCCTGGATACACTTTCATGAAACACACAGCAAAGACAAATCTACTGGGACTATTTCTGCCAAATCAGCCAAATGAAAAGCACAATTTGTATATTGGTGATGATTACATGATCACATGCACAAAAGGTTTGGGTGAATATTCAGGTAGATGCATCCACGATCTGAATCTGTTGGTTTAGAATGCTGTCTGTTGTTGATGCAGTATTTAAAAAGTTGATTTTTTTTTTGCAGGATTGATATGGGCACGATACTCGCTGGTCATCATCCCTAAAAACTGGCTTCTTTTCAGTGTAAACATTGGTCTGGGATTAACTGGAATAAATCAGCTTTGTAGAATAGCATAGTAAGTAATTCCCAAACAATCAATTTCAGGCTGTAGGGTGAATGTTATGTTTTAATCGTTTGTTGACTAAGCTAAGGGTAAGCATTAAGTAAAGGTTAACTAAGGTGATTCCCTGAGAAGAAGTTACTGTGGCACCTTCCAAAAGTGTTTCCCACACTGTATGTTGCTGAGATACACTTAGGGGGAAGTATGCTTGAGAAATGTCAAGTGGTGTTTTGTTTTGGTTTTTGTGACACAGCTACATGAAAATCCCAACTTACAATATATTAACGTTTCCACAAGCATTTTCTACACTGTTGGCAGTAGTGACCTTATTTATGCTCCAACAACGGCAACACTAATGGAAGACAGACTAAAAAACTGACTTCTCGTTACACTGTATTCCAAGCTTTTTTGCAGTTATCCCACCTTTTTGCTCAGAAATGTAAAAGTGGAAAATTAAGGTGGATCTGAGAAGATAGATACTGCATAATTCATAGCCTTGCCATTCACACTCCAAAAAAGATAAAATTTGTTCATTTCACCTCTGTTAAGGAGGAAGGGAAAAAAATTTGCAGTAAGGAAGATGTACACACAGAGGTTATATGTTTTGCTCATTTACCCCATGTTTTTTCTGACATTCCCATTGCCTTCGCCGTCATATTAATTAAAAGTAGTTTAGTAAGCCACTTTGTCCTTGTGAATTTCGTATATTGGGTGAAGAATTTTTTGCAACATTTAAACATAAAAATATGTGGTAAATTGTCTTAAAATCAATTTCCAGTTACAGGTATTCCCAAGCACAGCTGGAAGAAGAAAAGAATTAACCAAGCGAATCAATGAAAAGCAGGAAAATAATTATTACTACAGTCTGTGAAGGCTTGGGAATATATCCCTAAATTTAGATTAGACAATGAGATCCAAGTTGCTCTTAATTAGCACTATTCACTGAGTACAGCTTCTTCTGTGATAATTTACATGTACATGTATTTCATAAAGGGAGATAGAAATTTCTTTTCATAAGTAGGTGGAATGTGATAATCCAGTTGAGTGTATGTTGATGACTCAGTGACTGAGGTTTTAACAACCAGTGTCACAGTAGTCATCTTAAGAGTTAAAGTGACTCTGGCCAATCAGGACAATGCTGACACTCACCCTGGGCCCAGTTGTTGGAAGGTCGATTAGCACTTAACCCAGGTTTCTTTTTCTTGTGTTCAAAGGCATTTTCTCGGACAATTTTCTTTGTTATTTTTAGAGCTTCCAATCAGCAACTTGTAGACAAAAAGAATTAAAACCGAAATGCTTTTTAAGCTTTCATATCTGAATTCAATCTTGCACTAACCCTGGGTTATCTTAACCCAGCTTCGAATAACTCAGCCCAGATGATCATATTCCACCTACTTATGACATGACTCTTAGGTTGCTTTTCTCTAAAATATAAAAGTCTAAAGTCAAGTAATGCAATATTTACTGGTATTTTTAGAACAAAGTAAATCAGTCATGACAAGTTGTACATGTACATTGTTTATACAATGTACATGTACATGTATATAAGAACAATGCACCTTGCTCAAAATGCTTGAAGACTGTACCTAAAATTAGGTTAATTTACAGTAACTTTCTATAGTGCTGGTGTAATGGTAAAACATCCAGGCAGTATGAAAACAATGCAAACTTTGTTGAATTTAGCAATTTGGATTTAAATAATATACAGGCTTTTGATAAAGTTTCCCAAAGGAACTGCACTAGTATTTTTTAGTCTTAAAAGTAAAACAATAATTGTCATATCTAATTTGAGCACCAAAACAGAGGGTAGGCATGTTATTATTCTTGAAGGTGTAAGAATGATGCAGTTGAATAGGTTCTTCCTTCTTAATACACATGCAACAGTCTGATACAGAAAACTGAAGACCAAAACTGGATTGTAAATTCAAAAGAACACACCTTTAAAATTATTGTGCTTAGCCTCAGTTTTTTAGGAGAGGGACCTAGAGTGTATAATGTACCATAAATTCTACTTAAAAATACATTTTAAGCTTAGATTTTTAAATAATTTTCCTCATATTTGTATTAAACATTTTATTTTTTATTACATTGTTTGTTGACACATGAAAAGAAAAACTGAAACACACATTGTATACATTTCATGTTATGGTGCATATCTATGTTATTTTTCTTTTAATCATACATTGTGGCTTTATTTAAAGAGTATTGAAAAACATAGCAACATGGTATTTATTCACATTATGGGCTTATTATTGTAAATTGCAAACAAGTATTAAAAGTTGGATGCAAATTATTGACGTTGGAGAAATTAATGTCTTTGTTATAATAAAGTGTAGTTCTCCGTCTTTCATTTTCCTTATTTAAAAGCTATGATTGTAGCAGCACATTCCCCAGAGTTGCCTCAACTGACAGTCCCTACAAGCTGTGACCTACCCCATCTGGGGGCCCAGTGTCATTTGGCATACATGTAGTGTGAGGTCTCCATTACTTTGTTCCTTCCTGCTTTTATAACCTCTGCCAACAAGAAAACCAAACAGGCTTCTTTTTAGAGACATTAATCATTTGGCTAACAAATCTTTCTTCCTTCACAACAGCACTGTTTTCTAAGTCTTTGAATTCGAACCCAAAGATGACCATTGTTCATTTCCATCTCCTTTATTTCTTGGAATTCTCCAAGATTCAAACTTTGCCACAAATTCTCCATCTTTTGCAGGAAGAATGCTTTTCATTTTCAAACCAAACTCTTTTGCCTGAAAGATTGCAATAATTGAAAAGTCATGAATTGGAATATTTTGCAAACATTATATTCAGAACATACAACCTTGCAAAAGTGTGTTAATCATCTTAGTCATGTTATCAGAAAGGATTGTGTGATACAGGATATTAAAAAAAAACACAAGTTTTAATTTTTCTTCTTTTGTTCCTCCATGTATATAATGCATTTACCGTCCATGTATGATGTAAAAGAAGGGCTTGGGATATAACAGATATATGCCTTAGCTCTTTATTTAGAAAAAAAATCAAAATAAAAAATCAGTTTCACTTAGGGTAGTCAATTCAGGGGGCTTACAAAGTATCCCTGCTATCAAAAGGAGCCTGCAGACAATCATCATGAAAACATGAGCACTAGCTGTCTAGTGAGTGGAATGTGATGTGAATGAGCGCAGTTACAATCTGGTAAGATTTTGCTGGTGGAGATTATAAACTTATGTATATGGTATACGTAAATGTAGTTCTCAAGGAGGTATTTTAGGAATTTTTGGGTGGGGATGTGCCGCTGGCATCCTGGAAACCTTAGCCTAAACAAGAGCTAGTTCAGCTGGATTTTGCTACCCTACACTACACTAAACTCCCCAAATCCCTCCCCCCCGCCCTCCCTCCCCCAATCCTAGAATAGCTTTTAGGCTGAGTTGTGTAAATTCAAACTTGCTGATTTTGTTTTTTTACATTAATTTTTGAGTGGCAATTCCCAACTAAAATCTTCAACTAATTGATCAGTTTCCTGGAAACTAATACAGTCAAACTTCTCTAATATGGACACCGAAGGGATGGAGTGAAGTGTCTGTATTGGAGAGGTGTCTGTATAAAAGAGGTCATTATGATGATGTCACTTTTATGACTCCACTTACAGTTTTAAGTGTTCAGTATCTAAAACCAGGCTAACACTCATCTTTAAACTGCCTTTAAAGGTATCAATTCATGGTACAAGACACCGTCTTTCAGTAGCATACAACATTGTACATCTCAGCTACAGACAAATTACTGCTGAAAAACAAAACCAGCTTCAGCATAATGCTGCATGTAAAAAGTTAACGTAAAGCACCATTCTGAAAGCGTCTTTCGTAATTTTGCAAGTGCCGTAAACAGTCACTAGAGTACAAAATGTAATAGAAAAGATCTTCATGCTATCTGTAGTTATTGAAGCCTTCAAAAAGTCAGTTATGTTCCTCTGTACACCTTTCGCAAATCGTTGTTTGGTGTACAGTGACTGGGCTTTATATCACCTTGCATAGCTCACCAGCCAGACTAGATGGGATTCACGCTATGCAGATTTACTTGATCACTACAGTGTCCGTAATAAAGAGGTTAAGTTTATATGAATTTACTCTCTGGGGCCAAGCTTTAGTGTCCGTTGTCCGTATGAGAGAGAGTTCGTATTATAGAGGGTTTTTTTAAAGAAAATATATGAGACAACGTTTTTAGTAAGCACAATTACAACACGGACCTTGTTAGACGGAACAGTCACAGTAACACTGATTCCAACTTTTAGACCAACTCTGGCCCTGTTACGACAGTAACTATACCATACATCAGAGGCACGTCTGAAACTATTGCACTTATATTACCACCTTACAATATATATAAGTGTTGCACACAAACCGATAACCACTTTACGGCAACCGCTTACTAATGTCAAGGACAAAGACAAACCGGAGGACAGACAGGGAGCAGTATACAAGATCAAATGCTGCAACTACCAGGCTTCTTACATTGGTGAAACCGGCAGAAACCTAAGCACGCGACTGACCGAACACAAACGAGCGACGAGGAACAGTGACGTCAACAATCACATTGCTGACCACCATTTACAGACAAAACATCAAATTGACTGGGACTCTGCGACATGTATAACGTATTCTACAGACTACTATCAACGTCTTACTTTAGAAAGCTGGTTAACTAACTTAGAACAAATGACACTGAATCGTAGCCAACAGTTACCAGCGCTGTACAAACGACTTATTGACGAGATCAAGCAAAACTAACTACGAGAGAACGACTGGAGAACTGACAATTTGACTAACAATAAACGACTGTTTAACTGTGACAATAGACGGATCGAAACGCACCAATAAATTACTGATTACGAGTCTTCACACAGGAAAAAATAACGGATTCCCAATTTTGGATATTTTTATGGGTATTCTTTAAATACCCTAAAATATCCGAAAATGGGAATCCGTTATTTTTTCCTTGTCATAGCCAATAACATCTGGGCTTAACTGACAGACGACCAATAACATCGCGACGTAATTGACCAATCAGATCAATAACCAGAGTATAATACCATCAACTGACGTGATACAACTCACTTTGACTCTGAAGATGACTACCGCACAGTAGGTTGTCGAAACGTCAGTCACTGTCAACAACAACAGTCCTATTCAGGAATACGTTCACCCGCATGATCAAACTCAACCTACTTTTGATATGAGACTTTTGTCAGGACATTGGAAACTGTCCATAATAGAGAGATGTCGGTATTAGAGAGATGTCTGTATTAGAGAGGTGCCTGTACTGAGAGGTTCGACTGTACCCTATTCTAGACCCAAACTCTCTGACTTATATACCCTACCCAACAGTAAACTGCTTGAAAACCATACCCTTCACAGCAGCACAAACCTATATATCCCATAAATAGCAGTCCCCCTCGTCCCCCCGCGCGGGACGTAGTGGTCGATTAAACGTTGCGCTACGTTTTACTTTCATAGGGAGTGAGGGATCCCAGGTTCTTAGAAAATAACTGTAAAACAATTCTTACGTCTTTGACTCCCAAAGCAGTCTTCACACTAAGGACCAAAAGACCTACACCGCTGACAGCTAGAACAGTACCCCAGCCCAGTGCTCTGAGGGCCAACTTGACCCCTTCTTGCGTTCTTGCATCAAAAGCTTCCGAACTTCTTCGACGAGCTTGCCCGATGGCATAGCCAAAACCACCAACTATTGATGCAAAAGTCACACCCGTTATAAACAAGGCCCCTGGAAGAACAGAAGCTGGTCTGTCGTGCTCAAACCTTTCTGGCGACTGTTGGTTTTCTTCGTCCGCCATTTTGATTTTCTTTCTAACAATCGCGGGCTCAGCTAAGCATGCGCTATAGAATGATTCTGTGTGAGACTCGAAGTTCGTTCCGGTTGATAGCGATGTAGACTGTTTCAGGTGGATCTTACCAGCTGAATTCGTTCTCATACTTCGGCACAGAGGAACGAGTGACTGTAATGACAGCTTTAGCAGCGAGGAAAAGGTTCCCGTGCGCGTGGTAGTTGTAAGTGATGACGGAAACCTCCATGACTCAAAAGAAACAATACACACCCATAATGTCAAAGAGGAATTGGGAGGTTTTTCCCGGTAGAAACAAGTTTTACTGCGATGGAAGGATTATTATGGCTAGGAATAATGGCGTGTTTTATTTCACTGTGGTGCTTATAGTTGTTACTAGCGGATTATTTTTTGCGTTTGAGTAAGTATATAAACTAAATTAGTTGATTCCCTTTTATATGTGTAGGATCATGAGGTCATGTAATCCAACAGGCATGCTGTCAGAAATCTTCGGGCCCTCGACAGTCGGCCAGGTTTCGCCAATTCTTTACCGTTTCCTTTATTTTTTAAAATTGACTTTTTCACTATTTTTACAAGGTGTTTTTCTAGTCTTGTGGGATATTGATTTATGAGAATGTTTTGTTTTGCCAATTATAAAGTGATTTTAATACATGTACCTAGGCGTACTTAGAGTTAAATTTTATTGAGCTTGATATTGTCGATCAGCATGGCCTGCCAGCACTAAGCTGCTTTACTGAGCTATGCTGTCTGGTTTTGCTGAAGAATGAAAGAGTATAATAAGATGCTATTGCTGGGGATATTGCCATTTGTGATTTAAGAAGAGGCATTACTTAGTTTGATAAAAGTTCGGTATAACTTGCAGTTGATTTACATGTTATGAAGGTAATGAAGCATATCAAACAGGAACTTGATTTGGTAGATCTTCCTTTATAAGCATATGGTTAGTGAATCCAATATTGCCAACTTGCTTCCGGCGGCAAGTCAAGCAATTTTTTTTACAAAATACGAGCCTAGTATGATTAAAATACCCCTGTATCTCAGAAAAATAGATCCATTTGAAGCTAAGAGTTTAGCAACTAAACAATCTTTTTTAATAGATGTAAACTCGCTGTCACACATTCCTATAACAACTTAAAGCCACTGACATGGCCAAACATGAACATACAATCTGTGAAATACAAAGTAATTAAAACAGCCGCCTATAGTGGCTTACACTTGGGCTTACAAATATTGCAGGCTACACGTATCCCAAATGTAAGTAGCTACACTGTATTGTCAGCAATTTTAGTGTTACAAGGCCTAATCAACACAGTATACACTATATGCTGGTTCAGGGTGCCTACAAGTAAATCAATCAAGAACAAAACATAACAGATTTAAGGGTTGTAGCTAAAATAGCAAAGCTTTAATAGCATTATCTACTTATTAAGGAACTTATGAGCTTATATTGTTACACAAAAATTTTAAATCAAGGAGTAACTGATGGTCACTAAAAATACTATGGCATCTGTGCCTTCTCCACAAGTATTGTGTAAGTTTAATAATTCTTTTTACCAATGTACAAAATAAAAAATATATATACATATATAAAAGTACAATAGGTAAAGGAAAGCAATAGGGGGAACTGAATTCCCATGTAAAAACTGCCCTCCAAAACGAAAAGATAAAACAATTAAGAATAGAAAACTAATACATAGCTATACATCACATGATACTAAGAGAAAACAAAAACAAAAACAAAAAACAACTAAATAAACTACTTAGATATTAAATAAAGAGGAAAATCCAAATTCAGTAGGAAATAATAAACATATGACTATTTACAAAGATAATTAAGTAATAAAGTTTTAAAAGAGTTCAAGCTGGAAGCAGACATAACGAAGTTTGGTAAAGAGTTCCAGTCATTAACGTAACGATTAAAAAATGAAAATTTAAAATAGTTTGTCCTTGCTGCTCTAGGCCTGATTTTAAAGTCATGGTTTCTTCTAGTTCTTGTCAGGCCAGTCAGATGCACATACGTGGTATAATCACTATCAGAATAGCCATGAATTATCTTGTAAATTTGAACCAGGCAAAGGTATTTTCTTCTAAGCTCCAATGTTGACCAGTTTAGTTCAGTGAGCCTTTCAGTGTAAGAATTATGAGATCCACATATCAATCGAGTAGCACGACGCTGAATGGGTTCAATACTGTGTATGTGTTTAACCAAATATGGATTCCACACTGGGCATCCATTTTCCAGAATAGGACAAACTAAAGCGATAAAAGCTGTTTTGATTGGCACAGGATCTTTAGACCCAAACGTTCTCCTTATTAGACCCAATACTCGATTTGCCTTACCAACAATGTAATTGATATGAACGTCCCACCTTGAAGAAGATTCAATCCAAATGCCCAAGTGCTTATGTTTATCAACAGCTGACAGATTATTCTCATTTATCACATACTGATGAACTTATTAGATGTTATTTCTTATACTATAGATCTAACATCTTATCTTTCTCTTCACTGTTATGGTTATGTTGTCTGGTGACAAACTTGTGATCTGCAGTCTGTCTTGGGTTTAACTCTGACTCTGACCACTTATAACATTTTTTTTTTCTGTGCCATCCCGAGCTCATGTCCAAGGCCAAACTGTTTTTGTGAAAGTTATAAGGAACTACAGCTGTATTTTTCTTCCTCTTCGGTGATATTTTTAGTGGTTATTTCACTTTGGGAAATGGATTTAAGTATGTATGTATGTATTACTGGATCACCAGAAGTTAAAGGACATATATTCTAGCAAAATTAATGAAAAGTGTGCTGCCTTTTTGTCCTAAGTTGACAGGTTGATTTTTCTTACTGATATGATTAACTTGAGCCTAAAACTGAAGTTATCATGTAGCAGAATTTTGTTTGCATGCAACAGGCTTTGGTGTGAAACTTGGTTACAGATCCATCTTTGAGAGAAGAGCACATCAGGTGGAGGAATACTCTGACAGATGCTATTAGTAATTGTCCTAAAGCTGGAAATAAACCAGACAAGAGTCTGGTTTATTATTTTATAGAATACACTTGAAGCTCCAATAGCTGATTTGTTTTAAAGCAGAATCCATTAGGAAGTTGAGTAATTTTATTTTTCAGCAAACAAAAACCTCGTACCAGAATAATTTCAAGCTTATTGCATCCTTTTTACATTTTCCGAGGGCTATAAATGTAATAAGTTATATGAAATAACTCCAAAGAAAAGGTTCGTATGGGAGCTCAAGAAAACAAACTTCAAAATCTTCAAATTTCACAAAATGAAATTTTACTCAAGACAATTTTACCTGTGTTTTCTCAGTTCCTGTGAAATTTTGAAATTTATTTTCTCGGACTCCCATAAGAAGTTGTCTTTGGTGTTATCACAGATAACTAATATTATTATATCTTTTACCCTTGAAAAGTGTAAAAAAAATGGGATAATATGGCTCAAGATATTCTGTGACAAAGTTTTGTCCACTGAAAATTAAAATTACTTTTGTTTATTAACATTACAAAGGTACAAAGAATAGGAAAAAGTATGCTTTAATTCAGATTTATTTCTTTGATTTTAACATTTTGAAACAAATTTTTCCACACCATGGTATTAATATATTTAAAGAATAGAACTAAGTACACATTAAAGCATGGATACCTGCAAGTAAGTAGAGAGCAGGGCTGTCCATTAGTTTGTTACACATTTTATGTACATGTGAAGGTTGCTGTTTGGGTTTCATTTGCACAGAAGTTCCACCTTTCTGTTAAAATGCTCTGCTTGGTATCATATAAGATGATTTTTTTTCTTTTTTTTTTTATTATTATATTAAGCAACCACCTAATTAATAGGTTGCCTACACTTGCACGTGTGTTTTGGAGATTCCTGAACATGAAGTTTACACAAATTGTGAAACATGTTGAAGATCAGAGAATTTTTTTTCAGTCATTTTTCTGAACTTTCCAAAATTGCAATATTGTTTCTAATTTACCAAGAATTTTAATTGAGAAAATCTCTGTGTATTTTAAAATTGTGAAAATAACTTTTTAGAGGGGAAGAAGTGAGTTTTACTGGTACTAAAGCCCAAACATGCAGTTTAGGTCCAGACCACAAAGTACCAAAAAGAGATAGTTGAATTGAATTAATGCATGTTGTTTGTTCTTCCCTGTTGAGAAATTTGAATACCACGGCTTTTGAAGTGTATGTTAAAGTTGTTATTATCTTATATCTTTAATAACTGGCATTGACATTGATATTAAAATTTCAATACAAAGCTGGAAAAACATGCAGAAAGCTTTTTGATCAGGATGTTCTAAGTATTTTGAAGAAAATGAAAGAGCATTCATTTTGATTTTTTTAAAAAAACTGTTTACAAATGCCATAGATCACTCATGAAACACATATTGTACGCATGTGATTTCAGTTGAGACACTGAGAATGTAAATTGAAAATGTAAACTTTCACCCGGACTGAGAACTTACCCTTCTCAATACTGACCATACTCCTTAGCTTCCTTGCGTACTAGCTTCATATTCTTCATGACATTGTTTTTCTTGCAGTTGTCCATATTTGTATGAAGAGGTTTCCCCAGCAGTTCCATTTATAGCAGCTTGGTTATTTATTTTTGTTATGTCAACATTACTTCGCACTGCATTTAGTGACCCTGGTATAGTACCACGAGCATCAGCTGAAGAAGCAGCTTACATAGAAAAAACTTTAGGTAAGAAACCTAAAATTGTTTTCCTTCCCAAGTGGTTTTGAACATATGTTTGATGCAAATGTTTTGTTTCTTCTCAATGTGTAAATACTTGTTCCATAGGTAAACAAGATAACATGAATATTATGCATGCCTTATATGCCACCATTTTAGTTTGCACAATACAAAACCTTTTCATTGATTAAATTTTCCCTCCTGAATTTCAAATTTATATAACTCTATCTTAATGTTAAAAATGTTTACAATAATGTGCATTTTAAATTTTTCTTGGTTAAGAATTTTCAAGCCAGTTTAGGTTTGTTACTTGTTTCCAACATTAAAATGTTCCTGCAGAATTATTGTATTCAGTATTACCAGGGTGTCAATGTAAAGTGTGATGTTTTTAAAATCTACAGAAACTCCAAGTCAGGATCCCCAGACATACCGTCCTCCTCCACGAGTTAAGGAGATCACAATAAATGGACAAACAGTCAAACTTAAGTTTTGCTTTACGTGCAAAATATTTCGACCACCAAGGGCTTCCCACTGTAGCATGTGTGACAACTGTGTTGGTAAGCTGATTACAAATTTTTTTTTTTAATAACAAAATTTTATAAATCATACTCAACAGCTTTACAATACTAATGTTACATAACATTGCATAACATTGTGAACACTAAAGAAACTATGTACACTTTTATACTTACAGTGTACATGTAATTTTAGCCTTTGATGAAAAGGCAGTTATAGTGGGAATTCTCCTACATGTACAACCCAATAAGTATAATTTAGTGATCAGTATCAAGTAATTAACCCTTTAACTCCCAATATCCAGATTCAATTCTCCAAACTGATTTCCATACATTCCTTACAGAACTAGTTGCAAGAATTTGACAGAAGATCATAAAATTCTCCTATCGAAATAAGGTCAATTTGTAAACAATTATTCCTGTAATAATGTCCTATTATAGTTGATTACTTATTCTGTTTCATGAGTACTTTAATTGTGTAGAGATTTTTCAAAACATCATCAAATTCCATGTAAAAAAGGAATACAACCCCCCCCCCCCCCCCCAAGCTACCTGTAATGGGGTATTGAATTGTATTGAACCCAATAATTGCCAAATAAGCCTCTTGCTTTTTATTTTTGTTAGCTATTACACACCCTAAATTTATTTCTGCTTACAAGTTTTCAGCTTGGGAGCATCCTTCATTTTTTTTTTTCAAACAGTGCTTTAGTTTCTTTGGGTATACACATAATAGCTTAGAAGTCTGTCACATAAAGTTTGTAAGGTTTACATGTATTATTATGTTGTAGTTTTTTTTTTATCTCGGGTTCATTTTTATTTTTCCTTTGGTTCAACTTCATTAGCATACATTAACATACCCCAAAACAAAAGAAAACAAAAATTACCTTTGATAAAAGTTAACTACAGCATCCTAAGCACAGCCTACTTATTTCATACCACTGTATCCTTTCTTTTCAGAACGGTTTGACCATCATTGCCCTTGGGTGAGTTTTTAGATTTAAATGAAATCAAATATTTTTCTTTGATGTTAAATTCATCTGTGTAATCTTCTTTATGTATGTTTTTTTTTTCCTAGGTTGGTAACTGCGTAGGAAAGAGAAACTATAAGTTTTTCTTTATGTTTCTTGTTTCGCTGTCAATTTACTGCTGTTACCTGTTTGCTTTTGTTGTTACTCATCTTGTAATGTGTGAGTCTTTATTTTGTTTACATTACTATGTTTACTTTGTAAACCAACCAAGAGAACAGCAGTTCACAGGTTTTACTCGCCAGGCTAAGTTGAAATGACCAAGAGCTATGTGAATAACGTTGCCACATTTCAAATTCCATTTCTCATGAGTTTCCTAGAACAAGCCATCCTCAGAGTTTATGCTTTAGAATGATGTCTATATAAAAGAGATCTAAAAGAACTTGAAGCCTTCTAAGATATTCCTATGCCATGAACCACTTGTTCATTCTCTTAAGTGGTCAATGTAATATCTTGCATCCTAAAATGAATTCTTGTACCATTGATATTAATAATTCATGACAATAACATCACAGCAATTTCCTGGTTTGAAGTATTTGTCACAATGTTTTGAAAGGTGAACATCATTTTAGCACAATTTAGAATCTGATTTATCAAAATGATTTATATGTAATTACTTGTAATCTTCATCCTTTGATTTACATGTACTTGGCAAAAATGACTTGAAGTAACAGGAAGTCTTAAAAGTATCAATTTTGTTCACATGCAATCTGTATGGGTGCTCATTTTTTTACCTATTGCTGAAGTGAAAAGTAAATGGTTTCTGTAAAAATACATGTATTTTCCCCAACTTGTCACAATTTTCATTTTTTGCTTTGTTCAAGTAACAGTTTATTTCCGCAGTAAAAATCTCATCTGTGTCTGAAGATAATCAGTTTTTCTGTTTTTGTGTTGCAGTATCTAAAGGAGAAAATAACACATTTATTTCTGCTATGAAGCAATCTCCAGCTAGATATCCTTTAGTTTGCAGTAACTATAGTTATGTGCTAAGTTGCATTCTCCTTGGGTAGTTGAACAAACACATTTTCAGTGTGAATTTTTGTTATCATATTTCGCTTTAGTGGTAACAAAAACAAATTAAATTGTTGTAAATGCATTTGTTGACAAAAAAACTAACCAACTCAGTTACTTATATACCAGTGAAGCAGTTGCAGTTCATTAAGCAAATGAAAAATTACTGACGATAATAGTGGTAGCACTTAAAGTAGGTCTTTGTCTGCATTCGTTAGTGTTAGTTTTTTAGGAGGGGGAAAATGAAGAAAGTCATCTTGCAGCAAGGACAAGTACACTATATGTTATCACTTACATGTAAGAGGTCTGCAGCTATGCCTTATTGGTTGGAGGCAAATGCTCTTACCCTTCTTCTTCATTAATGTTATGATCGGTGTATGTGAATCATAAACAAAGCTAATGGAGGAAAGATTTATGGATATTTTTTTTGCAAGTTAGAGCTCGGGAATTGAAAAGGGGCAGTGTAAAATGCAGACTGCGCACTGACTGCGGACTATTGTTTTTACGGTTAGAAAACAATGGGACTATTGTTGTCACGTACTTATTTACACGGTAAAACAATAGGCTGCAGTCTGCATTTTACAATGACCGGAACTGAAAAGCAATCATCATCATTTTTGATGCCATAACCTGACACACTCCGATTTTTTTTACAATGTCACACTCGTAAACCATAAGATACACTTAATCCAAATAATCAATTTGAGTTTCCTTGACTGATGCTACTATCCTGGAGGCCATCATCTGTTTTTTCTCAGTTTGGTCAATAGTTGGTTTAACTGGATTTCATGGATATTTAGTTGCTTCTAATCAAACCACAAATGAAGATGTAAGTATAACCAAAACTTATCATTATTTGTTTGTGTATTTAAGAGTAGAAATGCCAACTGAACCAGTTAAGATGAGGACAAACAAAACACCTACAAAAAAATACAAACCAAGAAAGCATATTGAATATTTATACCTGATTGAAAAAACATCGTTTAAGAACTATAAACCGTGGACAATGAGGCCTCAGTGATTTATAAGTATACATTCATTAGCAAGGCAAATTCAAAGTTATTTCATCAAAAGTTTACACTGACATGAGATGCTGGTGCTGATGCGAATCCCTATAATACTCTGTTTGAGGCATACCGTTGTCTTTTTATGCGGTCTTCCAGGAAAGCTTTTTTAAAAGTCCTATCTTATGATTTTCAAGTGTGCGTTAGCGATATGGCTATGCTCTTTAACCGCAGAGATCTCTGATGTGCCCTGCACAGGTGAAGTTGTGAGCTTATTGCCAAGAAAACTGGAAACCATTTGAACTTTTTTGGAATGCATCGTCGTGAAAAGCTTCGATAATTAGACTTTTCTGGAAAGAACTTTAAATTTGTAGTGCTAAAAAAATTCTACTCATAAATTTATTAGGTGCCATAGTTCATGGTTTATACTTTTCAATTGACAGCGTTTTTTCAATCAGGTGTATTTGAAAACCATATATAGGCACTGTGTGGTGAAGAATTAAACAAAAAAAGATCATTGCAGTTATAGACGCAGCTTTTGCAGTGGTGAAAAGGAAGCCTGAAAAAATTCAGGCTTGTCAACATTCAAACTGCAGCACTAGAGCTAGGCATTTGAGTTTCTTCATTATAAATGCATGGCAAACAAACGAATTGAATATATGAAAATCATATAAAGGAAGTGAGGAAAGGTACAGGAAGGTGGCAGGCATTTCTATGTGGAATTTAAGTCAGTGTTAAGTCAGAATGGTAGTGGTTCAATGGGTCTAAACCATGGTTGTCCCAGGGAATCTCCCAGATAAAAGATAAAATTAATCACATTTTTTTCTTTGACAATGCACTCGTCATAGCATGATGATTTGTCGGTTACACAATGCTTTTTCAATGGTAAATCTCAATGGGACTTCTTTTGGTTATTACTTCTCAGCCATTGAGCCAAGTATGAATTTCTTTAATTTGCAACTAGGTTATCAGCTTACCAGATGCCTTCTGGGCTGTCTCACATGCAAGTGATGTAGCACATTTGGGTTAAACATCACATACCTAAGACCCTATATCAACTTAAAGTTCATTGAACTGGCTATCATAAGAAACCAACATTCTGTGTAATAAATTGCACCATCGATTTTTGTATGAGGTTTTAAATATGAGCATCCAAATCTGTTTTCAAAACCTAAACTCAAAGTGATTAGTTTGTTGTTGTTTTTTGTTTGTTTGTTTTCTTTCACTAATTTGATTCACTTAGTCATCCAGGTGACTGAAGCCTCAGGCAGAATCAATCATCGCAGGTTTCCGATCAGGTCGCAGTACCACAGAAAAGATCTTCAATCTCAGGATACTGTGCGAGAGGTACCTCCAACATCAACAAGACCTCTACCACGTCTTTATTGATTTTAAAAAGGCGTTTGACAGAGTATGGCATAAAGCCCTTTGGTCTACTATGAGGCTTTATAACATCAATGTCAACCTGATCCAAGTCATTGAAAACCTCTACAACAAGGCCACTAGTGCAGACTACCTTAATGGTGACATAGGAGACTGGTTCAGAACTACAGTCGGAGTCAGGCAAGGGTGTCTACTCTCACCAACTCTTTTCATCATCTTTCTGGAGAGAATTATGACTGACGCACTAGAAGATCACCAAGGAACAGTTAGCATCGGAGGCAGAACAATTACCAACTTACGTTTTGCTGATGACATTGACGGCCTGGTGGGAAAAGAGGAGGAACTAGCCTCCCTTGTTGATCGCCTGGATAAGACCTCTGCAGCCTTTGGCATGGAAATCAGTGCAGAGAAGACCAAACTGATGACCAATAACGCGAATGGTACCAGCATTGACATCAGAATCAACGGTGAAAAATTGGACGAGGTTGATAGCTTCAAGTATCTGGGCGCAGTCGTCACAGATCAGGGTTCCAAGGCTGAAGTACTGTCCAGAATTGCACAGACAACAGCAGCACTAGCGAGACTGAAGACCATCTGGAGTGATAAGCAGATCTCTCTAAGCTCAAAGATCAGACAAATGCGCTCCCTAGTTATCTCAGTACTATTGTACGCCTGCGAAACCTGGACATTGACAGCGGACATCCTGAAGAAATTGCAGGCCACTGAGATAAGATCTTTAGGAAACTGCTTGGCATCTCATACAGAGATCACATCACTAACGATGCAGTCAGAGACAGAATCAGGCAAGCCATTAGGCCCCATGATGATATCTTAGCCACAGTAAAGAAACGCAAGTTAAAGTGGTTTGGGCATGTATCAAGATCATCTGGGCTTGCCAAGACGATTTTACAAGGAACAGTGCAAGGAGGGAGAAGAAGGGACCGACAAAAGAAGCGTTGGGAGAACAATATCGCTGAAGGGAGAGGGTTGAAGTTTTGCAACGTCCGTGGCGGTCCAACGGTCATTGACTACGGGATAGGTGCTTGTGCAGTCCTCGATAAGTCAAAACGCTAAAAATACATGTTGGGGTTTTGCCATTTTCTATTGCCATGAAAAGTGTGAGAACAATAATGGAAACAGGGCTAAAACAGTTGGCTAACGATACGAAATGTCTCTCAACCAAAACGTATTAGGGAAAAAAGAATTCTCAAACATGTTTTTGCTTTTTACACATTAAAATAACATTCCTCAAAATTCTAGGTCAGTCAAACAAATTCCTTTTGAGTGTTAGCATAAGAAAGCTGATTCAGACGCACTGATTAAAAAAAATCATTAAAAACTGATAGTGCAAATTTTCAAAAACTTGTTGGTTTATTAAGATAGCCACTCCAAAAAGCTTTAATTTAACATAGGATTTTGGGTATCTCCCGTTTAACTGGGTTGTGTTATATCACTTGCAGAGGAGACACCCTTGAAGGTATCCTGTAACAGCCGAAATTCCTTTTTCCCGCTATATTATAATAATTGTCGTAATCTTTCATCTTCTTTTTTCCACTTTTATTATTTGACATCACTTTTGTGTTTTACATTGTAAATAACCCAACTCAGCAGCTATCAATACATGAATTGAGTGTATGTATTATGTACTCACACACTNTTACACATTAAAATAACATTCCTCAAAATTCTAGGTCAGTCAAACAAATTCCTTTTGAGTGTTAGCATAAGAAAGCTGATTCAGACGCACTGATTAAAAAAAATCATTAAAAACTGATAGTGCAAATTTTCAAAAACTTGTTGGTTTATTAAGATAGCCACTCCAAAAAGCTTTAATTTAACATAGGATTTTGGGTATCTCCCGTTTAACTGGGTTGTGTTATATCACTTGCAGAGGAGACACCCTTGAAGGTATCCTGTAACAGCCGAAATTCCTTTTTCCCGCTATATTATAATAATTGTCGTAATCTTTCATCTTCTTTTTTCCACTTTTATTATTTGACATCACTTTTGTGTTTTACATTGTAAATAACCCAACTCAGCAGCTATCAATACATGAATTGAGTGTATGTATTATGTACTCACACACTTCTAGAACCCATTTTTCAAGATCTTGTTTTGATTAACTAAAATTAATGTATCTATTTGTTTCACAGATAAAAGGGTCATTTTCTTCACGGAGTGGACAAGGAAATTTTAATCCATACAGTGAAGGCTCAATGTTGCAAAATTGTGCTGCAGTGCTCTGTGGTCCTCTTCATCCTAGGTATATTCATAGAAAAATGTAAAAAATTAATTTTGGTGATCAAAAGGAGTTTTGTTGACAGTGACTAGCATGACCTTCCTGATTCAAATGATTTACTTTGCTTTTTTGTTGTTGAATATTACAGTTTAATTAACAGACGAGGACTTATCATACCTGAACCTCCTGAATCAGACAAGTATGGAGCAGTTAGAACAACTACAGCACCTATGGTAATTAGGGACTTGTTGCTAAGTTCTTGGTAGAGTTATAAATCGTGAAGCTATTAACTGCTTTAGGGTTAGCTCACTTGCTCAAAATCGTACAATACATGAGAACAAAGATGCTGCCTTCAGGGACCTGTACTGGGATAGTGACCACATATGAATAAGAGCTCACTCTTAAGCAGGGAACAGTACTCCCCCAAGTAAATACCTCACTAACTGAAGTTTATGTCTTTTTCTTGCCAAGAGCAGGACTGTCATTAAGGTTTTAAGAAGCTGGTCTCCCGGGAAAAGTAGAGAGTCATTTATCCCACAAATCCTCCTATTTTTGTTATGTTTGATTCATTTTGAAATTTAGATTAGCCAGCTGATTTTACTGTAGTAGCCGGCTCAAATAGCCAGTGGCTGGCTACTCATGACAGCCCTGCTGCTGATTTCTTTTTCTTTTTTGGATCTTTAGTCTCCAACACAGCTAGGCTCAAAGAATGGTGTCACTTACGATTCTAGTAGAACAGAAGAAAAACAAAAATTGGAGTCAAGTGTCCAACAGCAAGATAGTCTTCAAGCTGATAGTGAAAGAGGACTGGTTAAACTAAGCAGTGTGTAGCGTCTCTGTTGTAATGCATGCCCCCAACCCCCCGGCCCATAGGTACACAACTGAACAGGAAAGTTTCAAACCTAGAACCTGTTTCTCATGTGCCGGGTCCAGAAAGCCGTTTTATGTTTGCAATGTTTATGTGCAAGATTTAGTTTTTTATAATTTGGAAAGTGGAGAAGTTTATGAGATAGGACCTGCAGTCCAGGTCTTAAGATTTTGATTTTAAAACCTGGCTTTGGGCCAGCAAAGTTACTGGGACTTCTAAGAAACAGGCAGCCAGTAATCACTAAGGGATGATCGAGACGGAAAGTTTGCCTAGTTGGAAGAAGTGATGAAAATGTAGTGTAGTCTTTTCAACCCCTGGGCTGAGTGATTTGAATAAAAAAGTTACAACATGCTCATGAAATACTGAAAAGATTAACAACAATGATTATTACACGTAGGGATAAGCACACAAACTCAGAGGCTGGAACTACTGTGTGTAACATAATACAATCTGCAGCTCTACTGGAAAGTACTGCTATAGGGCTTTCTTACACTATCTTATAGAGTAATGGGTAACTTAATGAAAATTATTACAGTATAAAATAACTATAGCAGCTACCCAATTGTAGTTTTTATAGGAACATTTCTTCTTTTGTACTGCATATCTGGAGTCATATTTATGATTTGTTTTGTTTTTTAGAACTGACAGGTTATATTTCAAATTGTCAAATCTTCATGTGAAATATGCAAAGAACTCCGTACAAAGAAAACAAATTTTCACATCAGTTTTTGGGGAATGATCGTACGCCAATGAAAACCTCTCTAAAGTGGTTCAAAATGGTTTCCAGCTTTCTTCATCTCGTATACATTTATGGACTGATAGTAAAACCCCTTTCATTTATCTTAAAATGAAATGCAAAATAATAATGATGATAATAATAATGATGATGATGAATAACTTTATTTTAGTGTCAAGGTATTTAGCTTAACAGTTAGTTAATTGGGGACACTTTCCCAAGTACTGGCCTACTAATCTATTACATGATCTTTAAATTAATGATCTTACCTAAAACCTAAAACTATATACAAGTTATAAAGTAAATACGTTGAAGCGATTTATATGTATATATTTTAGTTACCTTACCATCATGAATTTAACCTGTTAGTTTTGTCAGTGACCCTCATTGTCGTAATATTGTTGAATGTCATTGGCATGTCAAAGTTTGCATTTTCAGAGTTCAAAACATTTCTGTCAGGTGGATTCAGGGCCCCTTGAAGTTTTCAAAAATTTGAAAAAGCTCTGAACCCACTTAATGGGAATTTTTTATACTTTGCAGAAAGGTAAATTTTGACCTAATAATTACAATTCATAAAAAAATGGGGATCAGTTATAAAGCTGCTATGGCAACTTGTCATGTCTTCAAAAAAAAAATTTCGTAACTCATTTGGGGATTTCTTTGCTACCGTTATTGTAGAATCAAATGAAAATGTTTTGTTGTATTGATCCATAAGTGTTGTAGTCCTGGTGTTAGACCTCGAAATTCTGGAAACCGTTGTGAACCACTTTGGTTAGAAAGCCTCGTGTTCTTTTAGATCATAATTATATTTAAACTATGATATTCATTGACCTCTTACACTGATTTTTTAAACTTGTATGATTGGTAGTTGCGCATGTCAACCTGTCGTATCTATCAGTAAGCATGACTTTACTTATATTCTATCAAAAGGAGAGAGATTAGTATTAATAGCTGTGTTCGGATTTGTATATAGCTAATTCAGTCAACTCGTTCTAAAACAGCCATCTTTGAGGCTGACACTAAGTTTCTGACTAAGAGAGGTGTCCGCCATTGCAATGAACAAAGAACAGCAGGGGCCAGTTGAAGCTGGTGGCCATGTTAGCGGGGAGTTGAAGTTAAGAGGTAGTTGACTGCTGCTTCTGACAAGAGTATTTCTAGAAAGAGAGTATCTTGGGAACGAGGTTATGTGTACAATATTGTGTCAAAGTCTCTTTTAGTCTTTTTAAAAACTTTATTAATATTAATTTCGTGCCCACTTTATTTCATGTAAAGTTTTCTCGTCTCATCCCCAACTTATCCTTATCCCATTATCAAATATTTTTATTAGCTGACATGGTTTAACATGGTCTGTGGTTCTTTCATTTAAAACGTGATATATATGCATTTTCCACTTTCAGTCATTCATATATTTTTGTTTGGTTTTGTAATTAAACATGTCTTACAAGATGATGGATATCGTACTACTTGAAAAAATGTTCGAGTCAAACTAGCTTGATGAATGACAATGAATTTACTGTAAACTCCCAGGGTACTGAATGGCTTGCACTTACAATTGTGTCGTATCCGGCTATTATTCATCCATTCATACAGTGTCCTATCAGGAGAAAAGAAATACATTCTAGTAACGATGGTTTGCAAACACCGTTAAGGTAGGGGAGCTGTCCACACGAATCCTGTCGGTCTGAAACCGCGTATCCGGTTTCAATTTTTTTTTGCAAATCCGTGTAGGGGTTCAAAAACACTACTCTGGAACTATGTTGGTTCGGTGAGCGGATCACTGGTTTCGTGTGGAGGGAGACGTAGGTCACTTACCATTTACCTGGGCAAACAGGTCGGTTCACGATTTAGGCAAATTGTAACCAAAATACGGGACTGGTAAATTTCGTCCCATCGCGTTTACTATTTGTACAAATCAGTTTCATGCACCCGAAAACCATCGCGAAGGCCTGAAACTGGTAATAATGATGGCTGTTACGACTTCTAGATATTTCGAGTAACAACAATTTGCCATCTGGAACAACTCGTTCAGTTAAAATAAAGTCTTAAAAAGTCGGGCCTTAAAACCATTCCGCATTTAATAATTCTTAAACACATATTTCACTAACAAATGCGTGTGGACCGTGTAGTCAAACACCACAGTGGTATGTAAACTACCAAAAGATTACCAAATGCAAGTGCACAATCACATGACAGTCTACAACCTGTACCCTAAAGCACAGTAGTCCGCCTACATATCGTGAATTCCACAACACAGAAACAGTTTTATTCTACGTGTGAGCGTGATATCCTTATGAACATGAACAAGTGGCATGTTGTCACCCTACTTGTGCTACTAGATCTGCTGAGTGTTGGATTTGATACTGTAGATCAAAGAATCTTGCTTGATCGACTACGCTCTAGTTTTGGAATATCAGGACTAGTGCTGTCATGGTCCTCAAACTACCTCAATAACCGCTCTCAGTTACTTTATTTCAGTAAATGGCGCAAGCATTCTTGACTAGCGGGGCGGTGTGCCTCAATGGTCGGGCCTTGTCGCTCTGCTTTTTGTCATATATGCAAGCAAACCGTTTAGCGTACTAGAACATCAGCGGCAGACGTACATGCTTACGAAGATAACGAGGCTAACCTGGCGTGTTCAATCTATAGAAACCGATATCGAAAAACCAATCGATAACTATCGATACCAGGAGCCCATCTCCTGTCATGATACATACTAATCAAATCCTTCCTTCTAGCCATCGGCTGGAGCTATCCCCATGATCTTTTACACACGTTTTTAAAAATATTGAAACTGCTGTTACAGAAAATGCTCTAACAGATTTCGCGTAAACTTCACGAACATCGAGGCGGCTATTGGAGGAAAAAGCTCCGGTGAACGATTTTGGAAGAACAGTTCCCAGTGCCGAGAAATACTGCTGCAAGTAAAATAGGTAACGGTGTCATTTCGTTGCTTTGACAAATCCGATGTCATTGCAACCGTGATCATAAACAAATTTTCATCTTTATCTAATACAACTATGGTGGCAATGTTTCCAAATCTTTGTTTATGGCGACGTAGTTTATTTTATTTATTTGTTTATTTTTTATTTTATTAGCTTCGCCAACATGATATAAATACATTCAGGTAATCAAACAAAGTTAAAAATAAAAGTGGCATCAGTTTTAACTTAATTTTGTAAACTGGCAAACGTGTATGACGTAGCTGGGAAATTGTTCTGGCGCATTGCTTATTTAGATGGCAGGCCTGATCTGATGCCTGGCTTTTCCCGGCCGGTATGGAGGTGAGAAGCTTTCCACTGACTGGTGCTTTGACAGTAAAAAGTGTTTTACATAAAAAAAATGGTATCCCCAGCGACTAAAAATACCTTTCTCAACCCGGTAAATAAGCAACTTCATGGCCCTAGCAAGGCTGATACTGATTCCCGTAATGATTAAACAATAGTTTACAATACTTTAATTAATCACGGTTGTTCTTCACTTAAAGGTCATTTTAAAAACAGCTGCTTTGAATGCAGTCTTCAAACCGTCCATGAACTTCATTGGACCAATATCTCTATTGGCTAACGAGGTGTGAAAAAGCGTTTTTTAAGTTGAGAGTGGTTAACCTGACAACAATTCAGGAAGCTGGTGGCAATTATGATCTGTCTTCATTTCATAAAGGGTTTCCTAATTACTGATGTTTACCACAAGATCTGTGTCAGAGTAATACACGGAGGGTACTCATGATGGAGTTTGAAAGAGAACTCGGTTCACCAAATATAACTACAACAAACGGTGTTTCTTTGAACACCACTGAAACACGGGGCTTTCCCACGCCAGAAAGTGTGGCTTTTAAAACATTCAAACTGTTTTGTTATTCGCTGGTTTTCCTCTTGGGCGTCATTGGTAACATGCTGGTGTTTCGCATGGTCGTAAAGAGAAGAAAACTTCGAACTGTTGGTAATGTCTTCATTTGCAATCTCGCTGCCGCCGATATCGCCGTCTTAACCGTAAATCTTCCAATTCGCTTGGCATACCAAGAAAACTCGTATATATGGCCGTTTGGTGCCTTTTTATGCAAAATAATACCAATGTTAACGTATCTTTTTATAACCGCTTCGTCTGCAACTCTAGTACTTATGACAATTGACCAATACCGAGCTATAGCAGTTCCGCTGGGGCGTCGATTTACTGTCAAAATTACAAAAATAGTGATTTTTTCCATTTGGGTGTTTTCTGCCCTTATAACTCTGCCGTTTAACTTCGCGTTAAAGCTGGTTGAACAAGAAAGAGGCCTAGTATGCACGGATGTCTGGCCAAGTCTGGATTTTGAACGTTTTTATTTTCTCTGTCTATTCGTGGTACAGTTTATTATTCCGATGACTATCATAAGTTCTTGTTATATTCTTATTTGTAACCACCTTCACTCGAGCTCAAGACTTGACCACATTACTTCAACCAAGCAACGGAACAAAAAGGTACGTAAAAACAAAAACAGTTAAACAATAATATATCGTTCAACTGTTATTTTAACGTAGATTTTTTCTCCTTTTTTACCACTGAGTGATTTTGTATTTTTTTACGGTCTATAATAAAATGCCACAGGAGTTCACACCTTGCAGGAACCACAAAAATTTAATTTATTCGAAATTAAATTAAATTTTTTTCCACCTCGTCAAAAAGTAATTGATTGATCGTCGAAATTTGAAATTTCTACAATTCAGGGAAATATAGGCGAGCTGAGAATTAAGCGACAAGAACAATAATTGCCTCGTTTACCCACTCTCAACTTCAAGAAGACGGTTTTACAAATGCAGCTGATATTGGTTTAATTGTTTAAAGGCCTTATTTTTTAAAAGAATATATATAATGCAGCCTAACTAGACTTTATCCAAAAAGGACATTACCATGGTAACAAGACATGTATAGCTAGCTAGATGTTTATCTTTTCACGAAGCCCCTTTATCACTAATTCGTGGGGCTGGAAAATATATGCAGAAATAACTAGTCAGTCATATTATGAACTGAAATCTATTTACTTAGCTAAAAATAAAATATTGTTATGTATATAAAAGCATTGTCGCTGCTAGACTGTTTGTAAATAAAGATGATTAGCTGTAAAGTTGACCGATTATCAAAAGAGCTGAGGCACTGAGCTACCCGGCAAAAACAGATTCAAGAGTGACCTACAAAACTAAGATGTCGGTATCTTAGCCCTTTGTGTCGAAATTTTTCTGTTGTAAAATATTTCAGTCGTAAGATCGTTAATGACTGATCGAATATAATCATAAGCTGTTTTGCTGTTTTTTTTTTGTTATTGAATCGTTCGACGGTGAAATAACTCTAGTTACGCGCTTAGTGGTCTTCATTTGCTTAGCCAAATCACGGCAATAGTTTGAAGTTTATCATTGGCCCGGTAACTCTAACAGATTTTTTTTTTTACATTACTATCGTGCATAAAGAGTCATTACCGCTTGTGAGTAAGTGATTGAAATTGTATCACAGGCCTGAATACTGACTTGTAGTCTCTTTCCTCATGGTTTGGTTTTAAATGATTGCCACTGTGTTACAAGAATTTACGATCGGCGATCCCGGAAAAAAAGTAGTTGGGAAGGTTGTACAACTTAACATTAGTTTATTTTAGTCTTCAAAAAATATGCTTTTCCCTTTGCTAAATACCCCCCTTCCACCCTATTCAATGTTGAGACATAACAGAACAATTACAAACACTTCGGGACCAGTTATGTCAACGGAGTTTAGCCAAAACCGCGTCCAAGTTCACTTTCAGCTTGCCGAAAGACGTAGACAATAAAAAATTATTTATCTTCTTAAAATAACCCACTAAGGATGAGATCTGGAGGTTTCCTAAAGCGCGGTTTTAGTTTAAATAACTGAAATTTAGGGTTTGTCCAATATTGGGCCAGGGGCGAATGGACTGACAAGAAAAAAAAAGAGGTAAAGAGTTACAGCAGCCTTCCCAACACTTTTGATGATAATTGTAAGCCTGTTTTGGCTGATTACCTTACTTGTCTGTGACGAACCAAATTTACCAAGAGTGCTTACCATTTACACAAACCACCCAGGTTGAAGTCAGCTTGAGCATAATCATAAGAATAAACAACCCGCTACAAAGTTCATCCACATCGCACGTATTACATTACTTCAAATCACAGCCCATATTTTCTGAAGCTTTCCAAACGGGAGTGCGCTAACCATTTGATTTCTAACCGGAATTTCCGGTTCTCTCTTGTTAATGGTAAGTACCCCAAATGAACTAAGTCGATGAATAAATGGGCTTAATTAAACTTATTGGATATATTGTTGTTTAATTTTTCCCGTGCTGAGATCTCTAGCAAGACTATATTTTAAATTTCTTTTCGGTCTAAATCAGTTTGTGAATAGTCAAGCTTCTTCAGGATCATACCCTGCCGCTTCTCTGAGATCCTTTGAGACCGAGGAACATAAAAGAAATAACGGATGACTACTTGAAGTTGTGTGAATGTTCAACATCGTTGGTATATATTTTTCAGGTAATTAAAATGCTCGTGGTTATCGCTGCCGTTCACGCGGTATTCACTCTACCCTATCACGTGACTTGGTTGTTAAGCGTGTTTGGTTATCCAGACTTTGTTGCTAAGAAACTGTGTGTCCTCCTCGTCATGGCAACAAGTGCCGCTCATCCAATCATCTACGGTACACTCAACCAGGAGTTCGCAAAAGGATTTAAGGCATTCTTCAGGTGCGCGAAGGAGACAAAAAGGTACAAAACTGCAAAGGAAGAAAATTTTAAAACCTGCACGGTCCTCAATAGCAGTGGGCGTACGCAAGCAGATAGAGCCAGGGGTGTTTCTTGTAAAGTGAAAAGAAAGGAAAACCGTGGGATAAAGTGCTGCCGCTTTCAGAGGGAAAATGAGATACTCCGGCATGTGGAGATTGTTTCGTCCTTATGATGGCCATAAAAAGGGCTCAACAGTAAGATGTTGTTCGGTTACAAATTTTTTAACTTAAGAACGAACAAAAGTAGAACAGGTCGATCTTGGTAACCTTTTTTTTCGGGTTTACCTCAGTGTCAAAACCTATGAAGTTTTCTGCTTGTTTTAAAGCGTATTGTTCTATTGTTTTAACATATTTCCCTTGTTTTGACGTCAATTGTGAGTTTTACAGGTATAGTTTCCTCAAGGCTGAGCTCTTTTGTCAAGGTGACAAACGCTATTAAATATAATGGGTTAGTTAGGTTATTTTAAGTCTTTATATTACGGGTTGTATTAAATCTTAGAAAAGCTGTGCTCAGAAGATACGTTCTTGACGTAAAACATACCAGATAAATCGATTCATGTTTATTTCTCCCCGATCTCCTTCGGTTTTAAAAATATGCATTTTACAAGAACTCAAGAAAATTAAGGCATGGGTCTTCTATTTATTTCCTCAAAATTAGGGGGGGTTGTTCTAAATTCTTAAGCTTTCAGTGTAGCACAAAATAACTTAAGGACAGACTTCTTGAGTATAACTTTAACAACTTTGAATGATGATTGGAGTCACTAATTGTCACGTGACCTATTAAGGCTAAAATTGGCAATATGGCACCACTTTTAATTACTTTCTGGAAGTTGCAGTTATCGTCATAGTTATGAGACAGGCGGGTACATTACTTGTGTCCGGACCTTTTAAGTTAATCTTTTAGACAGGAACAAAATTCGAAAATCTTTTGGTAAGGAGACTGGGTACTAGTACAAAATTCGGTTTATTTACTCTTTTAATAAATTATTCAACAAAGCCCGAGCACAGACGTCTAGTCGTTCATCTAGGGACATGTTTGGTTGCAATTTCTTTGATTAGCTGCTATTATAAAATGGTGCCATTTCTAATTTAAGTTTTTTTTTTCGCGCAAAATGGCCAATAAAGGTCACGTGACCTAATTTACATATTCCTTTACTCGGAATCGCATAAAATTTTGAGATTCATTATTTTACTCAAGTTTTGTCGCTATAACAGGCCTTAATCCTTAAAATATAGACTACCCCTCGACTTTTAGAGGGAAAGCGAAAGAACACCATGCCAGGAAATGTAATTTATTCTCATTCTGTTCTCTCTTTTTTGTATTAGTAAAGCAAATTAATTAAGCAGGCTTTGCTTTTTCGAAGTACACTTTACTGATCTAGCTAGATTACAGGCAGTCCACACTAATAGTTTGAAAAAAAAAGTGTAAATTGACACAACAACTGGTAGGAAGCAATACCAGCAATATAAGCTGTACCGAGAGGATTTGAACTGGGGACTGAACCGAGTAACAAATTAAGCTCCAATGTTAATATAAGCTCCACTGTAGTTTTCAGGGCAAGACTCGAACCCAGGACCACAGGATGCCTTGAAAACTCGGTTCAGCAACCCCCTGTATCGATCGATATTTAATCATCACCTCTATGTTGCCATCCCGGGCGCGTCTCTCGATCCCCCTTCAACCCTTCTAGTGCAAAAGTTTAAAAGAATACATAAAAAACAATGGACAGTTAATTAGGCTGGTATCCAATTCAAGAGGGCGTAACAGTATTCCTCCTTTATGTAGTGCGACAGAGTGAGTGCTCTGTAATCTATGAGTGACATGGGTATACTATCCTGGCTAACGTTTTGAACCATAGGAATTTTTATTAAACGTTTGACTAGCACAACTAGACTGACAAAAAGGAGAACTGACAATTGAAAAATGAACAGAATTTTTGCCATGTTGAATGTCGTAGAGATAGAAGAGCCCATATTTATAAGTTACATTTGAGTACTCAAATATAAAACCCGGACCCGGTTCCTCGAAAGACGGTTAAGTTTAACCCAGGATTAAGCCAAATTTTAAGCAAGGCTCTTCTTATATAAGAACACGTAACTCGAGATTACAAAATATCGTTGTGCCGGCCTTACTTCGAAAAAATAAATGATAACTCAAAATGTTACTCTAAGCAATGCATGGGAAAGTAAATACCAAAAGTGGAACAAAACTTTAATCGTGGATTAGTGCTAATCGGCCTTCCAGGAACTGGACGCCGTAAACTAAGGCGTATTCTCTTCCTTCAACTATTCACAGTTGACGGTGGTTCAGTTTACTGTACTTGATCACATCTCAGATATCTACAATCTGGCATGTCACCGGACAGTCCTAATAAAATCTGTTCCATTGTATTTTGCCCCTTTTCCTTCTTACACTGATTTTTAACAAATTTTCTTAAGGTTTCTGGATTATCTGTTTGTCTCCGTATGATTCCCGGTCTTTGAGCCTCATTGTTGTTGTTGTAGAAGTCGTTTGCAATCAAGGTTTCTGTACCTCGACGAAAATGTGATGAACTCGAAGAACTCACTGTCACAGACTGCTTCCGAAATTTCGGGCTTGGCTTCGACTCACCAAAATGTTGTAAAGAGAGCCTCCTCATTTTTTCAGCTGATGCTTGAATTTCAATTTGCCTAATGAGAACTTGCTCAGCCATTTTTTCTTCCTTTTCTGTAATCACAGATCCTTGATGAGATTGCGACGGCATTTCGGGAAGACTTCGTGGTCGCCGTTTAAGCCCCATAACCCGATTTCGTGGCATATTTTGGGGGGTTAGTTTGGCTAGTTTAGGCAAAGCTATTGTAGCGGCATCTGTTTCCACGAATGCTATTCTTGAATGCTTTTTTGACATAATTGGTCCTGGAGTATAGCATTTTCGGTAAGTAGGTTTTTCTCCAACACAACTGTCGCTGTAAGTTCGGCTGCTCTGAGGTCTGGTGGGCTGTGACATAGTCCTTCTTCTAGGGGTGCTCACTTTAACGCTCTGTCGAATGTCTTTTCTGTCGGCTACATCTGACTTCAAAATCGAAGGAGTTTTCGCTGATACGACTTGTTTCGCAAAATGACTTTTCTGTTCCTGTTTGTCACAACAGGTAACGTCTCCACTAAAATTTACTTGTGATAGGTTTCGTTGCGACATCAAGTCGCTTACTAGGGTAGAACAGCCATCTCCATCCCTGTCCAGCGAGATATCAAAAAAAAACATTGAGTCAGAACAATTTTCTTGATACTTACAACCAAAGTATAGATCGTCTTTGCTGGCTTGTTCCGCAAAGGAGACACCTGATGAAATTGACTGGTCCCGTGTTTGCTCTGATTTAAACAAATCTAGCACCTTTCGTCGATCGATGTCAGTCACGACAGCTACTGAATGTCTTCGATTTCTTTTTTTCGATTTATCGATTGAAGAAAAGGCGCCACCCGAAAAAGTACTTTCGTCTCCTGTCACTTTGTCTTCGAATTTTGACGACACACAAACACGAACCACTTGTCCAGGATTGTGCTCCTCCACTGAACAAGATTGCCTTCTAAAAGAGCTTTTGGTTCGTTCCACACCAGAGGCGGTCAGTAAGTTACACTTATTTTTCTCTTGATTAGTTTCGTTGTTCTCGCTAACATTTATGTCTACAAACTTTGAAGAGCTGGCTCTCTCTGGGTTTTTGTAGAAATTTCGCGAGTACTTTTCTCTACGAATCTCAAACAGTTTTTGACGAATGCATTTCTCCTCTTTTTCCAAAACTTTTATTTTATTGTCCAGCACTTTGTCTTCCATAACATTCTTCCGCGATGCAAAATCGCCCGATTTTTCAAGTTTGATAAAACGGAATGTTCTGCGGTGATAACTCATAGCTTATTATCACTCTGGTCAGGAGTCTTTAGTTACAACTTGTACTGTACAGGTACTATGACAATTTAATATAACACACTTTAAACGAAAATCCATAACTGTGCTAATCTTTTAATCGCCTAAATTGTTCTCATAAGAAATTAAGCCTGTCTCAAGGGTATTGATAACGATGCAATGTTTGTTTAGTGCCTTTGAAATCAAAACGAAGAAATTGTCGCTTCCCTTTTATGTTCAAAAATACCTTGGCGCGGAGAAAAATACATCAACAGTGAATTGTTTTCCGTGGACAATCTATTTACATCATCTTTTGTACTAGAAATTAATGAGTTTGGGTTTTGTGTCAGTTTATTTAGAATAATCACTTTTAACTGGGGTTAGCTTGTTTATTACAAATATATTTTATTTTCCAGTAAAAATTTAGTACCTTTTACACATCAGTCATCCTTGATTTATCTTTCTTTGCGTGTGGGGCTTCGCGTGCAGAGCGGCCTATCTGGTCAGCTAGTCACAATGAATACTTTTCATCTCTATTCTTTTGCTGTTTGGCAACAAAGGTCTCAATAAAACCTTCAGTTTTGTAATTAAGAACAACATTTAAGTAAAGCAAAACTGAGACCGGAAAAAAATATTTATCGGAATATGTGCGTTCAAAACTATTTCAGAAAGAAAATAGCTTCATTTCATCGCCACGCCGATACTTGCTGGCAAGATCTGGCAGATATGATTCGATAGAAAGTGTTTGATTAAAAGCAATAGGTGCATGGATGTCCTATATTCTTTTTTCTATATGGCCGGCTTTCTCATGTCGGCCTTGAAAGGATTATTTATGACTACAACAACTTTATTGACTTTATCCTCGACATGAAGATTTCAGTACCAAAACAATCAATATAACAACAAATGAAACAAATTAAAACTAGAAATACGTATCTCGCAATAACCCTCGCGAAAGTCGGTTTGGTAACGGCACTCAAGTTAAGCCCTGTCGGTCGGGGTTAAGAACTGGATGGGTGACCAACCGCGAATATCGTCTTAAGTAAGAGAGAAACGAACAACAACTATATATTGAACATTACCATAAAAAAAAATTACTTGGCTATATGTGCGGCTTCTACGCTAATCGTACGTCAAGAAAGCTAAATTAGAGTTTGGATTTATAACGA